CTTCTGAAATTAAAGAAGTAGAAAAATTAAGTTAGCTCTCATGAAGGTGGCCTTGATAATCCTGTCTGTCCTAAAACAGAGAAAGTTTTTCCAGATTTAATATCAGAAAGACAAAAAGGTTGCTGTTCTTTTCTACAAGGTGTATTTTAACTGCATTTCGTCTCTCCTGTTTGAAGGAACTGGGAAACAATCTGGAGAAATGTAAGAACAATGAGACGCTGCAGCAAATCCTCACCAATGCCACCATCATGGTGGTCAGCGTCACAGCGTCGACCACACAGGGGTGAGTCTCTCACCTTTCATCGTTTGAACGTTAAACCCGCTCCTGTAGCTGCAGCTTCACAGCCGTTCAATGAAATGCTGCTGTAAAGAGCTCAGTTGAACTTTGTGTGCTTGCAGGTCGCAGCTGAGTGAGGAGGAACTGAAGCAGCTTGAAGAGGCGTGCGACATGGCGCTGGAGCTGAACCAATCCAAACACAGGATATACGAGTACGTGGAGTCCAGAATGTCCTTCATAGCCCCGAACCTGTCCATCATCGTGGGAGCATCAACTGCTGCCAAGATCATGGGTGAGGAAAAAAACGCCAAACAGAACCAGAACGTGCGTTTTGCGAACGCGCCCTTCATTGGTTGCTGATGTTTTTGTTTTCCTCGACCCGGCTGCAGGAATCGCCGGCGGTCTCACTAACCTGTCAAAGATGCCGGCCTGCAACCTGATGCTGCTGGGGGCTCAGAGGAAAACGCTGTCTGGCTTCAGCAGCACGTCTCTGCTTCCACACACAGGATTCATCTACCACTGTGACGTCGTGCAGTCGCTGCCGCCTGTAAGCTGATCATGTTGAGCCGTCGCTCCTTTCCCCTCTGAACCGAAGCTTTCCTCAATCTGTACATCACTTCTTCTTTCCGTTTTTAATTTACAACAAAAAAAATACCCCAGACTACTTTCTAGTTGTTGTTTTTTTTCGTAATGTTTTAAATTTTAGTCTCGGATCAAAAATACAAAACAGAAAAGCGGGCTGCAGTTTGTGTACTTTTTGTCCAATTGTTTTATAAGAGAGTTAAAATTTGAAAAAAGAAAAAAAAAAGTTCTCATTTCCACTTCAAAATGCCCAATACATTGATGTTTTTTGTAGTTTTTATTTTATCCTCACAACAAAAATCAAACCTTTTATGAAACACCCGAACCGTTGCATGGTCTCCGACACTAACGACAACAAACACACATTACAGCAACATACTTGAAAATAAACACAAAATAAGGTAAGGTAAGGTCACCAAGCCATCACTGAATATCCTACCATTTATGAACAATTCCTGCATTACGTAAAAAAATATCAAAATCTAATTTGGCCTATTTTGCATTTTTGATCCGAGACTAAAATTGAAGATGTTTTTGTTTCTATGCAATTCAAAAGCAGATAAAAAATGTTTTTTTTTTTTTTTGTCTAGTTTGTCAATTGAAAATGATCCTCCAGTCCGATTGGTTAAACTTTCTGTTCTCCTTCCACTCAGGACCTGAGGAGGAAGGCGGCGCGTCTGGTGGCAGCAAAATGCACCCTGGCTTCACGAGTGGACAGTTTTCACGAGAGCTCAGATGGAAAGGTCCGAGAAACATGCGCAGTTGACGCATTTTTATTTTACAATCATGATGAGAACGACTTGGATTGTGTTCATTATAAACGTGTTTTTTTTTCCTTCTGCAGGTTGGCTATGATCTAAAAGAGGAAATCGAGAGGAAGTTTGATAAATGGCAGGAGCCGCCGCCAGTGAAGCAGGTCAAACCTCTGCCGGCGCCGCTGGACGGACAGAGGAAGAAAAGAGGAGGAAGAAGGTAGAGAATCTATCAGGAAGGCTTGATTTTCAAACAATTTATTTTTTTTAGACATTAAAAGCTTCTAAGCCCTAAAGTGAGCAACAACTCAAATCGTAATCCTGTGTTCCTTAAATCGGTTGAAGTAAATTCAGGCGACTCCAATGAAAGAAGCTTCCTGAACGTTGGAAAGCAAAGACAAGCATCTTGCATAACTCACACTTACAAGTTTTAAACGCCAGCAGCTATAAATGTAGCTCCCATTTCCAAGCTAACTGTTCTCTTCTCTTTCCCTGCAGGTATCGAAAGATGAAGGAGCGTCTTGGGCTGACGGAGATCAGGAAACATGCCAACAGAATGACCTTTGCAGAGGTGTGTGTAATTTTTATTTTTTCTTCTCAGCTCTGTTTTTAGATTTGTTTCGTAATCTTGCAGCAGTGTCTCCCTATCAGCTTACGTTCTATCTTTATACTACAAAATATTTCTCTTGGAGAATGTGGAAACAGTTTGTATAAAAATAAAACTCCAAGCTGAGTGTCTTTTTGCGCCAGTGTGTGAAAAAAAGAAATCTGCATTGTTTTAAACTATTTTACCCCATATTGGTGAATTTCTACTAAAGTCAAAAGAGCTCAACATGCAGTCAGATAATATAAAAATCACACTTTATAAAATGCTCTTATTTTAAGGACCAAAATTAAAAATAATTAATATAAATAGCCTAATTAAAAGTGAGGAAAAAGAGGTTTTTTTTAAGTCAGTTTCTTTAGAGATAAAACTTATGAAGCTTTAAGAGAAACAGACAGAGATGTTGTTTATTTGTTAAAACAAGCTTTGAGTATCCAGAAAATGTAGTCAAGTAAAAGTAAAAAGTACAGCATCGTAAAAATACTCTTAAAAGTGAATTTTTTTCCAAACTGTTACCCAAGTGAATCTAACTATCTTCTGTTCAACTCTGTTGCTTTTTAATTGGCTCATGTGAAAAGTTTCAAATGATGAAAACTAGTTGAGGTTTGTGGATTAAATGCATTTATCAGCAAGTCTAAATGCACATGCATGTTTGTTTTTAGTTGAGATAAAATGTTTTTTTAATCTTTGCTCATTATTTATTATTTTGTCACTTTATGCGGTGAGGCTTTAAGCTCGTCTCTGACTTTGTGTGGCAGATCGAAGACGATGCTTATCAGGAGGATCTGGGCTTCAGTCTGGGTCAGCTGGGGAAAAGCGGCAGCGGCAGAGTCAGACAGGCTCAGGTCAACGAGGCCACCAAGGCGAGGATCTCCAAATCCCTGCAGGTAAACACTCGCCGCTCCTTTGGTCTCCCAGCTCTGCTTGATTTATGTTGTCGCTTATATCTCTGCACACGGTTTTATCGCCAACAGAGGACGCTGCAGAAGCAGAGCATGACGTATGGAGGAAAGTCCACAGTCAGAGATCGCTCGTCGGGAACCAGCTCCAGTGTCGCTTTTACTCCCCTTCAGGTAAGAAGTGTGACCTTTGGTGAGTGGAGCGTTTATCTTTTTTTATTCCCCTATTTCGACTCATCCTGCTTTCCCCTGCAGGGCCTGGAGATTGTAAACCCTCAGGCTGCAGAGAAGAAGGTCGCTGAAGCCAACCAGAAATATTTCTCCAACATGGCAGAGTTCCTCAAAGTGAAGAAAGAATCAAAGATGTAACCAAGTGCATTTGTCATTTTCTCCCATGTGCTCCACCCTGTTTATTTTTATTTTTTATTATACCATTGTAATAAAATATCTTTTGAGTTTGGTTTAAAATGTGAACTGTAATGATTGTGATTTTCTTTTTTTCAAACTGATCTTCATTAAAGAGTTTAACCCTAGCTTATTTTGAAATGGTTGTAAATAGATCATGGTTAAATTAATTTTGAAATAATTGTCAACCAAATTAGAAATCAATTAACTGGAGCACACAAACTCTAAAATATGCTATTTGTGCAAAGAGACACATATTCAAAGCAATAATTAAGCCAAAACTGTACAAAAATTCATTTTGCATTTAAGATTAAATGTTAAGAAATCTTTTAAATATTTGCTATCAAAAACTCCAAGTGTGAGGTTTTAGTTGAAATTTGCTAAAAGTTGCTACAAATGATCAGGTGTTCACTAAAGGGATGCAACGTTATTGCATTTTATCATTTTGTATTTAGAAAAAAGGAATTTAATGTATTATTTGCATTTTTTTATGTCTAATATTGCATAAAAAAGGATTTTTTTTTTCATTTAATAAGTTATCAAAAGAAGAATATTTGGCTTTTTGGTTAAATTTACAGATGAGCCTAAAATACAGTTTAACCTTTAAGAGGGAACCTTGTGACCTTTGAACTCCTAAACACACATATCCAACTGTCTGGTGTTTCAATACTTTTTGCACAACTTGCTGTTCTCTAACAAGGAGCTTAAAGGCAAAACTTGACAGGCGTCTGATCCATGAATAAATGTCCTAGTTCAAGCAGAAACGCTACTTAAACAGTCCTCCTCGTTATACGTACACACTTGCTGTCACACTACCAAAACAACAGAAGAGGGTTAGACCCAATTCTAACCCTCTTCCAACCCAAATTTAATTTCCCTTTGAGATCAATAAAGTATTTTTGAATTTGAACCCTCCTTACAAACCCTAATTCTACGAAGGTTGGCATTAGACTTATCTCTTTGTTTCTAACTTCAATATAAGTACATTGCAATTATTTCCCTAGCAATACTACTATGGATCTCATGCCAACAACAAACAAGCCAGAAGCTCTCAAACCAGCTCTCGTCTCGTTCCAGCCATCTTTTATGCAGTATATATATACATTATACTTACAGCCTCTGTGTTTGTTGCTACGTGTTCTTACTCTGCCTTTCTCCAGAACCTTGTTATTCATGTGAAGGGTTTGTAGGTCCGTTTGAGTCAATAGATTTCAGACCGTAAAGCTGCTTGTCCACATCGCCTTACATATTTTTCTTCTCCGTTTCACCCCAAGCGATTGGTCAGGAGTGTTTTTTAGCTGGTCTGGAAGCCGTGGGTCCGATATGCATTGCGCATCCTGCTTGCCTACCAAGATGGCGTCGTTCAAACTCGTGGGAACTACATAAAATGTTAAGTACCGCCTCTAAATTTTGAATCCGGTCCATGATTGGTGCTTCTTTATTCCATGCAGGAATGACGGGACCTTACACCACAGAATGTGTTATTTCTTAAAAGTGTTTATTGAACTTTTACAATCGTTTGTAACCCCAGTTTTGACATCTCCCATGCAGAATTGTAACGAGAAATTGCTTGAAAATTCACATTTAGGCAGCTTCTATACTGACCTTTCCCTTTCAAAAAAAATCCTTAAAAGTCCCCCAAAAATATAATCTATAAAAGGCAGACCTCAGAACTTTGCATTTCCTCTTCTTTCACCTGCCTCTCAAAAGAACAAAATCATACACAATGTCCAGTGCAGTACAGATGCGGCGCTCTCATGGTTGTCTGAACGGAAAAGCTGGACGCAGAGGAACACATGAAGACAAGGCGGCAGCTTGAGATCAACCCACTAGTTAAAAATACCACCAATCTTTTAACATTTCTATATTTAAACTCTACATGTAAACAGTTGTATCAGTGTACATTCGCTGTATGCGGGTTTAACTTAAATATCTGGTGGTAAATTAAACAAAGTGGGTTTGAGGATTAAACGGGAGAACTTTATCCAAGTTCATTTTGTTGTTTGATAAAGATGTGACAGGTGGAGCTCAATGACTTAAGACTAAATTTCAAATCATCTTGTAATTTTTATGATTATGGTTTATAACAAACCCAATGTTTAGTTTCTCAGGAAATAGGATATTACATGTGACCAGTAGAGGTTTTGAATACAGAAATATTATAACCAGCACAATCATAGGATAAGCCACAAACGATAACTGTTTTATAATAGTGCTGTGTCCAAACATATTGCAAGGTTGAGTGGAAGAAAAAAAGTTTGCTACACATAAGGACTTAAAGATGGTTACCTGGGCTAAGAGGATATTGGACTAGACCGGTCCTCTTTTCAGATAAACCTAACATAAGCATTTAATTTGGAAATGAAAGCATGTAAATAGGAAGCTTAATGGAAGAGAAAAAGGTCCACAAACAACTGAGACAAATACAAAGTCTTTAGGAGAAACAAAACTAGACTGTTGCTCAAAGGTTTGAAGTCATCTTTTTAGATCCAAGTAAGTGTCACTTTTTGATCTAGAAGAGTGGAAATGCCCAGAATCCCAGCTGCTTGCGGTCCAGTGTGAAGTTTCCACAGTGGGTGGTGATTTGGGGTGGAATTTCATCTGCTGGTTTTGAGGTACTTTGCTTTTATCAACATGGTGGCCTACCAGATTTCAGGACAACTTTATACACTGCAAAAACACAAAATCTTACTAAATGTTGCTAGCTATAAGTGATATAATCTTCCAGTGAAACTAATACTTTATCACTTAAAGTACTAGTTTCAATAGGTGCTAAAATAAGCAACTTTTTCTTATTAAAAACTTTTTCTTACTTCAAGTGTACAAAAGAAACTAGACAAAAAAATAATTAGTAAGATTGTATTTTTGCAGTGTCCATACTGACAGAAATACCAATAATTTGTTTATTAACCATGCTATCACTGACCTAGCCTAAATAAACCTCATTATCTGCAGTTTTACCAGGGAGAAGATGGCCTCCATGTCACTCTGCATTAATCCAGTGATTAAAGCAAACACTGTATGATACATGGCAACATTTCTGTATTAAAACGTCTGAGAAACTGAATACTAGGTCATAGAAAATGACCAGAAACAAACACTTGGCTTATATGTTCTCAGTTTTACTCTGATTTGTTCAGATGCACCTATAGCTGCATTGTGTACTCTGAAATGTGTTTTTGTATAGAAGAGAAATTGCTGATGGTGAAAGAGTCAAACAGATCAAGCAGATAAAATGTCTCAAACCCTAATGTTAAGATTTATTTTACATGTTTATTACGTCATCACAAACATGAAGGCGCCATAATATCTTTGAGAGGTTAACTTAAAAACATTTTATTTGTAAAGAGAGTCAGAGACCAGTTCAATTGCATAGCAATTTAATCCATGTCCAATAAGGACTCTTTCCCTTACACAGGGAGAGGCCCTGTGGTCACTCTCACTCACGTTTTAATCGACCAAGACAATATCAATAAAACTATTGATAAGCGCTCACTATCTTCAATAGTGACCATATTCAACAGGCATTGTAGGGTCTTAAAAGAAGCCGTTCCTACACACCATCACTAAATGTCCACTGAACGTCCCCGTTCTAAACCACCGAATTACAGAAAATACAAGATGGGCACCATAACAATCTAATCCAAGGTTTGTTTTGTGTCGAGTCAAAAGGCTTCCAGGCTCATGTTGGGCAGGTGGTACAGAGAATCGTTGTTGAAACGGAAAAAGAAAAAGAAAAAAATTATATGAGAAACATGCATGGGGGGCAGGGAGGGTTTGGGTAGGCTTTTCCTAATGCCACATACCGAGTGTGCACACAGACGCCGATCTCCAACGGGAGCCTTCCCAGCTCGTGCAGCGTGGCAACGTTTGATCGGACCACAGGGTATTATTTTTTTGTTTGTTTGTTTTTTTTGTCGAAAAAGAAAGAGCACTACACGAGGAGCTAGGGCTTCACATTGAGATGCAGCCTATACAGACACCGGTCTCCGTGTCGGGAGAGGGTTTCTACTACACATCACAATCTCTATCCACAGTTTGGAGTTCAGTCTCGGAATGTCAACAGCAGCACGTTTTGTTTTTCTCTGTCCTTTTGCGTCCCTCTGTGTGTGTCACTGCAAGTCTCTGTCCTCGAGGTACCTGTACTCGAAGGTGAACCCCTCTTTTTTCCTCTGGCCCCATTTCTCATAGTCGAAGTAAATGTAAGTGCCCTGGATGGAGAGAGGGAAACAGAAAAGGATGTTAACAAAAGGAGAACGAGAGAATCTCAGCTTTAGGGAGCATGGAAGCAAGTTATCAATAAGTTCATCTGAAGTAAATCTCATTGATTAATTGATAAGTGGTCATTTTCTTTTATCAACATAAAGCGCTACATTTTTCATAATATGCTGAATGAAAAAATATTGTGTCTGCTGCGCCTGGCACAATAAACACTAAATTGCATGATAAATTAAAACGAGCTCAACAATTTCCATTTGCCTGATTATTTCTCTTTTTCCACCAAAAACTGGATGACTAACATCTTCAGTCTGTCATTAGTGTCAATAATTTTATTTATTTCATAAATCATTTTAGCCGTTTCTGTTTCATTTTGAATATTTAAAATGTCTTCTAGGTCCAGTGTTAAATGTTCACCAGAATTTAAAGTTGAATAATCTTTGAGATTGGGTTCTTGCTTTATTATGCCATCGTCAAAATACTTGAAAATGGTCTCAAAAGCGAGATTATTTTTTTTAATTGTAAAAACTGTTGGGAAAAGTTTGTTGCTGTGACAGGACTGAATGAACAAAAAATGTGGTTTTCTCATGTAACTAACTTATAATTACAAATATAACAAAACAGACACCAGGTGAGTAGAAAAAAAATAAAAGATGAAAAGAATAAAATGAGTGAATCACTTAATTACCCATGAACAGAGATGTTCATGCAGTAGTCGACTGGTTGCTCTTGAAGGAGTATCAGCTCACGACAGAACTCAACATTGATATTGCTTATTCTGTTTTTCCTCATTATGTTAGTTTTTCCTCTGTTGCGCCCTCCACCATAATATTTCTGATTCATTAAGCTCACCCACGTAGCACAGCAGTAAATTTAAGTTGCTGCTGCTGCTTCTTCGTCATGCAGCTCGGCTGAATGAGCGTTGTTAAAATTTAAGGAGTTTGAGTGTTTATAATTTAAAACAGAAGTGTAGAGTGTATTTTGCAACCGACAGCAAACACTGTTTGGACCGATTCTCTTTCCCATACTTGGACAGCCACCATCTTTATTCCTGTACCAATCGATTCTGCTTAAGGGTGACCAGCTGCGCCCTCCTCTGGACAGCAGCCAAACTACAACACTAAAAGAACATCTAATCTATTGGAACTCATTTTAATTTAATAAACAATTAGTCGACAATCACAAGTCGATTAACTGTTTGCCTCCTTTTTAAGGAGGATGGAAATGAGCTTTGAAGCTGCACCTGTTCAAACTCATCAGTAATCGTCTTGGGCTCTTCGTGCCTCTGAAACCACATCATGTACTTGGTGTGAAACCTCCATGACTGTTTCTTCAGAGCCTTGGCAGATAGATACTGAGCCTTGGTGCCCTGTCAGAGAAAGAGGAAACAGTGCATTAACATGCAGCAGACAAAAAAAGAAAACAAGCTCAGCTAGCTAGCTAAGTGCATGTTTACCTCCAGGTAGTAGAAGATGAAGAAGAGAGTTTCTGTGGACAGCCTCTGGTAGAACTCGATGGTGTCAGAGTGGTGCGGCGGGACTTGATGGTGGTATGGCAAAGTAGGGCAGGGATTCCTCATCAGGTATTGCCTTTAAAACAAAAAAATCCCACAGGACTCGTTACAGAATCTACTTTGAATCATACATTATTTTGATTAATTTACACAAGGAGCTAAAGTGTTTATTTTTAACTTTGGATGATTATGGCTAACCAATAATTCAGCTTAAGTTCAGAATACTTAGTATATAACATGCTTGGATTAAAAAAAAGGAAAAAAAAACATACTTTCCACTTAGTTCCCTAAATGTTTGACTCTAAATGTGATTTTTGCTGCCATCTTTAATCCTGTATCAACTGGCTCCGCTTAATGATGATTAGTTGCACCCTCTATTGGTCGGCAGCCAAACTACAACAGTAAAAGAAAGTCTAAACGGATGTTATTAGTTAATTTATTGGAACTTATTTTAATCTAAATTATAATCTTTCCTTCCACCTAACTTTCCAACTAGAATGGTTGGCTGTGACTCTGCACAGCCAGTTTGTTTCACAACAGTATTTTGTGGCTCTACAGCTTGAGGAGAGTGTTAACGGCTTAAAAACTATACAAACCCATTCTTAGTTTTCATTGGTTGTCAGGACCAATTCTGCAATATGATGAAGAAAATACTTGTACTGAATCATAAATTAAACTGGGACTGAAGATTCTGCAGTCCCACCATCTGTGAAAGCCTCACCTGATCCTCTCGGAGTCAGAAGGGTGTGGCATGTGCGTCCACGCCGCCTCCTGCATGGCCTGCTGGTACAGCTGGTCTTTGGAGAGAGGGGTCGGGCCCAGGGGACAGACCCCGAGCGAGGGGGGGATGCTGACCTCCGACACGGACGGCTGAGGCGCGGCGGGTGTGCCGGGCGCTGCCGACGAACCAGAGAAGATATCTGCAAGTAAAAGGTTGACAATAAGGCCATTGCTGAGGTCGAGCTTTACGCCTCTGAATAATTAAATCCGACATGATCACTGATTGGTTCATTCAATAGTAAAACTCTTAACTTTAGGTCAACAGAATCAAAGATCAGAACCTAAAGAATTTAACTTTTGTCATTTTTTTACATTTTATGTAACAAAAAAAATAAATAAATAAAAAAACGACCCTCAAAAAATATTGTGAATAAGAAAATCAGCAATTAACCACAGAAGACTATTAGCCACATTTCTAAAACGCAAAAAGCAACAGAAAATACACAGCAAAACATCTTACTGAATGACACAAATGGTTACAATTGTTTTCACGTCTCCTTTAAATTGTTTCATAAACTGATACATTTAAAATAAACGCATCTATTGTCACTGTTCTCAATTGATTTTTTTTAAACATTATCACTTTATTTTAAGTTGTGTTTTCTCTCTTTTTACAAATCTGCCATGACAATTGATTGGTAAAAACATTTTATGCACTTTGTACAAAGATATTTGTATTGTATCAATTCATTAAGTTTCAGTATGTTTAAGTGTATAAATATTGTATATTTGTGTGATCTCTGTATCCACTTATGACTAACAGCTCTCTTCAGCAAAAGAAAAATAAAATATATTTGAAACAATCAGTGAATTACACAAAATAGCCAAGGTCTTTTTGTTTAAGGATGTATTATTTTACTATCTAAATAATATAACTGTTAATGTTTTTCTTTGGTAAATGTGCATATGGCATATCATGAAGATAATCTGGCACTTTTTATTAAAAAGTGTAAAAAAATGAACAAAAATGTAACCATATGTACTCCAGAGAGTAGATAAATATAGATCTAAATGTATCAATTTCTATCTATTCCTCAATATAAAAGGCAACTCGAGGTATGTCTGAAAGTTTCTTTTAAATAAACCAATTCATTTGTTTTCTAAGTAAATAAAAAAAACAGAACTGTTGTCTTGTAAATAAAATGTAAATGTTGACTGTGAGGAAAATATTTTGTGTTAACTGTGAGCAAATGAAGAGTGGAAATGCTGCCTGACCGTTTACATGCATGTTGGAAATCTCTCCGTCTAATCCTGATCCCAGCGCTGCTCTCTCAGCCATCGCCTTCAGAGAGCTGAGGGGCTCCGGAGCCTGAGAACGGCAAACAGAGGCAAACTTACTGTAGACGCAGGAAAACAGAAAATAAACTCAACGCTGCTGACGTTTTGGAACAGAAAGCTGAGAGACACTTCAGTTAGATCTGATTGATCTCAGATTATTATCTTGCTTAATCTAAATGTAATCTCAGGCTAATGTTTAGACATCAGGGACTGAAATTGCAGTTTGTAAAGTTGAAAGATGATGCTTTCAGAGCAAAACCAGCGTAGCATATAAAATGGTTTCCAGCTCTATGTGCTGTTGCACAACTGCAAGTAATTAAACGTGTTTAGTAGCAGGAGTTTTGCATATTTCAACCATAACATTTAAAGGTCAGCCTACAGATACCCATTTTAAAGAAGCTAAGTAAAAACTACACATCAGGAAGTTGATCATTTAAAACACAGGTGTCAAACTCCAGTCCTCAAGGGCCGCTGTCCTGCAGTTTTTAGATGTGCCACAGGTCCAAACACTGGAATGAAATGGCTTAATTACCTCCTCCTTGTGTAGATAAGTTCTCCAGAGCCTTGCTAATGACCTAATTATTCTCTTCAGGTGTGGTGCAGCAGAGGCACATCTAAAAGTTGCAGGACTCCAGCCCTTGAGGACTGGAGTTTGACACCCCTGATTTAAAAAGTAAGTAATGTCGAGTTCAGAGGTCTCTAACTCCAGTCCTGGAGAGACACCAGCCTGACACTTTTAGAGCCGGCTCTGGTCCCACACACCTGAACCACGAGTGGCTAATTACCAGACCTCTGAAGAACCTGATGGCATCCTGAGGAGGTAAATCAGCCATATTTGATTCAGGTGTGTCAGAGCAAAGCGGCAGTACTGGAGATCCCTGCAGTTGTTTTTTTTTTTGTTTTGTTTTGCTTTTACGCCGTTAAAACCGACCAAATTTGAATTTAGACGGTTCAGTTCAGCAGAGAAAACGATCAAACTGCTTCACAATAATTTATACTTGCCAGACCTGTGAGCTTTCTGCTGAGAAAAGATAAAACGTCAGCTGGTGTAAACAACTGATCCGCTTGAAGAGAATAAGTCAGCAAAGCAACCTGGGATTCCTGACCACCGGCTGATTGTCTCCAAGCTGCAGTGATGCAGTCGTTCATGCAACAGGACGCACATAATGAACTGATATTTTTAGAAGGTTGACTTTTTCATTAGTCTAATGAAATATTTAATTTTCTAAAACTATACTTTGGGTTTTTATCATTTAAATTAAGTAAATAGAACTCTCTCACTGTGTGAAAAATCTGTTAAGTTCTCCCTTTTTAAAGTGATATTTTACTAATCACCTCAATGGCTAAAGAATAGAATAGAATAGAATAGCATTTATTGTCATTGAACAGGATTCAACGAAATTTCTATTGCAACTCCCGTGCAGAGTTTACTTTATAAAGCACAATCTATGAACACATTTTCTTTCAGAGAATTTCCAGACTCCCACTTCTAGATTATTCTGACAGGTTTTATAATAATTTGGCATTTGTTTCTGACTGCATCAAACACCACAAGCCTGAAGCTCTGAGTCAGCAGAATATTTTGGCATTGGAAGCTCTTCTGACCAGCTCTGTTGCACAATCTGTAACACTTTGACATGTCAAACCGGGACTAGACTGTCCCAACTTGCTCTGTAAGGTACAGTTTGTTTTAATATATCTCTATCTATGGTGATACAAAAAAAGACTGAGTTTCACATCACCTAGATCCAATTTCAGGTCCAAAGACTGAGTTTAAAGCCTTAATCTGAAAGGATATGATGCAAAGAAACTGACTTTTTTGGCATTTTCATAAGTGTGCTTTCACTAAAAAAAAAAAAAAAAATTATTAATTGGATAAACACTTAAGTTATAGACCTACAGTAAAGGACCTCATATAAAAATAAAATCCACATTTTATCCACAGATTTAGATAACATCTTATTCCACACATTTCCAACCTATATATTTGTGAAGATCTGTTCGTATTTTTGAGTTAAAGTTTAAATTCAGGTTCCCGGTGCTTCCTGGCTCACCTTGAGGCCCTCAGAGGCCTGCGGATACGAGTGGGGCCCGTTGAGGAGGCTCCCTCCGCCCGGTGTGCTGTCTGAGAAGGAGGGTGAGGGAGAGCTTGGGGGCAGTGTGATGGAGCTGATTAAGCTGGGGCCGTTGTCCATCCTGCACAAAATGAGTTAAACCAGCACAAACAATTAAAAAAACACAGAGATTGAGAATTTAAACTGCAAAACAAGTAGCTGGGCGATGTCGCTTGAAAATAAACTCGTCAATATGATTTTCTTTCTTCCTTTCTTTTCTAAAAAAAAAAGGCTTATTTCGGTCATCTCTTTTTGTCGCTGTACAAAGGAGCATTAATGCCAGGATATGAGAATTTTTGTTAAATTAATACCAGCAGAATAAAGATGCAATTTCACCGTAAAAATGTCCTGAAATTAAAAGAAGTAATTTTAATGAGTTTCTGGAGTTAAGATCTGACATGGCGAGCTCAGTCCATGTGGTTTTCTTTCAAATACACTCAAACGTTTCAAAGTTGTTGTTGTCATTTTTTTGCGTTGGAATCATAAAAGTATGTTTTTATTCTCACAATTAAAATTTTAAATTCTTAAATTGACCTTAATATTCTGTTATAGAGTTGAACTGAACTCAAAATCTAAATAAAAAGAAGCTATAAATTATGTTTGTCAAACAAGATGGGGAGCTGACAGAACGTATGGAGCCATTTGGAGAAAAATAATCCAGATTTTCTAGAAACGTAACCTTGGCCCCAGACTGGAGGAAGGTAAAGAGGACGACTTACGGTTGGCTGGTTGAGGAACTGAGTGACGAGGTTTGGCTGCTCTGTGACTGGCTTGGTGTACTTAGAGCTGATTCTGTGGAGCTCTCTGCCACTACAGCACTGTAACCTGAAGGCGGACGAGGGACAATTTGGAAATCGCCTTTCTACAGAAAACCCACAATAAAAAGTCACAAATCAACACTTTGACCTACTTGGGCTTCCGTTCTGCTTCAGTCCGCTCGGCGGTCTGGCGGGAGCAGCGTTCACTCCGACCACACCGGCATTCCCTCCGTTTCCTACCATCATGCCAACGGATCCGGGGGCGGAGCTGGCAGGACTTGGGGGCACCTGTGAGGTGGCGGGGGCCACGCTCTGCCCAGGGACCAGACCCAGGATGCTGCCAGTGAGAGAGTTGTGGGCCGGGCTGGAGCCCAGCAAGCTGAGCCCCGACCCCGCTCCATTGGTGGTGACCCCGCTGGAACTCGAATTGGAGATGGAAGTGCTACTCTCTGGCAAAATGCTGGACTGAGTGGTGCTGCTCAGACCCAGGCCCCCAGACGCCGCTGCGTGCGCGTAGAGGGCAGACGTGGAGCTTTGAATCAGACTGGCCATTGTGTTTAAAGGAGTGCTGTGGCCAGCCAGGCCTAAACTCGGCATCTGGTTGGCACTGCTGGTCCCGCTCATGCCACTTTTCCTTAAATCCAAGCCCAGCCCCAGTCCTAGGCTGGACGCCGGGGTCGGCCCGGGGCTGGACTGGGAGTTGGGAGCTGTTAAACTGGGTGTGCTGGGCGTGGAGAGTGACGGGGCGGTGGATGCTGGGAGAAGTGGGTTGCTCGGCGGGCTGGGGTTGTTATTGTTTGAGGGAGCTGACGGTTTTGTTTGAGGCGGCTGCTGCTGTTGCTGCTGCTGCGACGGATTCGACGGCTGAGATTGTTGCTGCTGTTGTGCAGATTGATGCTGATGTTGCTGTACCGCGCTGCTGAAACTTCCTATGAGACTGCTGCTGGTGGGAACGGCAGGAATGCCTCCGACGACGCTCGCCATGGAGAGGGAGGAGGAAGAAGAGGACCCAGAGGTGGCAGAAGAAGAGAAGGAAGATTGCAAGGATGGGGCACCGTTCTTCACAGGCGACTAAAAACAAAAGAGCAGAATCTTAATTAACCATAAACCAACTGAGTCTACAAGTTTGTTGTAATTATGATAGACTAGCAGTACAAACAAAATCAGGAATCTGCAGCCGTGGCTCTATGAGAATGTCTTACCTGACTAACTTGACTGTCTGTCGACCGTCCTCTTTTCTTATCGTCCTCTGAGTTCTCCTGTTGGAAGAAATGCCTTTATATGACAATTCGCTTTAAAAAGCTTCATTCAGCTTTGAGTTGATTAAATACAGCTTGATGATCTCCAGATAAAATTTTGTTACAATTTTATTACATCTGTAACAAAATGAATTGTGACAGATGTTTGGGTTGTGACAATTCATTTTTTAAATTATTTAAAAGTTTTCTTGAGACAAACTATCTGCCTTGAAGCTTTATTAAGTTATGTCTTACCACCTAGCGCCATGTGTTCCAGCTATATAATTAATCATGTTGCATAATGCTCTCACTTCCGCCAATGAGTTGTTGATGAATGCTAAGTGTTGTTAGCATGACATAAGGTGGCCCAACATCCACTTTTCACAGTCAGTCTGGGGGAAATTTCACTGATTGATAAAAATGTCAGGGTTTCCATCAGTTTTGGGGAACCTTACATCTTAAATTAACTGGTAATACACTTGCAATACTGCTGGCCTCTGGTTCGGAGCAAACAGCAGGTTCATTTACACACCTGCAGCAGAGACACAGCGGGATTCGTTCCAGCTCTACAGCTGATAATCAGCACAAATGTAGCTTTAGTGACAAACTGGAAAAAAAAAATTCCTACCAACTCAGCTGTGGAAAATAAAGACTGGAGTATCCACATTTTGTGGAAGTGTCTTTGTGAGTCTGCTGTTTTATTATTAAACAGTGAGCCATTATTGATAAAGCTACAGAAAATTAATAGTTTGAGATGCACAGATATGAAAATTTGACATCCAATATTGATACAGTTGTTAAAGCAGTATTTACCAATATTTTATTTTAGCAATTTTTTTTTATTCAATTACTCGGTTAACTGCCAGAATAATCAAGATTACCAACACAAAGAAAAGCAGAATGGTGAAGTGGGAGAAACCATTTTAGACTTATTTGCTACAAACTTTGAGAAGCACATATTTTTCTTACACCTCACATTTACACATTCTCTTGTGCTAAATATGACAGTTCAAGGGAATTACCAGCTTTGCAAAGGATTGTACATACGTAAAAGGGAGATAGCTGTAATATTACAAACTTTACCGTCAGCAAAAAGCTCAAATGACGCAAAGAAAAGCTTACAGCAGTGCAAGTGGCCGGAGATGGAGGGATGGGCGAAGAAGATGTTGTTGATGTGGGAGTGCTGCTCGAGTGGAGATACATGTCATCTTCCACGTTGCCTGATGGAGACGTGGCGACTAATGCCGGAGCTGAAAGAAAAGTGAAACCGTAAGGCAATGCCGAATTACACCAGAAGAAAGAAGAGCATCTTCAGAATTGATCATTAGCGTTTCTCTCACGGATGTCTTCCAGGTCTAAGTCGTCATACAGGAACTCGTTCTCCTCAAAGTCCGGGTCTTGACAGGAATCAATGTAGTACTCAACATCATCCTTGATCTTCTGGATAGCATCCACCGGAACAGAGTCATTGTCCAGCATCCGTAAAATTGTTTCCAACATGCGAATGTGGTATCTATGCCTCTCAATCAACCGCTTTAGTTCATCAATGCGATCTTGCTTCTGCGAGGCAAATAGAAGAAAAAGGCCATTTGCAAAAATGCTTACATCACTGTACGGAGTGTGTTTATATCTCTATCTATAGCAGGTTCATAGCTGAAAGAGGAAGGAATTACCTCTTTGTCACCCTTCTTTTTCCGCGTCTGGACTGAAAGTGACTCCACTTCGCTCTCAAACTGATCCACCTGCATATTTAGTGTGTCTATTGTATTCTGAAGATGACAAGAGAAAAGGGTTAATAGGTTTCACAGAAATTCAAGTTAATGTTGAAATTTATTTTTTTTGATCAACCTAACAGTAAAAAAATAATCCTTAAACCAAGAATATATTGGATTTACTGTTAGCCACTGTCCCGTTTCCTCCTTTTCCCTCTGAGCTGGATCCACCTTCTGAGCAAGTCCTAAGCCTTCTTTAGAGTAGGCTTTTGTTTTTGTTTCACGTTCCACCACTTTGAACCGCTCCATTTGCTAAGGAAAGATAAATCACACTGAATCTCAAATATTTTCACTCTCACAAAGTCTGCAGTAAGTTTTTAGATCATACTTTTACTCATAAAAAAACCGACGCTTTAATGGCCACTGAGTCCAAAGGCATTTATAGTTTGGCTGCCGCACACACTTCTTTGTAAAAGCTTTTGATTTTTCAGACTGGCATAAAATAACAGGTTGCAAACAATCATACCATCAAATTTGATCAACTTCACAAAAGTGAAATTGTAGGAGACACAGTTCTGAGAAATGTTTCATTGTTGAGCAACAATACTGTAGTATTTTTGACAGAACTGATCACAACAATGACACAGTGACGCATTTACAGAAACTGGATGTTCCTGGAGAGTCTTTTTTTAACTAAATTCAGTGCAAAAAATGCACTTATTGGCCACTTCCGCAGCATAGATTCAACCATTTGTAAGAAATATTCCTCCAAGATTTTGACTCGTATTCATATGATAGCTTCAGGATGCTACAGATTTGTTGGCTGCCTGTCTATGCTGCAAATCTTCCACTCCACTACATCCCAAAGATATTCTATAAGATTATGTCATTGTCATCTTCCAGAAAATTGTTGATTAAGCTTTGTGACAGGGTGCATTATCGTGTTGGAAGCAGCCATTAGAAGATGGGTCCAATGGATGGACCTAAAGGAATGGACCTGGTCTGCAGTGATGCTGAAACAAGCTGTGGAGTTTAAACTATACTCAGATACAAATAAGGAACCCAAAATGTGCCAAGAAAATATTCCTCACACCATTACAACACCACCATCTACCTGCGCTGTAGTTAACAGGTTGAAAGGAAACACACTCTCACCTTATGTAAAGATAATTTTGACTCTACTGTTTGCACCTCATCACATAACATACTAATTATTTCCAAAGTCTTATATTCCCATTTGAAGCTTGTACAAAAATCTGCTTCAATTTCAAGTTCTTAGCTGACTCTGTGTAGTTTCCTGCTGCTGAAGCCTGTCTGCTTTGAAACCCCGCATGTTGTAATTCATATTACTTGATCGTAATAAGAGGTTGTTTTAGCTACCGTTATCTTTCCATCATCTTTCCATAATCTGCCCGTTCTCATCTGTCATCAACAAGGCATTTCTGTCCACTCAGCTGCCGCTCACAGGTACTTCGACCTGACTTTATAAACCACAGAGATTACTGTGACTGAAAATCCAAGGAGATCAGCAATTCCTGAAATACTCTAAACATATATCTTTCACCAACACCCATGAAACATTCAAAATCAGGAAAACACCCTTATTTATAAGGATGTTTTTCTGCTGAACAGTTTAAACTTCAGTAAATCATCTGCATAACAAACAGATACCCAAATTGCTGCCATGTGACTGGTTGAATCTCTATGGAGTAGATTTACCTAATAAAGTGAGGGTATTTGCAGGTTGAGGGTATTTGCAGGTTGAGGGTATTTGCAGGTTGCTTTGAAAACACTCATGCTTGGCAGTTATTTTAATCATACTGCCAGAAAAAAAACCCATGAACATATAACAAAAGGAGGCATACCGTCTCTATTAGTTTTCGGTTCTCTACTAGCTGCCGTTTGTCTTTGATTTCGTTCGAGGCCACCCATGTTTTTATTTGATCTCTCAATCGCTGCAGAAACACAAAGCATTAAAATGCATGTTTACACTTTGAATATTTAGCTTTTCCACATTTTTTTATTTTTTCGTACTTGTCCAACTCTACCTGTAATTTTTTAATCTCTTTCTTGAGGTCAGCTTCATATTTTTCCTTCTGGTTCGCATTAGCTGCATTGTGGAGCTGAGAAGTAGAAAAAACAAGTGGAAAGTTGCATATCTGCAGGCTTCAATCACAGCAGAGAATCCCAATAAAGCTTGAAAATGTCTTACTTTTTGCCAGATGTCCTCAAACTGTTCAACACCTTCCGCTACTTTTTTCAAACATCTGTCAATTTCACCTGCAAAAAAAGAAAAAGAAAAAGAAGATTAGATTGCAGAAGTAGACCAACATTTAAGCATAACATACGACAATAATAGATGACGTCTCTTTGTGGGGCAGCATGAAGTTTCACAGACAGAGATAGTTACCTTGTAGTTTTCTTTTATCAGCCATGGCTCTGACTACGACAATTTCCACATTCCGTCTGTCAAAAAGTGATCTAAGTAAATAAACCATACACGCATCACCTCACTGAACAAAACCAAGCAGAAATCAGCAGACAACTGAAAAGCCGTACATCGGTTTGCAGCGACTGAAACTGACGTTAACACCGACTAAACGGACAGCTGACATTAGCCACACATATAAAACCCAGCCACAAAGCAATTAAAGCTCATTCACAATAAAATCCCACGCGACAGTCGCTCCATCAGTATACTTCTTAAAGTTAAATGATCCCGCTAATACCAACGAATATGACTGGCTTGGCAGTCAGCTAAAATTAGCCAGCTAGCGAGCTAACGTTAATACTAGCCTAGCTCGTCCACTTCACTCGGTCACTTACTATCCCTTTCTAGAACAAAATCCATAACTTATGTTGGGCGATTTAACTCAAATACATGCATCATCATTCCGGGCTCCATCGGAGCTTTTATAAAGATAGTTTTGCGTGCTGGAAGGCAATATATAAGAGAAACCGTTCCAATCGCCGATATGCTAGCTAATACCTAAAATGCTAGGTAGCAGCTCAGCTAGCCAAATTAAGGAAAAAGGGAAACTGGGTTAACCCGACCATGTATATTTATACTTGTGTGAGACATTTACCTAGGGTATGGGCTTTCGTTTGTCTTATTTCAAATAAAGCCAAAACTAATTCCAGAAAATCTTCTTTACTTCCAAAATATATTTTCTTTTCGACAGGCTCGCTCACTGTAATGTAGCTGAAGATGGACGGTAGCTAAAATCCCACCTCCACGTTTAGGACCCGCCCTAAATCCATTCTACGAGATCTGATTGGACCGAAGTCACGCCTGTCACCAGGGCACATCCGCTGGATTGGAGACCGGCCATTGGTCGCACTATTGGATGACTGATAATCGATTCTTTCTCTTTTCCCACTGGTCCAATACCATTTGGAATCATTATCATCTATTCAGAGGTTGTTCGAGTAACAAAAATTTTACTCAAGTATTTTTTCTGAAGTAAAATGATAAAAAGCAGCCGCACAAAACATTAAGTAACAGTGAAAAATGTCTTGTAAAAAGGCTACTTGAATAACAAGTCGAAACATCTGATTAAAATGTTTTAAATTAACTCATCTGAGTCAAAATGATAATTTTTTGTGCAAATCATTTATTAAATAATTAGATTAATAATAATGAAATAAGACTCAAATTAATACAAAAACTTAACTACAAAATAGCAATTGAGGCTCGTTTGTCAGACTTAAAAAATCTGTAATATTTATTTGTTTTACTCTGATTTAATATTACAATCTAATATGTTAATCAGCCTCCATGTAATTAATCCATATTACATTTCACTTAGTGAATGGGTTACTGGAATATTTTTTTTAATATTCAAATCTATTGAGATGCACCTCTAGAATGTTTAACAGTTATGCTTAAGGAAACTGATATTTGATCAGTCATTTTGTCCGTCATCAATATTAAACAGGGATTTTATGTAAAAAAATCATTCAGTTCTGAGGGGATTCAATGATTTCTTCAGGATACAGAAAAATCTAGACCTAGTGATTAGAGTGAAGCGGTGGATGGTCAACAGTGTACTTCAATTAAATGAAGACGAAACTGAAATAATTGAAATAACGTCTTGAGTTAAAGGAGCATCTGGTACCTCTTGGTTCTGCAGCTGCAGGTTGTCCATTTGGACAAAATCATCTAAGTGATTTTGTCCAAATGATTTTGTTTCAAATGTGACTCCAATCCTGATGTAACTACTCTGCCTTCTGGTGCAATTCAAGATTTTTGTTTTGACTTGGAGAGCTCTTGATGGTCTCGTACCAGGCTATTTCAGAAGGCTGATGGCTCCCCATAACAAGATGAGGACAAAAGGACACAAAAATGAAGACAAAATTAGACAAAAGTCTTTTGTTCTACACTTTTTGATGGACTCTGTGGTCTCTTTCAGAAGCAGATTTAACTATTCTTTTAACATATCTGCTTGTAATCTTGTGAAACACTTTGTGATTTTACATTGTCAGCATTAAATGGCGTCTACACATTCTTTAACTCAAAACTAAATCTAGTATTTATTTATCCTTTCCTCCAAGAATTTGGACTCCATCACACCTACCAGAGCTCTCGCCTCAGTTGTCCTGTTTTCTGATTTTTGAACCAGTGGGATGAATTTAGCAAGGTTAACAGCACCCCAAAAGTAACTGTCTTTAATTTTACAGTGCTGTCTTTATGACATTTAACCACAAGCAGGTGGAATGCCTTTACATCTTGATCATAATGATCTAACATTGAACGCGGTAGATAAACAAAACAGGTGAATTTGCCTCAGTTGCTCAATGGACATATTTTAACACTTAAAAACATAAACTTTACAATATCAATAACCAACATTCAAAAAAATTATATATTTTAATCAGTACTACTACTGAAATAAATTTGTAATATTCATGGAAGCAGTGAGATAATTTCTATTGTTCCATTTCGTTGTATCCTCTTTAAACTGAGCTGGTCACAATAATGTATATTGGTCATAATTAGGCCTTGTTGTACACAAGTCAAAAAACATACCAATACATATATACAAACCTTATAAATACAAAATCTGGGCTGAATTGAGTAAACATTAATTGTCTTACAAGAGTCCAGTCTGTTTGGTTTCTTCAAGGGTAACAACAAATAGTGCAGAGTCAGACTAAGAAAAGGCTGCATTATCCAATTAAAGTTCAAAAAAAATATGCTGGCCACCATTCAGTGTGACAGAGATGTTGGGCTGGGAATTTCTCCAAAGTGAGTCTCTGCCAACACCGACACATCAGGTTCAATCTGAAAAATAGAGGTGCAAAATTATTTATTCATAAGCAATTTATTCATCACAGACAGGTTTAAAATTGTACAGATTTTTTTAAACAGTGGCTTCACATTGACATTCATGTGATGTCAATATTAAGTCCCCAACGACCAACATTCTGCATGTTTTATGTTTCTCTGGTTAAATACGCCTAATATATAGAGTATGTGGTGCAGCTCCCAGCGCTGTTGCCTCACAGCAAGAAGGTCTTGGTTTTGAATCCCTGTCTGGCTTTTTCGGCGTGGGTTCTCTCTGGATGCTCCAGCTTCCTCCGATAGTCCAAAAACGTGACTATTTGCTTAAATAGTTACTCTAAATGGCTATTAAGTCTGGAAAAGAGTGTGGCTGTTTATTCTGTGTCTCTGAGTGGCACTGTTATGGACTGGTGATCTGTCCAGGGTGAACTCTCACCTCTCACCCCGTGATCACTCTGAATCATACAGCAAACTGTCTACTGAGGATCAAAACATCATTTATTCACTGACCTGCTGATCTTTGTCCTTTTCTTGCCGGGAAAGTCTGTGTCTCTTCTTCTTTGGTCCGGCTGCATGATGGAGAGTTGCAGAAGAACCAGACAAACCATTCAGTCTTTCCTCCTCAACTCCGGCAGCAGAATCCAAATGGAGTCCAGGCTCTTCCTGAAGCCAACAGAGAACATATAAGTGTAGGTCAATTAAACTATGTTATAACAATTGTAGTGTTTTGTCATGGTGAAAGTGGGATAGTCTCAACCACATTACTGTGCAGGATTCTGGCTTCAAATTGACTGATCAGCTGCAATATTTTGTTCATACTGCACATTTTTTGGCAATTCTGATATTTCTAAAGGACTACCAGATTAGCTTTGACTGCAGAGATTAGGAAGACAATGACAATTCAGGGCTTCCTGCTAATTTATTCCAAGTCTTTTCAAAATGTTTGCATTTTTTAAGACTTTATAGTTGGTGTTCAGGTATTAATCTTCCAGTCTTTCAAAAATACATAGTTGTCAAATCATATTTAAAAATTTCCTGTCAATTTAAAAAAAAAATTAACTCAAAACCACAACGGACTGCTGGATGAATGACTGCCCTAACACCCAACCACAGAGTTTAGCAAGTTTTCTGGGGGAAACTTTGTAATTATTTAAAAAAGTAATTTATCTTTTAAGTGCGAGTGAATGGATGACCAGAAAGATATTTCATTATGAAAACACAAACACATGAATTTTTAAAATGAAAATAGAACTAAATTGCAGTATAATAAACAAGACATAAGCTTAAATTATCTTGGTTTGTTTCATTCTAAACAATTACTTTCAGTAATATTTCACTAATATGTATTTACAATTTCAATCCCACTTTTATTACAAACTGAAGGGACAGTTAATTCTGTAAGACTCCATCTCCCTAATTCTTACTTCAAGCAGTATGGTGAGCTGGGAATTTCTATAATCATCTCCATGGGCATCTAAAGCTTTCATGAGGAACCTGTGGAAATCAGCAGAGCATTCAGGTAAGTCTTGAAGGTAGGTTCTGCAGCAAAGCATAAAAACTTTATATCGACATTCAAGTTTCATACCGTCGCTCTTTCTTCAAGCGTCGTGTAATTCTTTGCACTTGGTGAAGGCGACCCAAGATTTTTTGATTTACCTGAATATAACACAGATCGGCAGGTGTCATTTTTAGCAATAAGGCAACTCAAAATGCTTTACTTGGTTAAAATGAAAATAAAACAACAAACAAGAAAAACATTACAGTGGCAAAGTAAAGAAAAGCAATGAAAAGTTGAAAAACAAACTACATTTTATGACATTCCAGTTATTATTAATCAAAGGAAACTATAGACAGGTTGGTTTTAGCCTTTATTCACAGGAATTCAGTGTTTCAGCATTTTTGCAGTTTTCTAGAAGTTTGTTTCAGATTAAAGGAGCATAAAAACTGAATGCTGCTTCTCCATCTTTGGTTCTGGTTGTGGGTATATAGAGCAGACCAAGACCAGAAGACCTAAGATTTCTGGAAAGATTTCAACAGCAGATCTTTAATGTATTGTATTGTACAGTATTTTAAAGTCTATCCTCTGAGCAACAGGGAGCCAGTGCCGGGACTTTAGAACTGGTGTGATGTGCTCTATCTTCCTGGCTTTAGTGGGGATGCAGGCAGCAGCTGCACCTTTCTGATTTATTTTTTAGGCAGACCTGTCCTCTGAGGACACTGTTGCAGTAATCAATGCGACTAAAGTTAAACGTATTGATGAGTTTTTCAGAATTTTGTTGCGACATTAGTTCTTCAATTCTGGAAATGTTTTTGAGACGATAGAAGGACGACTTTGTAATTGTCTTTATGTTTCTCTGAATGTTCCAGTCTAAGTTCATCACCACACTCAGATTTCAAACCTGATCGCTGTTTTTTAGTTGTAATAACTGAACTTGTGTGTTGACTCTAGATCGTTCCTCTTTTTGTCCAAATATAATAGCTTCAGTCTTTTTTCTGTTCAGTTGAAGAAAGTTAAAGCACACCCATGCATTGACTTGTTCTAAGAATCTGTTCATCTCTTGGTCACCTGGTTACATCGTGATATAGAGATGTGTATTTTATGGTAAAGGTGAAACAGCAACATATTTATCAGACATTTAATTTTATAAGAAACCTGTGGAAGAAAAAAAATATTAAAAAGTCCATGTAGTATGACAGTCAGAAATGATGTCTTCAATAAGGCACTACATGGTTATCAAGACACCTGACTTCAAAGGAAATGCATTCAGGAAGTGACACATAAACACACTACACACACCTGTTCAATTTCCTTGCACCTCCTGCTCAGCACCAGACATTTCCTTTTGTCGAGAGCTCTCCTCTCTTTGTCTTCTTGAGCTGTGCTCTCTAGCAGCTCGCTGCCGCCTGGATCTGGGTCAAGCTCCACCTGACAGAAAGAAATACAACAAAAATTATAAAATATCACACCAGAAGAAACTAATCTGCGCAATGAACATCATTACATATTGAAGCTAAGTGGGTAGAAGAAAGCACAGCATGTTTTGTAGCCTTAGTGTTTCCTACAAATCTTTCTTTTTCCCCTCACTCTTACAGAGTATCGGTGGTGGTCTATAAAGTTAAGCTTCAGTGAATTAAATCAACATTTGACTTTTAGTTGGAGATGAATGCTGTTAGGAAGACACTGATACTGTTATTTAACATTAGTATGACAATAACAATTAAAATTAAGCCAAACCATACCCACTCTTCCCTGCCTTTTCCATTGTTGTGATATGATGTTGCACACATTGAAACTGTGATTAGATAGTCTGCAGCTCTAGCTGTGATGTGGGTAAATGTGCAGCAGTTCAATGAGAGAGAGATATTATTTTTTACAAGGGACTAATATTTATTATTACCTCTCCTGGTCCCAGCTCTACAACACCAGGCTCCAACTCAGCCTCTAGAATGTGTCCTCCAAAGAGAGGAGGCAGAGCCAACCCAGAGAAGTCCTCCATCATCTAAAGAGATCAAGAAACATCAACCCAACATCAAAACGACGTTGGAAAATATTTTTTTAAAGATACAGTACTTTAAAGGATGAGTGTTGCATCATTTTCAGCTCATTAAGTTGGAACATACATTTTCTATTGCGATATAAATCCCAGTAAATGTCAGTTTAACCACCAGCCAGTAATTTCTGAGATTATAAACAGTATAGCCGCGGCTGTAACAGCAGCGGTTAAAAGCTCTTTCTTTTCCTTTAAACTTTTTACAAACTGCATGAAACACCTCCGTTTACCTAAATAAACTCTTTTGGGCGTAATCATTAACAAAACATTCAAAATAAATGAATTTAAAACAATAAGATCGCCAAAATAATAATAAAAATAGTTCAATCTCACCTCGTTTTGTGTTTATGTGCGACCGACGCAGAAATTATACGTCATTTCACCTTCTACTACATTTCCCATGAACACTCTCTGCCCTGAAGCTATACCGGACATAATGGCAGGTACGTGTTTATTTGGTCGCTTTTCTATACTACATTTATTAAAGTTACCTTCAGTGTGTCTTCTGTTACTATTATTAACACATTTACTGTTAGAACTAAGATAAACCTTATATCGGCGTGACTTTAAAGCAAATATAAGGTCTTGAAAGGGAAGGAAAATTCTGACCTTGAATGTGTTGCTAACACGAGCTAATTCTGCTAGCCACACCGCAGTTGAAGCGGTTTTTAAACACTGTCGTGGGTTTTCCTGCAGGAATTGGAGCTTTCCTGAAAAATGCTTGGAATAAGGAGCCAGTTATAGTGGCATCCTGTGGGATTGGCCTTTTAGGTAAGCAAAAAAGCTCAGGTGTACAGCACGTATCAGCGTAACACTGTTTTATCAGATTTTTGTTTATGTTCATCCAACTTTTAAATGAATTACGATTGTACTATTACTCCAGCGTCAAGTTAGGTGGTGAATTAATACTGTTAAATATTGTGAGATAAAATAAAGAGATGTATATTTTCTGCTATTGTAATTATGCACATTTGCAAATAATCTGTATTTTCAGGTGTTATTCTTCCATTCATCAGCCCCTATACAAAATACACAGGAATGATAAATGAGGCCACACCATACAATTATCCAGGTAAACTCGTGATTTCTCAGAAGTCATGGTGTAATTCTGTTTGTGAGTTGTGTGGAACAAGCTCTTGATAATTAATAACGCTGATCAGTAAAGTGTTTGTTTCTTAATCATTCCTTTTAAGTTCCTGTGAGGGACGATGGAAACATGCCTGATGTTCCCTCACATCCCTGCGAAGCTAAAGGAAGAAACTTGGAATGGCTTAAAAAACTATAAAGAGAGCAAAATACCTGTTGATCTTCCTGTTTGTGTGTTTCTTCTGTTTGCCTAATTGTAATTGCATCCCAGTAAAGATTCTATTTAATCCTACTGTTGTCAGATTGATTTGTTGTGTATTTGACAAATTAACATTGCAAATTAACATTGAAAATAGAGAAAAAGTTTTCTGACTTTCTTATTCCATTTTCTAACAGCTACATATGAATGTTATTTTTTTAATGGAAAGTGAAAGACTTTTGCTTTGGTTTTAGGTGCAGATGACCAATTTTTATCTCTGATTTGCTCATCCCAGCTTAATCTTTTGAGATTTTTGAGTTATTGATAAACATTCAAGTAAAGAAAAATCATGTTCAGTTCATACAAAGGCATATATAATCTTCAGGAAGAGATTTAAAACCCAATAAATTTACATTTCAGCAAGAAAGCTGAAAATGATAATTTTATACATATATTTATAAGCACATGAACTTAATTTTAAGATATGTGAAAATCTCAAAGATACTGTCAACATTTATTATTGAAACATTTATTTCATAACATACAAATAATCAGAAATCCATTGTTTTTCTTCACTATTCATCACAGTGTAATAATGACATTAGTACAGTTATATGCTGCCTGTGTCACTTCAGGAGTTCATGGTACATTTTTAACTCGTTCACTTCAGTGGAGTAATTTCAAACTTGTGTTCAGTTCAGTTGTAACAGGAAAAAATAATGTTATCCAACAATAAACACTTTAAAGTGGTAATCTCAAACAAGCCAATCTGAGTTTTTGTTGATAGTAATATGCAGGTTAACATCATGACGGATCAGTTACAGCTGGTTTGTTACGTCCATTCATATTTGCATGTGAGTATGTTTAATAAAACAATAAATTCAACCCAAATTGTTCTCTCCCCATTGAAAAACAAATGCCTGTCATGTCATAAATAATAATATATGACATTACATGGACTCAAATTTATGTTGCCTTGACACATTGTGATGAGGATGGTCAGAAAAATATAAATTCTCCTATTGAAGCTCACTAACAGAGAACTGCGGCAGAGTGACCTCTTGGGGTCGCTACGTCTTCACAAGAGCTTTTCAACTGCAGCTGCTGTCTGTGTGAATTCAACACATTGTAAGATTCAGTGGAAGACTTGAGATGACGAACAATCACATTGTGATGCTATAGAACTGTTTTTCTGGAACTTTATTGGAGTGTATGGCATCAAGTACTCTTGGAAATATTATAACACTTTAATGAGAAGACTGATGGTCACGACCAATAAGCTGAAAATTTTGTCATGAGGTTTTCAAGGAGGATTATGATCCAGAAATTATGATCAAATAAACACAGACAGAGCTCTTAGTATGAGATTAAGCTTTTAGACATCAATAAATGTATAACCTCTACAGGCTGCAAAAGGATATTTAAAATGTGAACTACTTGCAGTTAGTCAGTGATTTTGTGTCAAAGCGGCTTAAAAACTAAAATATTCAACCAAAGTGTAAACCTTGCTGTAAAAGTGTTTTCATCATAGCACAACATAAATGTTGATGTTACTTTCCTGTAACTTTCATCAGACTTACTGGCTGCTTTCCCAGAACTTTCTTGGTACTTTCCTTGAAATTGTCATGCAATGTGTGTCTGAAATTTAATATTTATTTTCAGAAATCTACAGGGAACCTTCCTTTAGCTTTATAAAAACAATACTGGTGACCTGAAAGGAACTTATTAGTTCAAGGAAAGTGACAAACACATTCCATGAATGTTCATGGAAAGTACCTGATTAGTTAAACTCCATTAACTAATGTAACTTTTATGTAACTGAAAGCTACATGAAAGTTTCATGTCACTTTCTGAAAGTAGCTGCTATTTTGTGTTAAAAATAATTTTCCGCTGTTCATTATTGTCACACCTTATATCTTTAAGGTGCTGAAACATCACAGTGACTGAATACAGACAAGAATAATTATTTTTACTTTGCACAAAGGATGCTTTTATTCTCATACATCCTTAAATATGACTGCAGTTTGACAAATACTTGCTTAGACATAGGTCTACTTCCTGTATGCTTTCTCCTTCACTTTCTTTGAAAACACTTCCACAGTGAGCTCAGTCATGTCCTCCTTCTTGGCTTTCACATCACTCTTTTAAGATTCTGCTCAGTCTGACTCGTAAACACGCATCTACAATCAGCTGGTCTGTAGATGGTGACATAAAATCCAGACCAAAAATGAGAGCTCCTCGTTTCCTAAACTTTTAATCCAACCCAACTTTCCATCTTCTAAATAAAAATCCACTTTTCTTTTTAACCTTCACCTGTTCAGCTTCACAGTGTCCAAATTTATGAATACTTAATTGGAGCCACGTTGTTATAATAAAAAAATAATTCTGAAGGATTTTCTATTCTTTGCATCCTGATTCAAGGAAGTGAGTTAAAATAATCTGAAAACCTTCACAAGCAACGACAAACAGAAAACGTTACAGCAGCAGAAATATTAGTGTTAACTGGAATTAAGATTTGTGCATTTAGTCACTTCCTATTTATGGCTATCAACATTTAAACAAATCAACTTATTGTCTCAGTTTCATTAAAATATGACCTGTGCTTTCTTTATCTAAATACTTAGCTTTACAAAATAAAATTTAAATGCATTTAAATGCCATCTTTCACTAAAATGCAACAAACATGGAAGCTTTTTTGAAAAATATTTAACGCTGTAGAGAAGGAGCCGGTCCTCGTCCCAACAATACTTCCGTGGTCGACGTGTAAAACCTTTTGTTACAGGATCCAGTCCACGTTGCATCAGAACTTTAGCGCTTTTCTGAATATGGCACGAAATAAAAATAAAAAACAAAAGGCACCCTTCACGTCTAACAGCTAACCAGGACAGCTTAGTCACATTTTTGAAGAGTAAAATGCAGCATGATGCTCTCAAACACAAAGAAACAAACACATTTACAATTCATCTTAATTGGCACATTTCTCTCACACTATATTTCCATGTCTTATAATTAAATCAAAATCAAATAATTTCTTCTTTTTGTTTTTAGCTAAAATATTGGTTTTGAACATTGTACACAAACATTATACATGATTCAACTGAGAAAAAAAAAGACAAAAGTTAATCACAGTTTGCAAACACAGTGTGCAGCTTCCAGGACTGAACCTGAGGCTCGATGAACAGATGAACAGCAACGTCACTCGATTATGGGAGCCGAGCGATCGTTGGTGACGGTTTTTCTGAGGCGGACGTGAGCAAAGGGATTGGGCCTGAAACAAGAAAATATTCAGTTCGTTTATATAATGTTCTTTACGCTCTGACAGAACGGAGAAAACTTGCTTCTTGGTTAAAGGATTATGAAAACATGACTAATCATATACTGGGTGGAGTCAGCCACAGGCATTTATATTTTTTTTACAAGCTGTGTTATATTTATTTTCAGTTTCTAAACGAAACTAGATTCTCCAAACATTACCTGGTGGGTGACGGTGGTGAAGCTCTTAAATCTGATGTGATCTGAAAACCAGAAGACAGTTATTGTCAAAAACATTAAATCACTAGAAAACACGAGGCTGTGATGCTCTGCAACTTAAAACGCCTCACCTTGTTGCTGTCGGCCATGCTGTAGGGGCGTGGACGGAAAGTGCTGACCCTCTGAGGAGGAAGGGAGCGCTCCTCCTCAGAATCAGGGGTGAGGGCAGGGAGGCCTGCAGACACTAGCTTGTCAAGTTGTCCGGTGCTGGTGCTGTTAGCCTTCGATAGCAAGAGAGAGCTGATAGAGGAAGGTCAAGTGCAGAAGAAAGAACGACACGAGGAGGCAAAATGAAACTGGAGAAATGTTGATTTTGAGTGAAATCATCAACAAACTTTTGGAAATTGGAAAAAAAGAAAGGAAAAAATGAACCAAAATCTATGTAACCTGGCTTTCTGTGCTGCTTTTGTTATGAAAGACGTTCAGATTGTATTCAAGGTTTAACATTAAAATGAGCAACAATTACATTTGGACCAGACAGATAACAAATGACATAATATTGCAGTTAAACTAAAAATAGAAACTAGTGAACAGGAATAGTCGGTCATCACTGATGCCACATGTCTAGAAAAATCTTTGTTTTCTGTCTTCGTACCCCTCAAGGTGATCCATTCTGCTGTGCTGCGGTTGGGTGTAGGAGAAAGGGAACCAGCCTTTCCTGGAAAAAAAGTCGATATTTGAGGCAGACTGACAAGCCAAACAGCAGAGGATGTTTTTTTTTAAATGAACATACTAACAACAAAGCACAACAATTATACTCTAAAACAAGTTTTTTATTGTTTTTCCAAAAGCAGAATCAATGGAAAATACTTCTAGATTCCAATTAAGGCTTAATTTAATAACTTTTTCAGTGATTAAAGAGTCCTGACAACATTTAGCAATCCAAAGCTCAAATCTTAAATACTTAGCTGAGACAGATCTGAACAGGATAGTTTCTTTTGTTTCAAAAAATTACATTTAGCATTTTTTTGTACTTCCATTTGGATCTTTACTGTTTCTAAAAAAGCCCAAACACTTAAAAAAACCACCCAGCTCTTTGCTGGAAATAGGTCCATGTTTTCCGGTGTCTGGAAAATGAGCCATTTTAAAAACCTCCAGATTGTTAAGTCACATTCGCCATTAGCAACCCCAGCCAAGTCCAGCCATGTTACCGAACAACACAAGTGGGTTCTGGAAAAGATGAGTGTTTTTCAAAGATATACGGTGGTATAATTATAAATCTGTGTAAACGTTGAGTTAGGATTTGAAGTGACAAGACGCCCTGAAACATCTCATTCTAAAAAGAGCTCAAAATACACAGAACTGACCAGGCTGACAGCTGATTATCTAAGCAAAAAATGTTTTTGTATGGACCACAGATCTATTCTAACCTGTCAAGGAAGCACAAAAAGTCGCCTTCAAACAGTGGAAACTTTATCAGTTTTTTTGTGAAGCAGCAGAGCGTCATACCGTCCGGTGCGTTCGTTTTGACCGTAGTGCCACCCGTCTCTGGGCTCAGAGATGAGGAGGGTGATGTTATCCCCGGGCAGGAAGTGAAGTAAGCAAGCCCCGCCTCCTAAACTTCCACCAGCACCGTCCAACGCTCCAGGTGTGTGAGCGAACAAGGCCTCCACGTGGGTCACTCCAGATAATGGAAGCACTCTGGGGAGACTGGAGCCTGTGGTAAAGATGTCAAAAGTAATTAGAAGGAAGATTCAGGGGGAGGGTGGATTTTTTTGTATTATTTTCAATTAATATTGTCATTATTTTTCAATATTTAGCTTATAATTATCCACAGAAACTCCTTCTAGCTTATAAATTATGGAGTACTTACACTTATAAAAGGAGTTTATATATTCAGAAATTAGAACAAACTTCCAGAGAAACTCATATTAGTTCATAAATCTACTTATTCTAAAACATGGGGTTATACTTTGTTTTAGAACAAGTATAACTTGGTTTGTTGTTGTATTTCCTTCTAATTCATGTAAAGCACTTTGAATTGAATAAAATTTGCGATATAAATATAATTACCCTACTTTACCTATAGCTTAACTCTATTTTGTTGTTACTAATTCAGTAAGTTTTAGTCACCTTATTAGTTTGTAGTTTGCCAGTTTTATTAGTTAAATATTGCTTAGTTAAATAGTAGTTTTAGTTTCTTTTATACTTTGGTTATTTTTTAGGTGGAAAATTCAAAACGGCAAAGTAACTTTTGTTCCCCGATTGGCCCGGTTCAAAATTTATGGCCACAGGAAATTAAGCGAAGGGGAGAAAACCCAGATGATGCTGTAAATTAGATGTTTGTTTTTTGAGCACAGGGAGGCAATGGCCAGGCTAGTCGATTTCAGTGTTTGTTATTTTTTAATTTCAGTTTGGGGACCAAACAAACATGCAGCAAACTAAAAACAGCGTCTTACCCTGAAAGCCTCCCAGCCTCATTTCACTGACCGGTCTCCTAGGCAGAGGCAGCGTTGCAGTAGCAGAAACGTCCCCGGCTTTCAGCAGCCAGGAGTTGTGTGACGGAGACAGCGTGTGGCTCCCACCGGGTCCGACCTGCTGGTGCAGCAGCTGCACCGGGGTCAAAGCCCTGGAGAGAGGAGCGCTGTGGGACAGCGGTGGACTGTGGGGGGCGCTGTGCAGGATCGGGAGGGTCATGCCCTGAGAGGAGCTGCTGCTCTGAGAGATCTGACTGAGGGACATCACTGTGGAAGGGATGAGGCTTGGGGACAGGTTGGACGTGTTGGAGGCCAGGAGGAGAGAGGCGGAGGAGGTGGTGTCAGACGCTAATGGGCCGCCATCAGAGAGGGGGCTCGCTGAGGTGTTTATGGGGGTGCTGGTATGCTGAGGAGAAGCTCCCCGAGAAGACCCGGGAGCAGCTGCAGCGGTGGAGGAAGCAGAGCGGAAAGCGTGAGGGGAGCCCTGAGGAGGACCAGAGTCGCTGTGGGAGGAGGAGGAAGAGGGGAGCGATCGCTGCTGCTGCTGGGAGCGGCTTGAGTCTCCATTCAGCAGAGGAGGAACTTCCTGGACGGAAACTCTCTGAAAATCAAACAACACTGCATGAAAACTAGAAAAGAAGATGCAGAAATCATCACTGACTTCGGCTATCATTCTTTTTATTTTTGAATACAAGAAGAAAAATGAATGACTTTATTGTCATTCATTTAAAATGGCGCTGCAATGCTCCATCAATAAATATATAAATAAGTAAATAAATTATAATAAAAAGTATCAATATAAAAATATGCAATAAAAAATTACTGGGAGTTTAGTAGTCTCATGGAATGAGGGATAAAGTTGGCAAAATGTAAAGATATTTACTTTCATTTTCATTTATTCATTAAGTTCATTTGATAGAAAAAAAGGTATAGTAACATAGGGCTGTACAGTAAATCAGTAAAAATATGTGATCAATACCAATACATAATACATCTGATAGAATATTGAATATTCAATAACATAGATAAACTGAATTAAAGAAGCACTCCCATACTGGTAGAGTTTGCAGTATTTTTCCCTATAGGCTTTTAAAGACAGTTTAAGATACTACTAAGAAATAAAATAGCAATAAAATGAGTAAAAATAAGTAAAGGTTATCTCAACAATATAAACAGAGTCATATGAAGCAGGAGTAAAACATTTAAAACACAAACCAATGCTATTTATGGCACAATCAGAGATTGTTTAAGTTTAAACATATTGAATCTGATAGACTTCAGATTGACAGTAAGTGAGCTCCAACCCAAGAATTAGGCTTTGAGAAGAAAAACAATAACAAGATCTGACCTGCTCTGGTTGAGCGGCGCCCAGCTTGGTGTGACGGAGGACCTCAGCTATCCCAGCAGCCCCTGGGGTTTGTGGCGCGGTGTGACGCAGCAGATTGAGGGCCCGCTCCGGGAGCTTTGTGGGCTGAGAACATGACTGTTGCCAGGATGACAGTTTCTGCGACAGAAGCTCTCTCACCTGGATCACATCAGAAAACACATCTTAAAGCAGAGCTCAACGTTTTACTTTCTATCTGGGTTCCTGATGTTGTTAGAAAACAATTGAACCTGATGTTTCTACAGCAGATTCCAGTTTCTTCCAGAAATGTGATAATCTTGATAAAGTTTAAATGTTCCTTGGCCTAATTAAAGGAGATCGACTATGACATATTGAATTTAAGTTTTGCACATTTTTAAACTTCCACTTAGTCAATTGTTTCTAAAAACAGTCCAAGCGCTTAACAAAACCGCTGTGTTTTTGGGATTGAGTCATCTTTTTTGGTGTATGGAAAATGACCTGTTTCAAAAACCTCCTGATTGATAAATCATAATCCACTGGCACTAAGCCATTACTTAATAACCCCAGCCTGTCACCTAGCAACCAAATGGTGCTCGAGCACTGGTTATTACCACTTTATGTGGTGAACAATGGCTGGTGGAAAAGACAAATGTTTTGCTGTTGTGCAGAAGGCTCCACTTCTGCTTTTCAAAGATGTACAGTTATAAAATTGCAAATCTGTTTGCAGCCATTTTCACGTGAAAGTGTGAAAGTTGAGAACTGACCAGACTATAATGTCATTGTTTAAGAATAATTTTGTTCAAAAAATGTAATAATCATATTCTGTAGCTCATAGCCCTACCAAAAGCTGTTCAATTAAGCACAATAGGTCACTTTTACTTGACCTGTCACGTAAAAGTGAAGATGGATTGGTTTTTTTAAGGTCGACAGAAAGGAAATCTATTAAGTGAATTTACAGAAAGATGAAAATGTGTCTGTGTTTGAGGGAGAACAGGTATAAAAACACACAGCGGTAAATAATATGAGCATTTCACCTTGGAGTGGTAGTTAATGAGCAGCTTGGTGACGCAGCATTGTCTGTCCACCAAGAAGCAGTATCTTCTTCTCTCCTCTGTAAGTGCGGACTTGTAGCCTGTCGCCACCAGCGCATCCAGCTCACCTTGTCGACGACTCATCAGCTCCACAAACTGAAGCAAAAGCCAAAAAAATGTTACCTTAAAGCTCAGTATATGCATGCATTTCACTTAATAATAAACATAAACTTTAATATGATAAATCTGTGTGTGTTCTAATGAATTCCTCACCAGAAACAATACATATTTACATTAATGTTTAAAAATAGTGTTCTACTTAATTTTTATTAGCTTAATTCTTCAGCGTAACAAAAATATAATGTTCATGTTAAACATGTGTTAGAAAACAGTTTTGTTCTGAGTTTCTTATTTCCTGTAAATCCAGCTGAATCTGATTGTTTTTTAATCATATTCTGGCTCATTTCACTCAGAAACACTCGCCTAATTCTGACTTATAATCTGTGGTAATCCTGAGAAACGTTTAGGATTTGTGAATGGGACATTGTCTCCCTAATAAACTTTGCTTTGCAGCTTTCCAGGAACCAATTTAGACCCAGTTTGGGCTGTAAACATCACTTTACCTGCATCTCTCTGTCTCCATATTTGTTTGGGTGACGACTACCCTGGCTCTTCCTGCGGAGTTTCTTCAGCTGGGACTGACAGCGCTCAATCGACTCCGACTGAGACCTTCGCTCACTCTGATACTTCTTTAGAGTGGCCTGAGAACAGAGGCAGAGACAGGAAACACACATTAAAAAAATATATAAATAAACTCATATCTGTCTGCAATACCAGCCTGTCAGTATGTGATTAAGTGAAGTTCTGTGCAGCCTCTCGTAGTTTCTGACAATTTTTTTTCTGTTTAAAACCATGTAAAATATACACACTGTGTCTCATTATGGCAAAAACTGTTTTGTTAAAGAAAGATAGGTTGTTAAATCAGGTAAATAAGAGATTGTGTTTTGGTTTTTAAATGCTCACAATTCTATTATTCTCAACAATTAAAATAACATTACTCACATTATTTCTGAGGAGATTCTGAAAAATGTGTTTATCATTCAAAGCTACCAACAATAACAAATTAGTAACCTCCTAATAATCTATTTATATGTCAAAAAATGATTTTCACATTAACTTTTTCAAAAGGTATCCATACAAGAAGAAGAAAGCAAAAACGTAACAACTACCAGGGTTTCCCTCAGTGCATTATAAGCCTGACGGGCCACTAGGCTAAACATTGTTTATTTATTTGAGTTTTTTTTAATGACTGTCTTTTGTAAGATTTTATAGTTAGTGTTCAGGTGACACATAATTATCAAGTGATACTTTCAAACTTCATGTCAACTTTAAAAAAATGTTTAACTCCAAAACCCAGCAGACCGCTGGATGAATGACTGCCCCGGTGCCCCGAGCTCCGGGCTTAGCAAGTTTTCTGGGGGAAACCATTAATTACTCTATTATTCTATTGTGGCTTTTCTTCTTAAATAATCAAAAAGCAAAAGCAAGAACTCACTGTGAGGTATTTAATGTCCAACTCCAGCTTTTGCTCCAGCTGGGCGAGCATCTCAGAGTGAAACAGCTTCAGCTGTCAACGAAGCAAAGCAACAGTTTGATAAATGTCACAAGCATTTTACCAGAGAAATGTTTGCCTGTGAACAAGCTTGAACATATTTATTCATAAAACTATAGTTTTGTCCTTATTCAGACAAAAATATTGGTTGTTAAACAGTGCTTAATAAAAGTACAGTATTGTTGCTTGACAATAATGAGAATTGATTTCCTCACCACATCCTCCAGCTGCACCTGAATCTGCCTGTGAACCTCGGCCATCTGAAACAGGGTGTCCCCTGACAGCAGCACAGCAAAAACAGACAAATTACACACAAAATAGTGATGCATTTTCTCATGAAATTACCTATTAAACCCTTAAATGTGAAAATTCAAACATTAAAATGGTTTTATATCCTCTCATATCTTGTGATGGTCAAATTTCTGTAAACAAACGGCAGCTAGTGTTGTGAGATGAAACACTAATGCTGTCAATGTGTTGCACTGCTATAAAGAAGGACGGAAAGGAAAAAACCTGAATTATCAACTGATCATATTTACATACCAGTGTGAACACTGCAGCGCAGAAAACCTGCTGCAGGAAGTTAGAAAAGACAGCAATGAACTATAAAACCAATAATTAATCGCTAACTGGAGTACACAGACTTAAAAGAAAAAGGTAATTTGCTGAAAGGACAACGTTCTCACAGCAGTAATTAAGCCACAACTGTACAAATAATTTGTACAATTTGCAATTAGGATAAAACAGAAACCTTTGTCTTTGTAATTTAAACTCCTTCAAATTCTGTGAAATAAATCTCTTCTATTAACCGCTTCTTGCTATCCAATTATTAATCGATTTATCTAAACAAATAATCTCCAGATTAGTTCTACGCTATGTTGATGTGAAGTCAAGCAGAAAGGACTGAGCTTTTCACATGTTGATGCTAAAAGTGATGCTTAGCTGCAGATGCATCCTTTACTATGAATGATCACGTGTTCACTAAAGAAAAACTATGTTGTTGCTTAAAATGTTTTTTTTTCTTGTAATAAAGAAATTATGTTGTTTGTTTGCATCTTTAAATGTATTTTCAGTATTGTAAATGAAAGACTTAAATAAAAATGTGCAGAATGTGCTAATTTTATTTTCTTCCAATTAACAGATTAATTGTTGGAATGATCAATAGAATAATTGATAACTAAAATACGTTTTAGCTGCAGTCCTAACCTAGATGGGCCAATAAGCTGTGCTTTTAGTTTAACTATAAAATTACTTATTATATATTTAGATTTTATTATATTGTTTTGTTTTATTTGTTATCTACATACATATTTAAATTTTTTTTAACCAAAAATATAATCTTTGTATTTCTATATTTACTGGTTTCGTTGCCAGAGCTTTATCTTTAGTAACAAAAGTTATTTTTATCGCTAAGCTGTCCAGTTAAAGTTCTTCTTAGCTCTACTTTGTTTTGATTCCGATAAAAAAGTTAATATTTACAGTGTAATGTGGACAAATTCAATTTGATTAAAATCTCCAAACGAGCCCAACTGGCCAATCAGGAAGCCCCAGAAGTTGTTGCTCTGATACAGTTTCTCATGAACAAAGTGTCGGTCAGTGCTCGTCCCTCCTGCAGTCACATGGCGCTGTAGTATGTGGTTGCTGGCAGCTCGCCCTCCGACACTCCTGCCTGCCTCCCCCGCCGTTTTCAGCATTACAATGAGATCATGTGGTGTTGTTAATCTCCCAACAATGGCTCTACTCTCTCCCTTTCCCCTGTTTCCCTCAGAGTTTCCCCATCTCTACGCTCACAAACACTCCCTACATGATGATCTTCTCCAGTTTAATGATCAAAAACTTCACCAGGTTCTTCAGCTGCAAACTCACCCAGCTCCTTGGAGCCCTGGCTGTCACTGGCCAGCTCCCCGAGCTTCACTAGAGCATCAAAGTAGCCCTTTGCAGCCACCGTCACTCCTGAAGCACAGAGTAAATGTAAACCTACAAATCACATGTGTCAAACTCAAGGCCCGGGGGCCAAATCTGGCCCGCCGAAACTTTATATGTGGCCCTCCAGACTCCAAATTACATCATTAAGTCCCTCCAGGTATTCACAAATACGCAAAATTTGCACAAAATCAACAGATCCCCACATTTTGTCTGATTTTACTGACATTTCTTCTCAAAATTGGCTAAAACATTTAGTTTATCCTTACTTGATGTCAAGTTCTATCTGTGTCTGATACAGCAATTAATAAAAAGTCACATTTAACATCATATATTAGCACAAATATCTAACAAATTCCTGACAAATATTTCTATCTTATCACCGCAACATATATGATTTTGAGTGCAAAAAAAACACAAAAACAATCACAAAGTCCTGGTTGGACTGATCAGTGTGAAAAGATGTTCAGTATAATTTCACATTAAGAAACTCTTATTGAATGCTGAAACAGCAGGACCAACCTGTCAGAGCTTTCTCATAGTGTTTTCCCATGGTGACAAAGTTCTTCAGACTGGGGTTGAACTGGTCCAGGACGCCCTATTGGCACAAAAAAAGAATCACATTTCTTAAAGTTGAAGTTCAGGATTTTTCAGGTGAGGTTCGGAGTAGTTAATATCCGATCAGCAAGAGAATATAAAGCTCGCCTTCTTTCAGTAAACCCAAGTAAGCTGGACGCAGAAGCTGAATCGCCACCGTTTTAAAATGACGACTATCTTGTGGGTGAGAAATTGTCACCGAAATTATTACAATAAATCATAATATTGTCAATTTGAGACTATTTTCAATCAATAATGATGCAAGTTTGCCATCTCAAAGACAAAAATAAAACATTCATTTCTACAGATAACTCCACACTGGAGCTGGAAAACATTGTAAATATCCAAAATAAAGCACAGCAAGAAATTTAATGAATAACAAACTAACATAAGCTCAATAATTTTCATTCGGAAGATTCATTTTATTACTACTGGAACCAAATATAAGATGCGATGCAGTTTTACCTTGTAGACATTTTCTGTCATCTTGTTGATCTCTTCAGTTCGAGACATTGTTTATGGCTTATGGTTTGGTTCTCTTTTTTCTTGGTTGTTCGAGTGTCTAAACTTTACAGATGATCTGAAAAAGAAGAGATGAACTTAAATCCAGAGACGTCTAAAGCATCTCCTATGAACCTACCAAAGAAGCTTTTCGGTTTCTCCTCACGAGATTTCTGAGTTTTCTCTTTAAGGAGGGATTTAAATGGGACGGCCGCCGCTGGAGCCATCAAAACAAGCGACAAGCAGAGTCTTGGGTTTCATCTGAGGACAATTTTATTTTCACACGGATCCCATCTCTGTTTTTCTGCATTATCACTTCACAACCCAAATATTTCTTCAAGATTCATGTGCCAGTCGAGTTCAGATGAGAACAATGGGCTCCTCCAGTCTGAGTCACAGGTGTCAGAGCGCTGAATAAACAGGCGACGTCTACGTTTCCTCTGCAGAGTGGGGGAACGAGCCGCCCAGAGGGGTCAGAGGATTTCCAGTCTGGACTGAATGGCAAAAAGACGCACCCGGTTTTCCCTGCGTACCCCTCCTTTGTAATCACAGCGAGATTACAGAGAAAATGTTGACCCAGATCAACTAATGCTACAAACACAAAGAAAACATTTCCACAGTCTTGCTCATTAGGGCCACCCTGGTGAAGTCTGTGGTTTCTAATTGGGGAGAACAAAAAGGTGGAGAAGTGGGAGCTCTGGTCAAATTCTGCCCTTTTTACATGATTGAAATGGATGAAGCTTTTAGTTGAGGATTTTCTAGCTTTGTTGGGGTTAAATCTGAGAAATAAAGTGCTGCTTGTTTCAGGATCCAACAGGAAAAGTCTGCAGGTGGTTGGGAAGTGATACAGAAGCTGCATTCATGTGATTTTTCTTCAAAAAGAGAAAAGGAGCTTGATTTAGGTGCATGGTTACTAACTACAACTAAAATATGCAGCTTTTTAGTTGTATAAATTAACTTTATGTATTTTCTGATCAGAATGCACATGCAAAGCCACTGACAGTAACAGTGAGAAATTCAGCAAAGACTCAACATTATGCACAAAATTTATGCAAAAATCATTAGTGATTTGGAGATCTTGCTTCCAACTTTTAATTTTCTATCATACCTTTCATTGAGATATTCATGCATTTACATTTTTCACCATAAATCAATGTTTTCATATTAAAGCAAGAGCAGCAAATTGCACTTAAATCTGTCGTTTTTGCACCTGAGGCTGCATAATTATATAAAAAATGTTCTAATACTGCAAATAAACCTGCTTCTTCTACTCATTGAGACAGCTGTGTGCAGGAAATGTTTGAGGAAACTATGTAAACATTATTTTTTCATTTTACAGTTCAGAGAAGTAAAAGCTGATCTCCAGCTTTGAGCTCAAGACTTGAACTGCAAGAATAAAAGAAGAAGAAGTCACATACCTTTCCGGGGTTCTTTGTATGAAATGAAAAAAGCTTGCAGCATGTCTTTTAAGGGTTTAATGAACTATAACTCCCCCTCTTTTCTTCCTATTAGACTACTTTCCCTCTCCGTCAGTTTGTGGGGGGTTGTTTCATCCAGCAGAGCACTAAATCTCACCTCCCCTCCACCTCCTTTTTTCACATGGCCTTCTCCTTTCCTCTCTCACCCCCTGCCTTTGCCTCTCTTTTACTCCCGGGAATTGGGGTCAGATATTCGGTGCCATTCAGTACCTTTTCCTCATTACTGAGCCGATTATCAACATGCCTTCACGCCTGCAGAGAGAGAGAGAGAAAAAAAACTGACCAGAGAGTCACAACCAAAACCTCCACCAGTACCACCGACAACCCAGCCGTTGGAAACCCCAGTCAGCCTCCCATTCTCTGAGTCCCCCTCTCTCACTTGGGCAGAATAACAATGAGCCAATGGGACTTCATCTGAATAGCAGCAGGAGGAGAATAATGACTTGAACTTTTTAAGCCAAAGACAGACAGAGAGCAGCAGAGCCGGGCCTATCACCGGCCTACATACAGCCGGCCCATCACACATTCCTGCTCCATGCTCCAGGAGGAGGAGGAGGAGGAAAAGGAGGCCCTACACGGACACAGCCTGGCCTTTCATTTACAGCCACAAGTAGAGTCACACATTAAACACTCGCTCGGGAAATTAAGGCCACAGTTTGAAAAAAAGGAAAGAATAATTGAGCAAGTTGGATTCTGCAGCAACAGGCAGAAAAATCCAGTTTTTAACTTTGTTCATGTGTATTTATCTCTCATCAGTGTTTTATTTAGCTGATGATTCAGGAGAAAGAGGTCAAATTCTGCGATGTGTCCTGAAACATTTAGTCACGGATCCTTTGTCAGTCTAAAATATGTCAAATAAAATTCACTTCAAGCAATTTCAAAAGAGAAATATGAAGAAATAAGTGATAAAATAAGAGGCGTACCAATTGCAGCTTTCTGGCCGGTCGTTGCTGATCTGCCAATAAAATTTTTTTTCTGAAATGTTGCTAATATAGCAAGAAAGTTGCTGAGTTGGTAACACTCAGTCAGTCAAACCTCTCTCACTGCAGAGAAAACGAGGACAGTGGCTAATTTTTACATGCTCTGTGGCGTCTCTTTTCACTTTGTGGATCAAAGGTTCCAGTTTCATCAAACATAAGGTTTTGGGATATATTAATCATTTGGGAGAACATGCAAACTCCAGGCAAAAGAACCCCAATCAAAATTTGACCTTCTTGCCCAAAGGCAACAACAGCTAACTGCACCACTGTGTAGCAGACAAACATAGAAACCAACACCAGTTATCACGTGATGCTGATAATATTTTATTTTCCTACTAGGGTCTCATACTATGGCATGTATCACAGAGATGCTCCATTTCTTGCTGCATTAAATTCGTTTTTGTGAACTTACACTGATTTCCCAGTAGGTGGCAGTGTTTTGCTGACTCACAAAGGTCCAAGAAAGTCCAAGAAAAATCCAACTGGTACTCAGATGAAAGAGAAAGAGAATTTTATGTTTTTAAAAAACATTTTATTCAGAAATGATTGATTTAATTGTGTGTTTTTTTAACTTTAATATAATAATCAAATGAATGTGTATCACTGAAAACTAAAGATACAAATCTTGATTTATGTCCAAATTATTTGTTAAAAGTCACAGAAGCTACTTTCTGAAAAAAACGTTTGAGTTACGAAAAAAAAATCAGATGAGTAATTTGTTCATTTATTAAACTGCAGCAATTAAAACAGGAAATTATTTTTAGGAACAAACCCCTCAAATTTAGGAATGTTCATATGGCTTTTTCACGCTGACGCTAACAGCAGGAGTGACCATGGAAACGACACACCTGTACTGTCTATAGGTGCGTCTGTGAATCATCATGGATTTCTGATGAGGAGGATCTGAAGATGAATTGCATCTAACAATGTATCAATGCAGTGAATTACAGCTGGGCCTTTGTTGGATTTTTATTTTAATCCTGGAAGTAACACCATGTGTTTCTATGACATATGAAGCATTTCTGTCCTGCATTATAAATCTATTGCCTGAATATCATCTTAAATTGATATATGCAAATATGTTTAAAACTAAACAATTTTATTTAAGTTTGTAGCTTGGAGAGAAAAACAGTTTGCCACTAAGACCTTTTTCTATTTTTGCTCTGATTGTCAGACATCAGCTTAACCTCTGGTCGAGCAGGCGGAGCCGATTTTGGGTTTCCAGAGGTACCTGGTCACATGGCGACGCGTCTTTGGGAACATTTGAGCTTCTGTGGTCTGGTGCCAAGCTGCTGGTGGGCACTGACTTCCTCTGAGCCCAGTTTACACACGCTAAGGAGATTGACAGGCGGGTGAACCCGACACGCACTGACCTAGTAAACATAGAAAAGATGAGTCAACCTCAAAGCCCCATCTGTACCTGTCACAAATACTCCATTACAAACACATACCACAGGGTGGATAATTGTCAAAAGGTTTATTATTTAATCTAAAATGTAAGCTGGACAAAATCCATATGTCATATGCATCTCTGGAAAAAAAATGAAGAGCCCACTGCAATGAAAACCTCCTGGTTATTCGACTGATATATGGCAGAGCAGTCAACTTGCGATTGGAAGGTTGTAGGCTCGATTTCAACTTCCTCCTGCCACATGTCAATGTGCCTCTGGGCAAGTCACTTAACCCCAAATTGCCTACTGGTCTGCGTATCGGTGTATAAATGTTTGTGAGTGCGAATGGGTGAATGTGACTCTAGTGTAAAGCACTTTGAGTGGTCAAAATGACTGAAAAAATGGTATTTATGTTCATTCAGTACATTACCATTTAAAACATTAATATTGTTGTTTATAAATGAACGTGAACTTGCTTTCTTTGGATTATTTGAGGTCTGAAAGCAGGTTTGACCATTTATCATTTTCTGCAAATAAAAACTAAATTTTTGCTAGGAATTTCACAAACATGTCGTCAGTAGTTCATAGAATAAAAGAACAATGTTCATTTTACGCAAATATATACCTATAAAAGGTAAAATCATAGAAACTGATACATTTCAGCAATCTCTTAATTTTTTCTGGAGCTGAATGTGGAAGAATATGAACCTGCTTTAATTACCCAAAATACCAAATAAAAATCAGGCCAAGGCTTCCTAGCCATTATACTTATGCAATTACAATTAATTACAGAATGTTTTATTTTGTTGGAATTCGTAATCTTTCTTTCTCTATTATATAAACCTTTAATCTAAAAGTTTTCCACCTCATGCACGACATCGTGCATGAGGTGCACATCGTGACACATTAGTGGATCCTACGTGGACTTAGAGGTGTTATTGTAGATCCTTCCCCACTGCAGCTATATGACTTTAAAACCATCACAGGTCACAACAAACTCAACAAATGTTTACATTCATGCTATATCTGTACAACTTAACTCATTCTGCAGTTATCTGCCCATTTTATGGTCTCTAATTAATGCGCAAATAGACGTGCACATTTTACTAATTAACTCAGTTTTATATTCCCTTGGAGTAGAATACACAATTTTTATTTCTACAGCACATTTAAGAGCTTTATAAATTAGAAAATGCTAAAATATTCAGTAATCTTTGTAGTTTTATAGTTTATTCCTATTAAAAGTTTTAATGCATTTAGAAAAAGAGGAAGAGTGTTAATCTTTTACAGAAGAAATCCAAGCTTTATTTCTCAGTTTATGGTTTTTTGCAGGTTCATTTGTTCAGTATGTGATTAAAATGTTTTGCACATTTTCAAAACGCACAATTTAGTTCCCTGCAAATGTTGTTTCTGACATAAACTTCTCACTCATCATAAAAATCGACTTGTTTTTGACCCACTAATAATGGTTTGTAGACAGATTACAAAATCCATTGAGCTTTTTACTTCTGTTTGCGACAAAAAAACAAGAAAAAAAACATTCAAAATTGATGTTTCGAATGAATACGGATGTGGTTCACAAATAAGTTCGTATTAGTGAACCACAAGCATGCTGCTGTGTCATCCTTGCTGTATTTAAGTCTGTCTATCAATCAACATGTTTACGTGTGATTTCCCTTGACCCTGCCGCAGCCATCTGTCAGTCAGAGAGGAATTAATCAGGCCAATTCCTCCCATGCTGGGATGTAGGTGAGCTGGCTGAGTGACGAGAGCAGCAGGAGCTGAGGGCCAACATTTGGATCCTGTTTAAAGGGATTTGGAAACCGCAAATCAGATAAAAAAGAGTTGCGGATTTGATTAGGCCCTTATCCCGTATGTGTCTGACAGAAAGGAATAGCTGGCGGAGGGGGCGAGGTAACAGGTGACAGGGAGTGGCTTTTTAATGGAAACAATGGCAAAGGAGGAAGAGGAGGAGAGGAAAAAAGAAGGGAGAGACAATGAAGGAGAGGCAGAATGAGATGAACCCTCCTCTGGAGTAAATCTCTCTCAATCTGATCAGCGGGATAGGAGAAGAACTATCTAACGAGAGTGGACGCACTAACTCTCAGGTAAGCGCTCTGAGCTTTAATAATAAAACATTTACTTCTCTACAGCTAGAAAAATTAATACCAGAAGGTCATTAACTTATTTACATTTTATTAATACATTAACACTTCTTAAAGATGTAATAAAATAAGCTAGTTTACATGTTTAATCAATCTGAACAAATATTTATGCTTATAGATCTATTTAAAAATATAATTTAGTTGAATATACTTTTGTTGTTCTTGATGTCATTTGATGTGTTTCTTTACAAAAGCAGATATTTTACCACGTGGAAAGCTCTATAGAAAAAAAAGACTAGAGAGGATCCAATCACTTCGAGTCAGAACTGAACAAAATGCTTCACAAAAACTGTTTTTGGTTCATTTAGTTAATTGAGTTTTTGATTAACTTTGAGTGTATGACTTTAAAAATTTATTAAAAGTTTCATAAATTCAGTATTGTTGGATGAAGAGGGATAAAAACTGTAGTAAGCAACATATTTTAGTAGAAATGTGTTGAAATAGAAGTTTAAGCAAACACTCTCTGAGAAACCTGGCATCAATTCCAACCTGAAGAGAAGACTTTAGTGTTATTTTGTTATTATTTATCAAAATCCAGATCCAACTTTACATGTTTGAATGCTGTGATATTGACATCCAAACAATACCGAATGGACATTTTAAACTGAATCAGTCATAAAAGGGGCTCTAACAATTTAAAAGTGAGAAGATTAAACCTCGAAACTGAAAAAAGAAAAGGTTCTTCACTCCATCTCAAGTTTTTTCAAATAAGCAGTCTTGATTAAAAGAGCAACTGTAAGGAGCTGACCTTTAATTACATATCTCAGGGAACTTGTCAGTTTCTAACCTGAGACTAATTGCTCCGCTTTACCATCCACCCTGACCATATGCTGCTGGGATGATGCACGACCCCGCAACCTGCGTCGGATTAACACCGACCCGTACACACCAACACACCAAGGAGTGTACAAGCCCACTTATCTCTGACTAAGATAGCACAGCAACTGTCTGTAATTAGGTTAATTGGGGGAACCTGTGGGTGATAATAAACTTAGGTTTGAATGATGGAGATTGGGTGTGACACGATTTTGTGCCCCGACCATCTGTCTCCCTCTAAAGCCCGGCTAATCTCAAGGGGAAGCAGGAGAAGAACCAAAAAGATCCATTCAAAACGACAAGCTGAATATTGACCTGGCCCTCAGTTTGTTTCTGCTTTGTTTTATGATTGATAAAGCTAAGTCAGTCATGCATGAAGTTAGAGCACAAATCCACTGAGAGCAACGGGTGGTCAGCGAGGTTAAGTGGCTGCTTCTCGGCTGTGCCATTTCAAAATGCCGACACTGTATAATAAAAGACGTCATGCAGGGAGGTCAGCTGCCTTTTGTGGAAACACGCCGGGCATCGAAACTCTTTGAGCCTGTTTCCATTTCGTAAAGCTGCAGCATCAGCATTACAATGCTGATGGGATTTTATCTGATCGTTTTTATAGTTTCACAATATCTACAAAGTGACATTTGCATTGGTGTACCCTCGTAACTCTTATACGCCTAAATACAATTCAATGCAACCAATCATCTATTGTGTAAATAAAGTTCATCTTTACAAAAGCAGATATTTGTATCACAGTAGACAAAGTAGCTGTCCACTATGCTAAATCGTTCAGTGAACGACCCATCGTGTAAAAAACTTTGACTTTAACACAAACCAATGACAAGCTATTTGATCATGTTAGAAATTAAATCTGCTTCTTGATGTTATATTGATCTACTAAACATAAAAGTTTGGGATGTTCCATGAGAGTATTTTGGCATCCTTTAAGGATTCTAAAGAGTTAAAATGTTCCAGCCAAACGTTCGAGTCGGGATGTCTGACCTTTAACATGATCTAATCCTCCTCTGGAAGGACTTCCTAGTTCTTCTTGGAACAGCCAAGGTTATTCGTCAGACGGTGGCCGAGTCCAAAGACGTCACATCCTGAAGAAGGTTTAGTTCAAAGTCTGACAGCGGAACAGCCAGCAGCTAAAACAAGATTGTTTTCCAATGCCTTTTCACCTGTGTGGGCAAAGACAAAGAGAGTCCTGTAATGAAATAATAAGACTTAATTTATTTTTGTGTGAGTTTCCATAGGCTTAAAGACTTTCATTGAACAGTAGCTATGCCAATATGCAAATAACAATGCTTTCCTAATGTTAAATTTATCTGTGCAGCACATTTAACCAACAAACATAAAAAACATCTTAAGTACATAGTCAACAGTTGTAAAGATCAGTAACAAGCATCACATTTTATAAATTAAAATAATCAAATATGTGGTTGATTTTTTCAGAAACTATGAGTCAGAAGTAACTCTTCACAGTTGGGTCTTTAGCTTATATTTAAGGGAACTCAGTGTTTCAGCTCTTCTGCAGTTTTATGGAAGTTTGTTCCAAATTTGTAAAAGATGAATACTCCATGTCTGGTTCTGGGGATGCAGTGGTCTGGAAGTTTTATACAGCAACAACAAATATTTATTGTGGTGCTAAGTCGTTCAGTGAACAGTATTTCATTCTATTCTCTGAGCTACAGTGAGTCCTTTCATCCTGGAAATGTTCTTCAGGCAAGAGAAGGCTGACTTTGTAATTGCCTTTACGTGACTCATGTCTAATATGTTGTTTTACAGGTCTGTGTTACTGCTTCTTCCAGAAGATTCTTCGCATCTTTTTGTATCTATTATCTTTCCATCGGAACATCTTTTCTTGAACCAACATCTCATATTGTGGAGTGAAGCCACGTTTTATGGTTTTTTAGATGGAGATTATGAGGAACACCATGTTCTTTCTTCCCCTGGTTCTTGCTCTACTTCACGCCACATCTGCCACATCAGGCCCAGACTTCAACTATGGAGCCCACCCACGCTTCGTTTGCACCCCAATCCCTGCAGACGCAGACTCTTCCTGCTTCCCCACAGCGGGTACAGGCGCCGGGTCGACAGGGCCTGGAGGATCAAACCATCAGAACGTCCCTCCCAGCGGCTGGTGGGGGGCCAGTGACGAGGCTAAAGCCACCATCCTCCACCTAAGGGAGAGTCTTGTGCAGCAGAAGGAGATCATCCTGGACCAGAGGGAGACCATCAGAGAGCTGACGGCCAAGCTGACCCTGTGTGAGGGCGCGGCGCGAGGCCCGTTGTTTCACGATGAGCACCACGGCTCTGTGTCATACTCGCATCACAAAGGAGTGTCCGTTCACCACACATCATACACCGACAACAGTCACTATGGCAATGGCAGACTCATCCCAGACTCACAGCACCACCACTCCTCAGTCCAACGATCTGACGGAGGGGACGGCAGCCATAACCACGGGAATGACAAACACGGGACGGCGGGGGACAGCACATCAACGACAGAGCAGCTGGAGAGGATGCTGCATGCGCTGAAAGAGAGACTGAGCAGCCTGCAGGTGAGCAGCTGGAGGAAGGGAAAAGTTCACTTTGGATAAAACTGCAGAAAGACACGAGAAATGAGAAATGAAGGGGAAGTTCAGTGGAAGGATGATCATAAAATTCCTTGCTTTACAAATTCAAATCTGAAAAGTCAAGATGCAAGACATATTGGCATTAAAGGGGACGTGTTATGGACAATTCACATTTTGCCAGACATACTGAAAAGAGAGCGTCTGTTAACATAACTTTAAGACCTGTAGTCTAGGAAAACAAATACATTTCTATACCTTTCATCCTCATGAAAAGTCAGTGTAGCTACACAAGAAATGATTATTTGTAAAAACTCTGACCAAAGTGAACAATCTGTGGTAAACAATGCGCCAACAAATCCACATACTTGTTTTGACACGACTCCCAATTGACATCATCTTATGATTTATTAACTTAGGACAATTTTAACATGCCATTTAAAAGTAGTTCAACCCATATATCTGTCCATACAAAGCTGCCATGTTTAATTCCAACAGACTTAGGGTTGGTTGTTCTGAAGCCATCTGATTGGTTGACAGGTTTTAGCTTTGCTCTGCACTGCCCCCTATGGGTTTGGCTTGCTTAAACAGCGCTCACCGGTGGAAATCTGAGTTCATGTGGATGAAAACTTTTCTAAAACTGATACAATGAGTATGACGACATTTTTTTAAAGAATGTAGCAGAGATATTTGTTTTTTTTAAAGACATAGCTATGTGTGAATAAGTTCCAGTGTTCCCACAGATTCTTTTATATCTCAGATTTCTTGTGGTCTGTTTAGAGTTGTTGACCTGGTTAACCTCCACGCCAGCCTCCATATTTAGCTTCTTCCACTTTCTACGTTGGCCCTGAGGTGCAAACCACTTCGACAAATTCAAAAACACAACGCCATTAACGAAGCTCAATTACAAATTCAAAAACACAAGAGGCTTCACTTCTGCTTTTCAAAGATGTATGGTTTATACTTTCGCATCTGTTTGCAGCCATAAACAAACTTGCTTTAAAAGACATCAAAATAGGTACAATTGACAAGACTGAAATCTCATTGTACAAGAATGATTTTGTACAAAATATGTAATGAACTAGTTTTGCATATCCCAGAGATAGACCAATGCTAACTTGTTTAAGGAAGAATAATAGGCCACTTTGGACAAAATGTGGGAGAAATTGGTATAAACTCTTATGCAAGGAACTGTAGAGGAGTGATGAGAAAAGGATGGAGTGTGGAGGGAGGATGTGTTGTTCCCATGTGGATCGGGACGCATTAACTCTGCTGTCACGAGGCTCTTTGTTGAAGTCCCAGATCGCTGCATCCTCTGAGCACTTAAGACAAAAGAACAATGAATTACTTAATCTCATAAAGCCATTCACTTGTTGGCAGGGGAGTGTCACTGAAGGCCATCGGTGGCCGCCTGACATCAACAAACGGCTCAAAGTTGCTTCTCCACAAGGCGACATGGCCGGTTTGTTCAAATGACGGATGTATTAAATCTGCTTTTATGGCGCTTGTCTTCACAGACAAATGTCAACATCTGTGGGAGTGGGTGTGTGGAAGATCAGCTGCAATTATAGTGATCTCCCTTGACAGACCGTAATCAGGGCAAGCAGCAGGACAAAGCCTGGATTACCTGAGAGGAGGAGCAGGAAGATAAAGAATACAAGCAGGACAGAGCAGCTGCATCTCAAAAGACAAGATGATTAGTATGTGTTGACACTATGTCAACAAGGCTCACCAACACCTGTTCATCTGTTACTTTAGCCCAGAGGTGTCAAACTCATTTTTATTTTGGGCCATGTCAAGATAACAAATATTCTGGAGGTGGTGGTTGTCCCAGAAAACACACTAGCAAACTGTGAAAAGTATTTATAAAGAGCTGTCTCTGCATTCAATAAGCACTTCTTAAAATGTAATAATATTGAACATCTTTTCAAACAGATTTTTTTGCTATCAAAATCACTTATTTTGCAGAGCTAATTTAAAAATATGTGCTATTTTTAAATATTTGTTAGTCTGTATCAATTGCGAATTATGACCTGACATCAAGTAAGGCTGAGGCAGCAGTGAAACACAAGTAAGAAAGTTAGCAGTCACATAAACCCAATGCTTTGCAAAACTTTTGTGGAAAGTTTTCAATAAACTCTTAATTATGCATTAGCACAAAAAAGTGGAGGGATTTTGCATGGATTTTGTCAATTGTGGAATCGTGAAAAACTGTAACTGACTGATCTAATTTGGCTGTATACAGATAAAAACTGCTTTGATTTGATCAATGGCATAATACTTAAGCACACATTATCTTGATAGTTCTATTACTGCGTCAATCTGTAGTTTAGAGGATCATATAGAGAGCAATGGCAGGTCGGATTTGACACACATGCTTTAGGCTAATTTGCACCAGTGTGTGTTGTAATGTTCGCTGTTTTTATCTTCCTCAGAAGAGGAACAGCACCAGCACATACTCCAACTCTCTGAAGGAGCTGCTGCAGAGGAAGATCAGCACCCTGGAGGAGCAGCTGCACCACCACGCCGCCGCCCTGGGCAGCAGCGCGGACCAACACCACGATGACGACTCCGGCCACAGAGATGACGCAGACCACCACGATAACGGTCACCACCACGACAACCACGACCACCACGACGAACACCACGACGTCCACGACGACACCGACCATCATGACGACAGCCACAGTGAAGACCATCATGACAGAGATCACGACGATCATGATGAAGGTCACGATAGTGATAGTGAGGAGGATGAGGACGAGGAGGAGGAGGAGGAGGAAGAGGAGGACGAAGAGGATGGTCACAGGAGCAATGAAACAGAGGATCACAGTTACCTCCCACACACTGGGTACAGAACTGGTTTCCACTCTAATAAACTGGAAACGATGCTCAACCAGCTGCACCTGACAGGTAAAATTCACCTGATGCTCACTGCTGATTCCCAGTTTAGATAAAGACTCTTTAGACATTTTGAAATAAATTGAATTAATTGTCTCAGCCTTAATCTCAATATTAAATGCCTAAGAAAATGTGTTAGTCTTAAACTGCTATTTCAAATTGGTTCTGAACTCTGACAATCAAGCTTGAAATCAACTCTAATTGGATATAATTTTAATATTTTCACCTTCCTGAAATAGTTTCCTGAGCCATTTTTGCCAAACACAATTTTGTCAAAATGAAAAAACAGCCCCCTTTTTATTGCTGAAAGACGATTTAAGCAAAAATTAAAAAGAGATCACTTTTGGCAAAAAATAAAATAAAATTATGTAGGCCAGTGTTTTGGGAAGGTGACAATTTTCAAGCTCCTAAATAAGTCTTGTATGTTGCTTGTAGCAGAACAGCTAAAACTTAAAAAACAACTTAAATTTTCCTCCACAGCTTCCAACAAGAAACATTCCAAGAACCTGGATGCCTTCCAGATCAGCTTCCCGATGAGGACCAACTACATGTACGGACGGATGAAGAGGACTCTGCTGCAGGAGATCTTCGCTCTGACCTTGTGCCTCTGGATGAAGGCAGGCGTGGGACCCGGACTGGGGACTCCTTTCTCCTACTCCGCACCCGGACAGGCCAATGAGCTGGTGCTCATCGAGTGGGGGAACAACCCCATCGAGCTGCTTATAGATGACAAGGTGAGGAAGTGCAAACCAAACCCTGATTTGTTTCCTTTTTGCAAAATAATTCAATATTTCAGTATCAATATTGATTGATTTTCAGCCAGCTGATTATCATTTACTGAGGAAAATTGTGTTTTTTAGTATGGAGAATATGGTTCACCATCCAGGGCAGTACATGCTGGGGGGGGTGACACGAGTGTTTGCCAAAAAACAACAAGATGTATTGATCATTTCTGCCCTGAACACACGTTCTTTTATCATCCCATAAAATCAACTGGAAGTGAATGTTCCTTAGCACATGTGATCCAAAAAAAGACACTCAATCTGGTACATTATTTGCTTTTCATGGTTCTGAGACAAAAAATAACACGTTACTTACAACACAGTTTGTGTGGCTGGGTGGCTCAGCTGGTATAGCACGCAACATGTATAGGGGCTGTAGTCATCGACGCAGCTGTTCATTTTATTTTGTTTTATTCTTTAAAATGGCAGAATCTGCATAGCTTTGACATTTTTCTCAAATATTAAATTAAATTTTATCATCTGTTACTCTGTCCTTGAGTTGCCTTTTTAATAAATACTTTTTTACTCTTATTTGAGTAAAAAATGTTGAGTTACTGCGACTCTCAGTAGTTACTGAAATACTTAGGTAAATTTTCATGACACTTTTCAATAAATGATGCTCTTGAATTTAACTATCATGTGTCAACATGGCATCACCATTGCACTTTTAAAAGAAAATGTTGCGGTCTCATCCACAGGCTGTAACGCTCCCCTTATCTCTGAGTGATGGGAAGTGGCACCATGTTTGTGTGACGTGGACAACGAGGGACGGACAGTGGGAGGCCTACCAGGACGGTGTGCAGCGGGGGTCTGGGTCGAACCTCTCCCCCTGGCACTCCATCAAACCTGGAGGGGTCTTCATCCTAGGACAGGAGCAGGTAAAGACAAAAAATATTTTTTGCTTTTGTGAGGACTTAGAAAATTATTTTGCATCCTGTTTTTTCCCTTGTGGGCCAATGAGAAAAATCCCCCGTGAAGCTGGAGCATTTAGCTTTATCAGTACTCATTAATATTTTTATAGAAGCATGCAACTTTTAGAAAAAGTTATTTTAGAAAAAGTTATTTTAAAATACATGACATCGTGACAGGGTATTATGAGACAAAATCTGTAAAATATTAAAACTAAAAATAAAACATCATGCTCCTCTGCCTTCTCCCAGTGGTATCTAAAAAACAGACAATTGAAGCCAGGAGGAGGGGCTTAGTGCTGTCAATCTCCCTCTGTTTGGTGCTGCTCACTCCTTCTCTCTCTATCTGTGCTACTCTGCAGCTAGCACAGCCTGCCATGAATGCTAAGTCTAGTTAACGTAGCCACTGATGATGGCTATGCTAAACGGTTTTTCTGTAATGGTAAACTGTTTAGCAGAGTGAACATAAATTGACTTACAGCGCTAAGACCCGCCTCCTGGCTCTGATTGGTTGATTTTGGTCAGAGATTTTCCGTCTCATAGCAAACTGCCACAACATGGCGACAGTGTTAATATATATACTGCCGCGTTAAAGGTCAAAAGGTGACATTTTTATCCCCCCTATCGTATTTCAGGACACTCTTGGAGGCCGTTTTGATGCCACTCAGTCGTACGTGGGAGAGATGTCAGACCTCCACATGTGGTCGCGCGCCCTGAGCGCCGCTGACATCTACAGCCTGGCCTCCTGCGGCAGCCACTTACGCGGTGACGTCATCGACTGGTCTGAGTCAGAGGTGGAGCTTCACGGCGGCGTTGCTAGGTACCCGTTCGACCCCTGCCACTGAAGGTGTAACCGCCCAAGAAGAAGAAACTCGAAGCTCTCTGGACTTCAAGTATTCAGACTGTTTGCCTTCCTTTAAACTATTTATCAAATGAAGCAAAAAGGAGGATAAAATTGTAGCCCGATGACCGTATTTACAGAGAATGTTTGACGTTCTCTCTCTCTCTCTTTTTTTTATGAATTAGTGTTTTATTATAAACAGACAAGTGCTGACTGTGACATATTGTCATAATGTGAATAAGATTGAATGATTTCAGTTCTGAGCAGGACCTCAAAGGGTTCGGCTGTAGATTAGAGTTAGTGTAATGAAATTCATAACTCTCTTCACACTTTGGATTCTCTTTTTTGAGGTTTCCATGAAACATACAGCTAATTTACCAAAGAAACTGTAGAACTCAAATATGTTTTTCTCTCTTTTTTTAATTATTTAAATTTACATTTAAAGATAGAAGACTTCAGACAGTTTAGTCTAATGCACTCTGGTGTGACTGCCTCAGTTTTGTGTTTTTAAACATTTTAAAAATCTTTATTCTGTCGTTTTTCCTCAACTTTTTGTCCTCACAATGCAAGGCTGTTCACAGAACAAACTCTTACTATTCATCACTTTTTGGGGGTTGAACAGTGAGTAACTTCTAACTTGTGTGTGTTGAGATTGTTGCAATGTGGCTTCTGAATTTGTCATTTTGGCCTTGATTGTATATTTATTATTGTACAATATGTTATACATTGAAGCTATTAGAAAATATTTAAAACAATGTGACTGTGTTTTTGTTGAAATGTGAGTAATAAAATTACAAAAATAAAGCCTTTTGTTCTCGCTCAAGGCGCTTTCACTGAAAGCGCATTTCAGACTCTTATGTCAACACAGATAAATCGATTACAACACTGGAGTCCAATACAAGTTAAATTCAAAAATAAATATAAGAAACATATACATAGCCACTGCTTAATTTTCAAAGTTTTCTTTCTCTTTGAACAAGAGCCAGTTCTCCTGAAAGACCAAAGTGTTGAAATAGTAGCCATGGTCAAGAGGAAACACTCTTGCCTTTGGATTTATTTACATTACCAGACCAGTATGAAAACACATATTTTTTAATCTTTCAATACCACTAATTTCATCCTAGAAGTGTGTGGCATCAGGAACCAAGCATCATTTCCCCCCATTTTTATGTTCATCTCAGCTCTATTAGGCTGACTTCACAAGTCGCACTCAGGCTCACTGTAAGCATTCAAATATTCAAAAAATATTAAGAGAAACAAAAGAGAAAATTAAGTTGATGGTTAACATTATATATAATATTAAGCACTAGAGTTGTATCCTAAAGAGCGAGGTGGTCCAACAGGCCCTATTAAAAAACAGAGACAAGACACAACAAATTGTTTTGTTTGCTTTTACTTACTTTTTTATTGTTACACAGTATTTTACTGGCACCAATGTATTGTGGTTTTCCTTTTGCTACATGTACAGATGATTCATCCATCTTTACCTCCAAGTAAACAAAAATAAATAAATACAAAATGAACATTTTCTGAACGTAGTGTGTCTGCAGAGAGAAACTTCTCTTTCACCAAGGTCGTTAACAGTATTCATTTTTGTTTTCACCCAAAAAGTTTCCATTTTTTGGCAAATTTGAACATTAAAAATTATAAGGACGGACAGTCCCGGTGATGTACATAAAAATTAAAATGAAGCCAGAAAATTGGGACTTATGGCTTCATTTCAACACATCTGTCAGCTGATGATGTTCAAACAAAGTGGAAATACATTTTTTTTTTGATAAATCTCCATCAAACCAGTTGGTGAGAAACTTTCTGCTGGTTGTTCATTCATTTCTCAGCATATTGCAGTGTGTGCGATTACCAGCAGAGGGCGCCATATTGAATTAGTGTTGGTCAGTAACAGCAATTTTTTCTTCAAAATGCTAAACTCGATAAAGTGCTGCATCAAAAATACAAATACACTAAAGTAGGTTCAAATCCATGACTGGAGACAAATCTAAACTTTTAATACGAGTGTTTTCAATCAATGGTTTATTATTAGTGTTTATCATTTAGCTGTCTTTTTATTTCAAATATAACATTGAAACTTCAGCTCAAACAGCTTCCCCAGACTTTAGAGGGCATATGTCATATTTTTTTACGTACACTAATGTATTTTCAACAAATCCATTGATTTTATAGCAAAGTAGCATATTTTAAGAGCAAAGGTACTCTTAAAGAGCAAATTCTTTGCAGAATTTCTCAAAAGATTATTGATAACATGTTGATAAGATCTGTCATGTCAAATGAACTATTGTTGGGCACAAATTATGAAAAGTTTTATTAAAGGTAAACTTTTTAAAGGGACTATTCTTATTGCCTTCCGAGCAATATGTTATGTTGGAGGGAGTAATAAAAAATGTGTAGAAAATATGGCTGAACTCTGTGAAAAAAAAAAAAATCTAATATCAACTTGGCTTTAAGGGAAGGAACAACCACAACATGGAGGAAGACTGTGGGGAGACTGTGTCTATTTGTGAGCATAAAGATTAACATGTGTCATGTGTCTTTTTAAGTGTCTAATTAAGATTTGTCATGTGTCTTTTTTTGCTGCAAAACATCTGTTGATATCCACAGAGTTAAATCATTATTTCCTCCCTCGAAACAACACATCTGGATGGTTAGCAAAAATAACCAGTTTTCTCTGGCAGTTATTTTGACATTTCTTAGCCAAATCTAATGCATTGGAACATAAATGGAAGATAATTGGAAATGTGGAGATGGTGCCAATAAAACTTAGTTATTTTGTTGGGTGTAATGTGCCTGTACACATCTGAGTTACAATATTCAAGCATCAATCTGAATGGTCAAATTATCTTTTACAGTTTTTGCCACAAGTGCTCAGGATGGTGAATTACTCAGAATGGACTCATCACATGCACTTTTAAATCTCTCTGTAGAGTGCCGGTTTGTTTGGTTTTCAGGTTACAACACTTAAGATTACTCCTCAACCTCTGAAGATAAATCACCAGAAATAAATATTCCCTTTATGAATTCAAATTCAAGTGGAAGACTTTGCTATCGCTACTTATATCTTAATGAATGGGTTTAGGTCCCAAAATATAATTTGTATGTTTGTTTTTTTTTTTGGGGGGGGAGGATTGCATTTCTGAATTTCAGTCTTAAAATGTAAATTAGCTGAACATATTTGAAACAGAGAATTTTATCAAAATGATGACATATGCCCTTTAAGTTCGACACTGAGAAGCAGAGTGTGAGAATCAAACTCTGTTTGTGCTTTACAGAGTTTGAATGCCACAAGAAGAAAGACAAACAAACAAACAAAAAATGTCAAACATATCATCTCATTTTCTAAAGATAAGCAGGATCACTCACTTGATGCACAAACCAACTTCAGTATTAAATGCTATCTTTCCATGTCACCAGGAAACAAACACTTTCCAAATCAGTGCACTAACTTGGTCAACCATGCATCAGTACCTACGACTGATCCATCCGTTCATCGACATGCAGTAAAACAGTAGCTCGTACAAAAAAAAATCTGATTTTAACAAAAGATAAAGAATAAATTAAATCAAATCTATGTGTTTTGTAAACAAATATGCTAACGTCTATTTACAAAAAGTGTACAACGAAAAGAGCTGCCTTTGTGACTTCACAAAACCCATGTTGGTGGACAGAGTTGATGTTGAGTTGTAGTGCTGCACAAAAAAGAAAACTTGTGTTTCATGCCGTTATGTTAATTCTAAAAAGACACGATGAGAGCTGCTCTGTACAAATAAAGATTTAACAAGCCTGCAGCCAACAATGCTCTACTCTGCTATTGCTCAAACATGTTAAGAAACATGCTAAAGTTCATACTGTTCGCTGTGTTTCCACTTTGAAATCCGGTGAAAATATACATTAATAACATTTTCCTTGCTATAATTCAGTATTTACGTTGGATGTGAATTTTATGCCATTTGTAGTATTAAATTAGTTTGCAAATTCACAGCTCTATCAGAATAAAAACCTATTGTCAGTACTTCACATTTTGTCTTGGCTATGCACAATCAACAACGGGAATATCTTATTAAGGCGGCACTGATGATAACAAAATAGGACTTCATGAAATTGCAGCTTCTTGCAACCCTGAATAAAACTGTATTCACACCAAGGTGGAAAAATCTTGAATTTTGACTCTTGACTCACAGCAATTCTCAGCCCAGATGGTAAACCTTTTAAACTGCTGGACATCGTTCCCAAAAATTAGAGCAATCTGAAAAAACAAAACAATTACATTAGTGTTTTGATGTGGATAAAATGCCAACAGACCAATCCAGTGTGCAAAAAAAAAAAAAAAAAAAAAAAAAAAAAAAATAGATACTTTCTAGTGTGAATACAGTCTTATAGATTCTTTCCAGCCTGTTTAAGTGGGAGTGATGGTGAGAAGATGGCAAACATTTGTTTGTGCTCTGGGATTATTGTATTAAGTTGAGTGCAACAGCAGTACTGTGAACGGCAGCCTCAGCAGGTAAGCCATTCGCTCCGGTTGCAGAGTCTGGTGGTCGGGACAGCAAGGGCTCCTTGCAAGTGGAAGAGGAAGCATTTTCAGGAAGAATGAGGAGGAGGAAGAAAGGTTAAAGAGAGGAGCGAGCAGCAGAGATGATGTGAGAGGAAGAGGAACAAAGATGTAACCTAGGGCTGCTCCTCTTTCTTCTTCAGTGATATCCGTTTCTTCCTGGCAGCAAGCATTTCATAGAACGGATCCACACTGACCGCAGATCTGAAAAACAACAAAAAAGGTAGTAGTTTCTCAAGTTTACATACAGAAGAGAGACATTAGGGGTAGGTTGTCATCAAATCTCATTTTGACAGGTGCCACGCCCCTTTGACCTCTATTTACCCCCCCACCCCCCCACACACACACGCACACACCCCCACGCACACACACACGCACGCACACACACACACACACACCCCCGCACACACGCACACACACACACACGCACACACACACACACACACACACACACCTTCCCCCTCCCTCCCTTCCAGATGTCAGGATGTACCCCTCCTTAAATGAACATTTCTTAGACATCTATTATTCTTTGTTTTCTTGAAAGCTCCTATTGATTTTTTCTTTTTTAAGAGTAATACCAATACAACAACAGTTATTTAATCAAGAAAAATGTATATAATTATATACTATGCCTACTGAAGTTTAAATAGATTTGGAATGGAGATGTTACTTCTGATTCTGTGCCTGGCCTACGACTGGGGTCTGAGCTGGGGGGCTTGATCAAATATAGGTACGGCCTGTGAAATCCCTTCGGGGGGTCGTTCTCAGTAGATCTCAGTGACATATGGTCTGTGTGTTAGGTTTTTCTGTTTTCTCTCTGCTGAATTCAGAAAATGCCGTATATCTGACTTTCTTTTTAAGAGTAATACAGCACCCCAACAACAGTTATTTAACCAAGTAAAATGTATTTAACCAAGTAAAAATGTATATAATTATGTAGTAAAACCTAGTGAAGTTGAAATAGATGCCGGAGATGTTGCTTCTGATTCTGTGTCTGTGTTCAGCCAGGCCTACAACTGGAGGTCTGAGCTGCAACACGCAGGGCCTGCGAGAGAAGGAATGTACTAGTTGCATACTTTGCAAACTTTGCAGGATGCAGACAGAATGACAAATTAGCCACCTCGGGGGAATTCAGAGCAAGACCCTCATGAACCCTGCTGGTTCATGAGGGCAGACCAGAGCCACATCTGTTTTTTTTTTTTTTTCTCAGTTTATCGCTCTTTGTCTAAAGAGTAATTACCTTCAGTTATCTGTGAGCGACACACGCTTCAGAGAGAATCAGAACTGCAGCATCAGTGAGAAGTCCGTCTTACTTTCGGTATAACATAATTCGAAAACTATTGGAAACGCCGGTTTAAACACATTTGAAACTCATAGATTTTTCTGTAACACTCACTAGTGTGATACATTTCAGTAAATGTTTCTCATTTGTACATGTACTTCTTAAGAATATGTGACTGTTTGTAAGCAGGCCAACGGGAGGTTATTCAAATTAGACTTTTAACTTTCCTTGGTTAAAGAATTTGTCCAGAATTTTCCAAAATTTATCCTCGCATCATTGTAAATGCTACTTTCGTTCAATTTTTTTTCCTGCTGCTGAATCAACACTGATCTTCCCAGAGCTTCATGCTTTCTCCAAAATAGTAAACGCCGGTATAAACACATTTGAAACTCATACATTTTTCTCTGTAACACTCACTAGTGTGAAACATGTCAGTAAAAGTTTCTCATTTGTTAAGAATATTTCTTAAGAATATGTGACACTTATTAAACAGACCTTACTGAGGCTACTCATATTTAAGTTTTAGCTTTCCCCAGAGTTGAAAGTTTTTTTTTTCTCTCTTTCTTTCTTTATTTTTTTTAACACTGCACAACTACGCTCCGACATGGTAAATTATTTTGTTACCTTTATCATTATCCACTACTTTGTCTCTAACTTATATGCTGTATGTTTCTCGGCCCAAATGATGCTTTTTTCCTCCATCCATCATTTTACACACTTTAGTGTGTTCAGTAACAAAATATAGTTGTTGAATTTTCCGTTACTGAAGCTTATAAATGATCAATGTAAACTTTCAGTCTATATTCAGATAGTGAATACAATTCATATTATTTAGATTGGATGTTTTAATGCATGCACTTGGATTTCTATCGATTTATTGAATAATAGTCTGCGTAAATATTTATCAAACTGAATGGCCATTCAGGTTTCATATAATTTTTTTAGTTTGGTTTTTGTTGCACAACTTCAAATACAGTATATGCTGGCTATCAACCAACCATTCAATCAGTGATTTTTTTTCTTTTTTTTAAAATAACCCCTCTCACATCTTCTGACTACTAGCCCCAAGTTATAATAACATTAACTAAGTTTGCTAATGGTGCACTTTACCTAAAACAAATATTAAAAAAATAAAACATACTCACTACACAGCCCTTCTCCCAGAGTTGGTCACAACATGGTGATTGTTTTTTTTTACCGTTAAAATTATCTACAGCTTTTGTTCCTTGCTTCTCATGATGCTATCTGTTCACTAATGTTCACTAATGTTCACCTCTTGTAAATGATAAGCTTATTAACGAACAATATGAACCATCAGCATGCGTTAAAGAAGATCATATCAGTCAGATGAAGTAAAAATATCATGATACTCAAAGCAATCAAAAATATATTGATCTGAAAGGTAATTTCTCCTTTTCAGGGAGCTTAGACTGAATTGAAAGGAATTATTGAAATATACGACAAAATATTTAATTTGCAGAATTCCGATAATAGAACTTCAACTATGAATTGAAAGATTACATTGTATTTATTAACTGAAGATCACTTAATAAATCAACTGTTAATTAGTCATCATACTATGTAAATGACTAACAAAATTTGAACAAACAAGAAACTTGACTACCTCAAGGGATTTCTCACATTGGAGAATCAACTGTCTGATTTTCTTTAGCCCACTAAATTTAACCTTACCAAAGCTCTACAGAAAAGCAAACGGGTACTTAGTTTGAAGCCTGAATCAGATGCCTTCAGACCTTCTGCTGAACCTGGACTTTGGCCGCTCTCGGTGTAAAATAAAACATCAGACTTTAAAAAAAAAAAAAGCCCAAGTGAACATCACTTAATTATCATCAACTAGTTGTTTATACTCATCTTAAACCATTGGCAGGAATCTTTGGATAAAACACACAAACAATAAAAATAAAAAAAAAGCTTTTATCAGTTAATCTATACAGTATACAGCATATAAGTTAGAGACAAAAGTAGTGGATAATGATAAAGGTAACAAAATAATTTACCATGTCGGAGCGTAGTTGTGCAGTGTTAAAAAAAATAAAGAAAGAAAGAGAGAAAAAAAAACTTTCAACTCTGGGGAAAGCTAAAACTTAAATATGAGTAGCCTCAGTAAGGTCTGTTTAATAAGTGTCACATATTCTTAAGAAATAAATTTACAAATGAGAAACTTTTACTGACATGTTTCACACTAGCGAGTGTTACAGAGAAAAATGTATGAGTTTCAAATGTGTTTATACCGGCGTTTACTATTTTGGAGAAAGCATGAAGCTCTGGGAAGATCAGTGTTGATTCAGCAGCAGGAAAAAAAATTGAACGAAAGTAGCATTTACAATGATGCGAGGATAAATTTTGGAAAATTCTGGACAAATTCTTTAACCAAGGAAAGTAAAAGTCTAATTTGAATAACCTCCCGTTGGCCTGCTTACAAACAGTCACATATTCTTAAGAAGTACATGTACAAATGAGAAACATTTACTGAAATGTATCACACTAGTGAGTGTTACAGAAAAATCTATGAGTTTCAAATGTGTTTAAACCGGCGTTTCCAATAGTTTTCGAATTATGTTATACCGAAAGTAAGACGGACTTCTCACTGATGCTGCAGTTCTGATTCTCTCTGAAGCGTGTGTCGCTCACAGATAACTGAAGGTAATTACTCTTTAGACAAAGAGCGATAAACTGAGAAAAAAAAAAAAAACAGATGTGGCTCTGGTCTGCCCTCATGAACCAGCAGGGTTCATGAGGGTCTTGCTCTGAATTCCCCCCGAGGTGGCTAATTTGTCATTCTGTCTGCATCCTGCAAAGTTTGCAAAGTATGCAACTAGTACATTCCTTCTCTCGCAGGCCCTGCGTGTTGCAGCTCAGACCTCCAGTTGTAGGCCTGGCTGAACACAGACACAGAATCAGAAGCAACATCTCCGGCATCTATTTCAACTTCACTAGGTTTTACTACATAATTATATACATTTTTACTTGGTTAAATACATTTTACTTGGTTAAATAACTGTTGTTGGGGTGCTGTATTACTCTTAAAAAGAAAGTCAGATATACGGCATTTTCTGAATTCAGCAGAGAGAAAACAGAAAAACCTAACACACAGACCATATGTCACTGAGATCTACTGAGAACGACCCCCGAAGGGATTTCACAGGCCGTACCTATATTTGATCAAGCCCCCAGCTCAGACCCCAGTCTAGGCCAGGCACAGAATCAGAAGTAACATCTCCATTCCAAATCTATTTAAACTTCAGTAGGCATAGTATATAATTATATACATTTTTCTTGATTAAATAACTGTTGTTGTATTGGTATTACTCTTAAAAAAGAAAAAATCAATAGGAGCTTTCAAGAAAACAAAGAATAATAGATGTCTAAGAAATGTTCATTTAAGGAGGGGTACATCCTGACATCTGGAAGGGAGGGAGGGGGAAGTGTGTGTGTGTGTGTGTGTGTGTGCGTGCGTGTGTGTGTGTGTGCGGGGGTGTGTGTGTGTGTTTGTGTGTGTGTGTGTGGGGGGGTGTGTGGGGGGGGGGGGGGGGTTAAATAGAGGTCAAAGGGGCGTGGCACCTGTCAAAATTAGATTTGATGACAACCTACCCCTAATGTCTCTCTTACAGACCAACTGTATGTAAACTTGTAAAATTCTAAGAAAGTTCTAAAATAAATTTCTAAAAAATGCTTGCCTCTGGCAAATGGAAATAATTTAGGTAATTTTAAGTGACGTAAAACAAGAGAAGTTTAGTCTGACTTATTTTTATACAGTGAGGAAAAAAATGTCTGTGTACTAATATATCTGGGTTCAACTGTTTTCTAAATCTAAGCTTTAATCAAGAATTAGATTGCACGTTATTACAAAATGTATCAAGCACTTTCAAAGACTTTCTGCAGAATTCAAGCACTTTCCAAACCTTGAAAACAACCAGCTGCAATTCAAGAATTTTCAACACTAAATTTTGAAAATGTAACAATAAGAACATTCTTTTAATAATAAGAAAATAAAATCACATAGAAATACATGGACATGCATCTGATATCTCCGTTTGTCGTCTTTTTCTTACTTGATGCTGTGGATCCACTCGTCCTTCTCCTCCGGTGTGGGTGCAGAGATACGGTACACCATGTGGTTTCCTTCCACCACCCTCCCATCAGCCTCCGTCTTACACGCCTTGATGAGCTGCCCGCGGTTGTTGGGGATGTACAGCTCAAAGCAATTCTGTTTACAAAAATAAGAAAAAGACGTTATGACATCCATTCCCCAATGGCGAAATTACAAAAACAAACTAGTAAGATATTCCAGTGAGGAGATGAAGGCAACTCACAGGCTTTCTTGGGTCTTCTACTTCACGGATGCTAAGATTTTCCAAGGGAATAATTCCTCGTGGTTCCTTATCCTGTTGGCGAAAATTCATTTAGCTTCATTTTAAGTCACAAAGCATATGTTACAGATGCATGACTGGAGCTTTTTGCAGAGAAATGTTGTGCAGTAATGATCAGTTTCTCATTGGCAATACATTTCTTTTAAACTTGTCCTTGATAATAACACTGACAAATTAATCCACCTTTTCAGAAGTACAAGAAATCATCAAATTTAATTCTGCAGCATTTTTTATAAAATTTAAAATTTATACCTAGTCTGTTCACATTTTTCTAAGTGGGATCTTTTTCAATGAAATTTTCTTCATGAATAAAAGTTGAACTTGCTGTTATGATCCTGATCATTTAAGTAAAAAAAATGACTGAAGTCAGTGAGAAATTCCCATTTGTAGCCGCAGATGTCGCCCCCTACTGGCCCGTAGGCACCTAAACAATTAGCATTTCTTATGAAGTTCCTCACATTAAAAAAAGAGTGTGTGTTTTATGTAGCATATATTTCCTCTTCATATAAAATAGGTCTGATATTTAAGGTTTATTTAGTTGACAGGGCACCATTGGATTCATTTTAAAATAATATATTTAGGCAACAGTTTCAGATTAATATATCCACATTTAAAAATGTTTAATACTGCATGTATTTTATGCTGGTTCCCTAAGAAGCTTAACATTGTTCCTTTAATTTACACCTATAGTACGGGTTCTTGAGCTTCATGTTCAAAAGTCTAAATGTGATTTCTACATTGAGCACTTTAATTTTACCAGACACTTTTGTTCAGCTGTCAATCCAGTTATTAAAAAAAATCTTATTGGAATTTGATGTTTTAGTAAATCTTGAAGAAAGGAAAGTTGTCCTGTGTTGCAGTATTGAATGCTGTTGTGTAGATAAACCAATCCAGTTAGTAGGGTCACAAGAAATGAGAAAATAGTTAACAAATAGTAAAATTATTGCATAGTCTACACTGTTAAATAAATATTTCAAGTTTTATTAATTTCAACATTTAGATATTTTTATATTTATTGGTACAAAGATGGGTTAAAATAAAAACTTATATTTATTTTTTAAATTTAGTTTAATTGAAAACATGTGCATTTGATAAATTGTTCATTTTTCAAACTGTGAAACGTTTAGGTCTTCGACATAAAATCAATTTCCAATTGTCTGAAATCAGCAGCACTCTAAAGGAAATGCCTCAACACTTTAAACACAGTAATTATTTTATCCTGCATGGAGGCTGACATTTTGACGAACACTGAGACTTACTGTGGTGTATTCAAAGTAATAAAGACAGTTGTCTGTGAGGATGAACCATCGGCGTTTCCAAGTTTTCACTCTTCCTCCTGCAAGATCAAAAATAAATCAGGTATTTAAAGAAGCATGGGGTTTATTTTTAAATAAGCACAATATCTATGTTCTACCTACTAATTAAACTTCAAAATTTTTGTTTCTACGTTTTATTAAACACTGTATCAGTACATACCTCCTGAGAAAACAAGCAGCAGCAGTAGAGCATGGAAATGGCAGGACAGAAGCAGAGACAAAGAGAAAAAGAGGAATTAGAGGGAGACAAAAGGAAACAGGGAAAGAGACCGTATTAGTGACCGTATTAGTGACACGGACCACAGGCCCCCGTCATGCGAAAGAACAAAATCCAGACTGCTATAGCACAAGAGAGTGAGTCTGTGATTCACCGTCGCATGCTATGGCAATGTTTTAATACAACAGCAGTGTTTGGAGGCCAGGAGGCAACAAACCTCAGAGACAGGAAGACAGACTCAACGTAGCAAAAAGCCTTAGAGGTGATTAGAGAACAGTACAAAGCAGGTTTTCTTCATATCTCTGTAACACGAACCGCGATCATCAGTAACAGATTAACACAGGATCGGAGTTACAGGGGACCTGCTTAGTAGAGCTCCAGACAAAACAAGTTTATTACATTTTCTGCATAAAATCATTTTCAGATAAAGTTTTACAAAATGTCTACAAAAACGTGCAATTTTACAACTTAGAAAAACAAAAGTGGAGCCTCCTGTGCAACCAACAAGAATGCAGCAATTAAACACTTGTCTTTTCCAGCAGCCATTGTACAGCGCATACACAGGTAAAACCAGCTGAACAAACGTGCTGGAGCTCAGCTCAGGTTGCTCGGTAACGGGGTGGTGCAAGTTGATTTTGACTTAAAAATAGGAAGGTTTCTGAAAAGGATAATTTTCCAGACACCAATAAACATTAACTTATTGCCAAAACCTTGTGGCTGTTTTTCTTTTAAGTGCTTGAGCTGTTGTTTTTAGAAGCAGTTAAGACCCAAATGGAAATATAAAATTGGTTAAAACGTCAATTTTGCACATTAGACCCTCTTTAAAGGCAAGATAAAGCAGATAAAACTCTCACCAAGCTTAAGCAGCCAGCCCTCTCTGTCTGGGTTGAAGAATGTGTGCGTCAGGTCGTTACCATCGTCCTCCGGGATCTTGAACGGTTCATTTTTAATGCTTTCATACAGATTCTGAAACACAACAAACCAGAAGAGATGAGATCACCATACAATCACTCTTAAACTACCAACACAACTGATCAGGTTGATCGTACTCTGAGCAGCTCCTCCGGCAAGTCTCCCCCGTCGTTGATCCCGCGGTTCATTGAGATGAAACGGTCCAGTCCGGGTTTGTCTCTCACATTGGGGTTATGGAGGCTCGTGTTCAGCATAATTATGGCAAATGAAAGCACGTAACACGTGTCTGTGGACAGCAGAGAAAACAATAACTGACAGGAAATGAGTAGGAAGGAATCCATCAATACTTTATTACAACCCAGGCTCTCTCCAAGGAGCACTTAACTTTACATCAAACCGCTTGCACCGTTTACGCCTTCCCATCAAAAATCACTTACAGAAACATTTTATTAATGACACGCAGATTGGCAGAGAAACTAAATCAAACTGTTGAATGCTTCATTCTCCCATACTGAATATTGTAAAAGTTATGATGAACTATTATTTTCAACTACAGCTTATAATCACATTAATAGTTCATAAAGAGATAGAAAAAGACTGTCCAATAATTAACCAGCTAATACAAGCATGCTTGTGTTACTTTATAAAGTGCAATCAAAAAGAAATAATATTCAGAGCAATAAGTACATTTACAATAAAACTGCTACTGAATTCAAACAACCTCTAGTCAATATTTTAAATACCTTTAAAATATTGACTAGACAAGTAAATATCTGGATAATTGAATCTGTGTCCCTTTTACTGAAGTTTATGATTCTGCAAAAATCTGGTCCAGACTAATGCCTCACCTATACAAACTAAAAATTCAAACAATGAATGTAGTCCAGTCTGCACCTTTAAAGATAATCTCAGTACCCTGGAAGTCAAACCAGGTCAAGTCATTTGATCGCTGCTTGATTTGATTAGAACTTGAGCTTTTAGGCTCAACTGAAGGCAAAGTCATGCATCTTTAACAAGAGAATTGAGTTTCTTTCTACAACAGAGTGGAAAGCGCTAGACAGTCTACAACTCTATTGTAGACATTCTTGTGAAATCTGTTGACAATCATGAAAAGAAACTACCCAAGTTGGTCTTTTAAATAATTACATGTCTCCATGTTGGGTGTAGAAAATTAAGTTTCTAATATTACCAATATGTCAAAGTTTAGGACCAACAGATGTAAGATTTCTGTTGAAAGTGACCTATAATTCTTCCTTGAAAAGATTAGGATGCATCTATGAGCTACAAAACATGTTCATTTTTTGCATAATCACATTTTAGTCTGGTCAGTTCTGCCTATTATGATCTCCTTACAAAATGAGATGTTTTATGGCGTCTTGTCACTTTAAATCCTAATAAGATGCTGCTGGCCACGCCCACAAACTTAATGTTTACACTCTGATGTGAAAATGGCTGCAAACAGATGTGCAATTATAAATCCAGACGTTATTGAAAAGCAGAAGTAGAGCTTCCTGCACAACCATCAAGAATGCAGCAAGTGATTTCTGGAATGAAATTCAACAACTAAACACTAAAAGCCAGCTGACCAAACAAGCTGGACCTCAGCTTGGGTTGTTAGGTAACAGTGCAGCATCCATATACTGAGAGGCTTTTGAAACACCTCAAAAAAACATTAATTTATTGCCAAAAACTGACTAGGTGTTTCTTTTTTATGTTATGCTGCTTTTAGAAGCAGTAGAAAACCCAATGGAAGTATAAAAATGTGAATTTTACACAATAGGTCCTTATTAACTCACTTTCAATTTTAAGAGACATGGTCAATTGGACACTGCAAACTTTTTAAGTCGTATTGACACACCAGAGTTTTTTTGTGTGTGGTTTTGGGATTCGATGGCAGGTTATTTGACTTAGTGGATGTTACATTGTATAGCTGTACAGTATTTAATGAAGTTGTAAATATTCCCTTGGAGTACTATCTATTATTCTTAATCCTGTTTTAATTATTGTTAATTTTTGTGTGTCTTTGCTGCTGGTACACCTGAATTTCCCCACTGAGGGAAAATAAAGGTTATTTCTATTTGACTCTATTCATGCAACTCAAAGAAAACATTTGCATGACTGCATCAACATGTATTTAAGCCACAGAACCTGCCAAACTACTTTTGCTTTACACAAAGGAAGACGGAAAGAATGTACCTCATCTCATAACAATTCAAGGAAGCAATGAAAGCACAAACTGCTCTTATTGAAAGGTACTGGGAATAAATGCAAAGGCCTCTGTGGGTTAATGTATCAGCAAATTATTACTGGTAAGAGAGAGAGTGCGAGAGCAGCATATCTTGAAAATATTTTTCACTTTGTTTGAACAAACAGGATTCTACAGAACTGGAAAAACTCCAAAAACGACATTCAGGACAGATTTCACAGCCAAAAATGGTTGTGTTTTTAATAACCTGTGCTTTGGAAGACACCAGGGTTGCAGTGGCAGTATCTCTGAGCAAAGGCCTCCATCATTCTGTCAATCTTCTGCGCTTCGCCGGGCAAACGGAAACTCCACAGGAATTGTCTGTAGAAAACAGGACAAGGTTTAGATCCAGCATAAAAGATCAAGTTCTGCAATCAAAGCAGGCTTCTGTCCTGTTGCATAAAGTTCCCCTAACCCATCCAGAGACAAACATGGGATTTTCCATTACTGAGCCTTTCTGCTCCCTGAATAATGGCTGCATATAACTCAATGTGTTTCAGTATTAAGCTAAGAAGAGGAGGACGTTTACCTCAGGGCCTGCACAAGGTTGAGGTCGGTGAACTCATGGAGGTCAACAAAAGCTTGAAGCACTTTGATGTTGAAGTCGTCTCTGCAAAAAGAAGTCATATTTAGAAATCGTTGTGACAACAAAACAGGAAAAGTGTGGGGTTTTTTTACAAGTCATGCACCTTTCTCCCAGGTAATCCCCAATAGCGGTCTTGTTGAGGCCTTCTCCCTTGTACAAGAACTGTGCGATGTCCTCTGCTGTGTGCCTGAGCAGCTCGTTTTCCACCAGAAACAAAATCCCCTGCAGAAAGAGTCACTGAGTAAAAACTGCATGTGACAAAAACAGCTGCAAAAGTCCAAGAAGGCGTTTACCTTTTTTGGGTCCATATTGAATTTCTTGCGTCCCATAGCCACATGTCTACTTTTCTGTAGCGTTTTGCTGAAGAAAGCATAAAAATGGTAAGAATCAGAATATTTTACAGCAGAAAAATGTGATGCTTTTCTTAAACACTTTGCATATACACAGCAATCCTAATTACATCATAGACTTTCTGTTGATTTGAACACAAAAATTTATCTACCTGCCCTCTGTACTGGTCTCCAGTCCCTCTACTTCTAAAATTGCCTCTCGTAATTCCTCCCTGAGCCTCTGGATCTCCTGCAAAAGGACACCCTTCCTCCTGCGGATGTCCTCCAGCTCAGAGCGCTCCTCTGGGCTCAGGTCTACCGGGACTGCAGAGGAAGAGAAGAATGATTGCATTGCAGCGCATTTCACAAATAGTTAACAGGACTAAAATAATCTAGGTCAAAAGCAATCTATTCTGGTGGCAAAAATATAGAAACAAAGTGCATTATTCGTCAATCTCCATTATCTTAAGAATCAAAAATAGAGAACACAGACGGTAGGAATAAAATATTTATTAATCATATATGAAACAGTCACTGAAAATCAGGAAGAACCCAATAACTGTGCCACTGAAATTTCATTAAAATTAATTAATAACCCATTTTCCTAATACAGCACAAAGTGAATCAATGATTAATCAGAACAGCTAGCTCACGTCCTGAAAAAAAAAAATAATACAAATATCTCAAATTTATCCATATTGTACGGAGCCCCCTAGGAGACATGGGGATTTTTTTTCCTTTTCTTTTGCGTGCCCTCGCAAACATGCTGCGAGGGCACGCAAAAGAAAAAAAAATTCCCAATCCCCCAATTAACCAGAATTAACCAAAATAAATCTTTGTTCACCTGAAGACACAGACTTTCATTGAAATTGCTTTGATTTGTCAAGAACTAGATTCTGTCAGCTACTACAAAAGAAGGTGTGAGGATTTAGATTATTCTTCTTACCATTTATTTGACATTATAAAGTCCAACATTTACTTGTTTCTGAAATAGGCTTTTCAGAACTGAACCCAAGAAACTGAAACAATTCCAACTTAAACTCCTGCCTTATCAAGTCAAACTAATGTCTGATACTGTTCAATGAATCACTTTGGGGTTTTTTTTTATTTTCAGATCAAACTGGTCAGGAGAAACATTTACAACCGACTTGCTCTAAAATGTTTTAGAGAGCATTGAAAGGGCTGAAGCCATCCTGAGCTATCTGTAGCTATGTTGGTTTAGGCTACTGCAATACAAAATGATCAGTTTCCCTCACTTTGCTACTTTCTTCTTCTACTGTTCTCCAATTTGCATTGTTTGCTATCACTTTGACATTTCTCTCAGTTTTTCTCTCCATAAATGCTACATCTGATCTGATCTTCTGCTTGGCTGTGAAACCTTCCTGGAGGAAGACGTTGGCTGATTTAATGCTGCAGCATTCTCCTTTCCACTTTTTATCAACACTGAAAGTACTTCAACATAGTTCTTCAGTATATTTTTTGTGTCTCTGCTCTGGCTGCTCAAAAAAACAACAAACAACTCGGCCCGGTTCTGCTGAAGGTTTTTTCTTGTTAAAGGGAAGTTTTTGCTACACGTTCATCCAAAAGAAATGAACACTATAAGCCAATAGCTCCATACAATCTGATTTGAATAATAACCTGAACTAAAAGCATTGCTTGATAACTGGAATGAATGTATAATTGAGCTGAAATTTATTTATTTTCTTAATTTTTTTTAGACTACAATTTGTTTTAAATTGGTGCTTTGACAATAAAATGAGTCGATGTTTTTTTTTTGTAAAAAAACATCGACTGTGTGTTTTGAAGTGCGTTACATAAATCACCTAAATGAAACAGATTTTAATATTAAAATAATTAATCATGAAACTCAGCCCAATAATCAAGTAGTATTTATATTGCTGAAAGCAGAGTTGCATAAAAGCAAACAAATAATCTTGATAAAGCTGACAAGACAATTCCTAAGTAAGTTGGAAGAAACTTTATTTTCTTTTACTATGCGTTTCTACATGTAATGTTAAACATCTTAATGCACAATACAGTAAACGATAAAGCAGCAAACAAAAGCACAAACAAGTTGAGCTGGAAAAAACATTAACATAATGCTTAAGATCAGTGTCGCCAAAAACAACAACAAAAAACATAAAACTATAATTATTGGTGCTCAAAGCAACACATTTTGACAAGACGATTTATTTTAAACCACAAAACAATGAGCTGCCACGCCCACAGTTTCCCTTCTTAAAAAAAAAGCTGTACATTAATTTAAACCAGCTGCAGTGCGCTTTCTAGGAAACCATTCCCTTTTTGGATAGACCAGCTCTAAGTCAAAGACTGGTGGCGATGCTAAACATCCACCGACATTAGCTGTAAAGTTCGCTCAGGGCAGCCATCGATACAATCAATATTTCATTAGCAAAGGTAGCATTACTGCTGCGGTTTTAGTCTGAATATGGACTGTCGTAAACACGTTGTCGGAGAAAGACAGCCATCTCTCAAACATGCTTCGGGATAAAGAGTTTTGTCAACCTGCGCGGATGATGAAATAAGCAACAAGCTACACCTGACTAGCTGCGGTTAGCCACCGGAACCACAGGCAAACAGCGACTTAATGAGAACACTTACTGTAGTCCAGGTCATCCATTTTTGGTGCTTTATTTTTAGGCATAAATAGCTCAGAGTCGACTGTCATTAAATGTCAGAAAATTGGGGATATATTGGGAAATATATCCTCAAAACTAGAGACAAAAAAAACAGACAACCCCCCCTCCACCGGTGTCGAAATGTTGGGCCGTAGACAAAGAAGGTGGCGACACGGGAAGAGGCGTCTGAGTGTACACCAGTCTACTTCCGGTCAGTTCATTTTCAAAATAAAACCAGAGTTTATCTTTTTATATTTGGAAAGGGTGGAGGCAGATATTCCGCATTACTGCTGGTTTGGAAATAACATTACATTTAAACAAATAATGAACCATTAACAGCTACATTATTTATTTTCATAGTTTAGTGAAAGAAATAAGCTATGTTCAAATATAAAAAAAGGCAAGAAAATGGACTCAAGCAAAGAGGTGGGCATGAACAACAATCAGAGGACATTAAACTGAAATAAAAATGGCCACAACTGATATTATAGTCTTTTAAATGGAAGCAAAATTCCAGACACCAATGTTTTAAATATTTTGGGAGCATGTCTACCAACTTTCTGAATATCCATCAGTCAGACTGCATAGAGAACATCCAGGACTATAGCTTACGTGTTGTCCTTATTTATGGACTTTGACTAGGACCTCCATTCCTTTGCAGCTCTTGCTATTTGTCTTACTGTCCTGCTGAACAGTTTTTGCAGCTTCTCACAGGTTTTCTTCCAGGATTGAATAATATTTACCTCCTTCAATTCTCCCCATCAACTCTGAACAGTTTTTTTGTAATCTCTGCTGCAGAAAAGCAGACCCACAACATGAAACTGCCACCACTGTTTTATACACAGCATGAAGAGCAGTGTTTCTTTAACCTAAAATAATAGAAAGTTAAAAGCGTCATATATTAGAAGGAATAATGAATTATGTCACACCAGACAAATTTATGAAGTTACATTTATTTTTGAAACAATTTATAACCATTACCTGTACACTGTATATGTATACAATTCCACTGATTTAGTAATATTACCATTTCATTACAAGCAGCCCACAAAAGATGATGTAAAGGCATTTATCCACTCAGAAGTTGCAGTCCGATTGGTCTAGAAAATGCCATGGTCCCAGCTATGGCCACAGACAACGCTGCTACTCAAAGAAAGTAAACCATCAAAACTAGGCTCTGCAACATTAGTAAACATTTTGGCATATTTCTGTTCACACTGTGTAGATCAGTTCCTGTCTAATAGTACAAGCTTAGACTCAAAATGTAGTACTCACATTCTGTAGCTGTGAAAGCAGTGTAAAAATCTTGGTGGACTACTTCAATTGTAAGGGGAAAAAAGGCAAAGACAGAAAGATAAACCTCCTGTTGAGCAAATCCTCAACAGCTGTAATTTACAGGTTTATTATACAAAGGCATTGATTTAAAAAAGTACAGTATGCTGATGGTGATCCAAGCAGTTGGCACATCTTCTATCTGATTGATATATTGCACATGCTAATGATTCATCTTCAGCTCAGACAGAGTCAGCAGGCTCTACAGTAAGAAAATTAATCTCTGTAAGACAATTCAGGCTCAGAAAACTCACTTTCAATTTATCAGCTCAAATAACTATAGCTGTCAACAAGTTTCAGATGGAAAAATAACAAGACATTAACCTAACAGTCTGTTTCCGCAGCTGATTTATTTAATCAACTTTAAGCTGGTATTTTTATCTTATGCTAAATTATTTGACCCACCAATAAAGCCTTGATTTATTTTAGTGCCGTCTCCCCTGGCTCTTATAAAAGGCTTTTTAAACAGTCAGTTGTACCTTTCATACACTACAAGTGTTTAAACTCCAACAGTTCATTAAAGCAATGTGATTCAGGCCACAATTTCTGTAGTAGACATTGAAAGCTGATGCATCTGCTTAGTGAAACATGTGACTTTCTATTTTGTGGTTAGTATTCATTAAATAGTTACTTTGCATCTTACTGATCTGTGCTGCTTCAATTCCAATTTTTGTGAAGCATATCCAAGATAAGCGAGGCATCCCATCTAACACACTTTCAACTATTTGTTCTCAGACTGCTGAGGCCTAGGGCAGTGATTGTTTTTATATCAAAGTGTCTAAAAGTGGCAAAAAATCAGCTAGGTTTATTCAGGCATTGCTATGTTCAACATGTTTCAACAACAAACATCACTGACATCATCAGCAGCGTGCATCCACTGGCTAAAAACAAGCAGGCAGAATGCAAATGTCAGTGCTGGTTAACATTCAATCCAGAAATTATCAGGGGGGGGGGGGTTGGGGGGGTTGTTGATATTGCTTTAAACTGATGTACTTGAAGCAAGAGGATTTGACATATAGTCAAGTTATTCCGTTTGGAGAATCACGGTAAGTAGCTGGAGCTAAGAAAATGTATAACTAGTGTTAAATGTCAGCATCTGATGTTAATATTTCAGTTGAACAGATGTTAAAGGGATTCGAGATGAGGTTATGAAAGCAGTTCATAAACAAGTCAAAATCTTATCTGCAGTAGGTAACTGGTATCTGCAGTTTGTACAAATCCAGTTTAGTTAGGCCTAAAGGCTGAGCCTAATGGGTGAACTTATGAACTTCTATTTTCCTACAATCTCTGATTACAAAATGCCACAGTGGTTTCTATGCCATTTCATGAACCTTTAAACTGTTGTCATGCTTGGACTTGCAAATTGTTTGCACAAAGAACTACAATTACAAATATAATTTGAATCAGGAATAATCTATCTGCATGAAACATGTAAAGGCATTTCCAGAACACATTACTGCCTGATCAAATTTGAGTGGTGTAAAAATCCATAAATGGTTTTTGTTTAAACCCCTATAATATTTTTTTAAGCCACTTTCCTATGATTTCACAAAGTTTTTCTGATTGGTAATGCTATAAATGTTTTGGGAGTAGAAATAAACCGCTGGCGCACCACCAGCGGTTTATTCCTGTGTAAATAATAATACATTTCTGCATATATAACAATCTAAAACAAAGGTGACGACAGTTTAAAGGTTAAAAAAATCTTAATTTTCTGATTTTTTAAAAATTAAATGGAAACAGAAACAGACTCTGATTGGACTAGCTATTAGCTTTAGCTTCATAGACCATCTAAATTTGATCTAAATTGAATGCATTAAATTGTCTACTGCAGGTAGGAAATTAGTCGTTTATACCGTTTCAAGCAAAACCTTACCTTAAAAACATCCCAAACTTTCTATCAAGTTCTAGGCTTATTACATAACAGAATGAGCAAATGGTAGATAAGGCATTAATTTAAAAGACAAAAGTTGTTGTCCTTTAATAGTTGAACACTGGTGGAAGAAAGAGTCCAGATGAGGGGCTATGGATAATTTCTGTGTATTTTTATCATCCCAGAATATCTTTGTCTTAGGCATTAATCGTATTTTCCTCATTCTAAGGCAAAAATCAGTAAGTGCGTCTCTGCATGCATACCAACATGTACACATTCAACTCATGCACTGTCTGCTCGAAAAAATCCACAAAACATTCAATTGGTATTGGTAATCCCTCTTCTTAACCAAGGCTGTGTGGTTCCCCTTCTTACTATACATTATACAACACTTGTGCAACTAAGCATTTTCAAAATAATTCTTGAAATTTAGTATTAATCCCTGCAGTCATTGTGCAATGACGCATGGCTCGGTGTGTTATCCCTTTACATCCCTACGAAAAGTGTTTCTTGCAAACACAGGTAGTGTCTCAAACACTCCACTTTATCCTTCTCCGTCTGAGAGCTTAAGGGCGACAGAGACAATTCAATAGAGTATTGATATATCAACATATAAGATCCATAATCCCTTATTAAAGTCTGGTAGTCTTTACTCCAGTGTCTCCAACAACTATGCGGGCCATGGAAGGATGAACCTGTGAAAGACCAGAAAAAAATTGATGAGTAACTTATTGACACAACAAAAATATAATACAGATTACACAGGGTAATCTAATCAGAACCTGAACCAGAATGACAAGTACTCTACTTATTTCTATTAATTTTTCTACACTTCCCCCATTTTGCCATGATCATTTAAATAAAAGCCCATGTCCATTTTCAACTCTTTGGCTTCACAAGACAAAATGTGGAAAATTTCAATGCAGGAAACACAGGGATGTTTCCTGCGTTGTTTTTATATCTAGCATTTTTGGATGAAGACATGAATAAATCCAGTATTTCTATTTTATTTTTTATTGCCAGGTGGTTAAAGGACCTGAATGAGCCTGGATAGTTTTTATTGTTACTTAGCTGGAGATGGAGATAGTCTTATCACAGGTACTGTATGGATACGTTCTGGTGCTGTTATTAGGTCTTTCTAACCTGCGCTTGTAGTGGCCCATAGGGCATTAGTTCCCCGTCCACAGTGAGGGTTCCCCGCGGAGACAGCGGATGCAGCCTGAAGGCCTTGCAGGTTACGTGACTCACGAATGGCGAGGTGAGTGAGTGGTGGTTTCCTTTTTCCATGGCAAGGAACAGTCTGAGTAGTGTGGCTCTGGAGATGCCGGCCCGAACGAAGGTCAGGTGGATCAGGCCATCGTCAAATCTGGCCTGAGGTGCAGCGTGGAGGTCAGCCCCGAGGTGGCTCTGGTAAAGGGCCAAAACCAAGACGAAGTCCCCTTCAATGGTAACCCAATCTCTGGTGGGGAGCGGCTGATCGAGAGGCGGTAACAAGTCGTCTGTTGGCACATCGGAAGGCAGCGAGACACACGAACGGTTCCTTAAACGTCCTGCTGGTTCGTTAAGGTCAAAGTTAAAAGACGTGGACGGCATTTGGAATGAGGGAGAGCTCAAGGTGGAGTCAGGGGTGTTAGGACATGGGGCGAGGTAGGATGATGAGTGTGGAGAGGAACAGGAAGAGGAAGAGGTTGATGTGGGAGAAAAGGAGGGGGGAGTCATTTTAGGAGGGAGGGAGTTGGAGCTGGAGTGCTGGAGGAGTGAGTGGGGCCTTGGACGGGACGTGTTTTGGTTTTGGTCCAGAACTTTCTGCTTGTAGGAGAAGGGATTGTAACGGAAAGGGGAGGAGATGGTGAAAGATCGCTCCCGAGCCACATCCAGAGAGTTAGACTGTTTTTGGAATATTGTGTCGTTCAGATCCAGGTCCTCCAGGCTATAAGAAATCCCAGAATCTGTGCTGGATTCTTGACTGAGAGGCTGGCTCAGCAGAGCGTCGGATATCTGGCTCGAAGGAGCCGAGTTCTTTCTCACCAACTCTCTGGCGTTCTGAAGACTGTCCTGGCTAGAGAGCTCATCTTCCCGTGCCTCTCTTCCCATGTCCACACCGTAGCTCTCCCCCACCTCCCTGGCTCGCAACACTCCGTCCGCCTCCAGAGAACCGCCACTGCCTTCCTTGTCCCTCTCATCGTCATCCTCCAACATTTCACAAGAGTAAAATGTTTCCTCTGATGTTTCCTCGTCTTCCTTTTCGTCTCTTATCCCTGCCAGCCTTTCATCTCTTCCCATATTGGATTCATCTCGTTCATTTGACACGGAACTCGCTCCGGACTTCTCCGAACAGTTTTCAAACTTTTCTTCAGCTTCCATCTCCATCTCCCCCTCCTTCTCTCTGTCTTCTGCCAGACTGCTCGCTCTCACCACACCAGTTCCTTTACCCCTCTGTCGTCTCCTTGTCCTCTCTCTCTGCCTCTCCTCTTTTTCCATCTCACTTTTGCGCAAGAGGCTCATCTGCTCACTGATACCCATGTCGGAGCAAGTGCGATGGATGGGTGTTTTGCAGAATCCATCCAGGCCTTCAGTAATGCTGCGGGAAAGGAGTCTCCTGGGTAGAGGTGTCCCATTTGAAGTTGTGGCAACTGCAGAGGGAGGCATGTAGGACAGACGGCCCTTGTACGATCGAAGAGAAGCTATGCGCACCAAAGTGCCCAAAGTGAAGCGCGCTGAGCCCAAACCACGATACCTGGAACAAAAAAAACGCTTAAAATGAAACTTTGTCTTGTGATGTTTGATTCACAACTTCACTAAACTTCCCACATTTAGTCATGTTTTCAGCCACACATTTAATGCATCACATTGGGATTTTACAACAGACACAAAAATACTTTATTTTCAATTAAAAATCTGAAATAATGACCTACACATGAGCCCATTTTCAGCCCTTTTTACTCTGGTACCCATAAATAAAATCTAGCATGGTGGCAGATAAGGTTTTGGGGAATCTTGAGGTAGAGTCTGAGGAAGTGCACATCATCCTGAACCTCCTGATGGCGGTGGAAGAGAAACAGGAAGTGGCACAGATTGGTGGAGCTAATACAGGAAAATCCAGGAAGAGAGACTGTCAGGGGCTACAAGGTTGAGGCTGGATGGTGGTTTCCTTTCCACCATAACAACGGCCCTAATCGTAGTCAAGAGCTATAATTTCACAGTTTAGATCAAAGAATATTCATCTGTTGGAATGACCCAGTCAAAGTCCAGAGCTGAACCAAGAGTCTGTTGTAAGGTTTGAAAATTGATGATGAGATAATCTATCCCTCCAGTCTGACTGACTTTAAACTGTTGTGCAAATAAAAATGAGTGAAAGCGTCTAGACGACCACAAATGGTTGGGTGCTCCGACAAAATATTAACTCACAGAGAATGAATAAAAGTGTGCTTTACCTTTTTTTTTTTTTTTTTTTTAGATTTTTATGTGTCAAAAGAATTTAAAAAGAAATAACTTGTGTTTTATTTCATATTTATGCATTGCTTTTGCTAGCCTATCGCATAAAGTGCCCGAAATTACAAAGAAGTTTGTGGTTTTAAAATTTCAAAGAATTCAACAGCATGAATACTTTCGCAAAAAACAGCACCAAGCAAATAACTTGAGCTTTGACATAAAACACTCACTTTTCACTTTCGATGTCAACATCAGACACAAAGCCCCAGGCGACAGAGAGGAAGGAAAACAGTCTCCTGGGTGCTGCAGCATGGCCGTTTTTGGAGGGCAGAGGGGTTACTGTTACAGAGACCAGGTCCATGGGTCGGATGCCGCCTCGACAGAGCAAGAAGCAGCAATTTAAAAGGAGCGACTCTCGAAGGCACATTTCATACCTGAGAAAGGGAAGAAAAAGAAAGAAACCTAACTCATCTCTGATAGAAATAGTCTTAATTTACAAAAGACATACTGGGAAACTCAAATATTTCTTTAAGATTTCAAATATTTCTTTCAGATTTGCAGGGAGAAAGTATAAACTTTAATAATGTGTCTGAAAAGTAAGAAAATAAAAAATATCACAGTTGCTCCATCTCTTTTTTTAACAGCTAAAAGCAAGTTAACCTGTTTATTATTTCTAAGCGTGTATGAGTGGTGAAACCTGAAACTGCTGCTGCGCAAAGGTACTCAGAAGGTTGTTGCTAGGTAACCACTAGTTACTCAACAACTTGTTGCTAGGTAACCAAAGAGTGACCTTGCTCAGCTACTTGTGAAAGGTTGAGCTTTGTCGTCGGCCTACATCTCCCAGAATGCAGTGCGGTTCTCGATCAGAGTTTACTGAAATTGTTGAATATTCTATCTCTTCGTATTGATCATATATTGTGTATCTTGACATGTAATGTTATTGATTTATTGTCAAGCTCTATGTTGTCGGCGGATAGAAATGGGTTGATGATTCCTGACCAGCCACTGCTCCCCTCACCCTGCGTAGTGGTTGATGGAGCCAGCCAGTGCATTCCCAGAGCCGCAGGGCAGAATGCCAAGAGGTGTCTTTATTGCTTGTTCCCAGTCTGGACGCTCCATCAGTCCATTAATAACCTACAGATCCACAGAATATTCAAAAAGACTTCAGGAGACCTAAAACCTTACCTGCACATCAAATGCAGCATCAGGATCTTACCTCATGCAGCAAACCGTCTCCAGAAACGATGACAATGCCGTCCCACTCTGGAAGCGATATCTCTCTGACGAGCTCTCTCGCGTGGTTCCGACGCTCTGGGACAGATTAATGAAGATGAATCAACATTGATGCATTAGCCTTACTCACAGCTCTGTTTTTCAGCTTGTCTTACCCGTCTGTATGAGGTTGTAGCTGATGTTGGCCTCCTTAATCATTGGCAAGATGTGGGTCTGACACCACTGCATCGCCTGGCCTCTTCCGCTATACGGATTGACCAATAACAGTAGTCGCCTGGGACGAGGTAGCAGACTTCTGGAAAACTCTGATGATGAGGAAGAAATGCTAAATTAAAAATTCAAGTAGTAATTATTCAGGGCTTCTAAAAATCCTCAACATTTTCACCTCTAGTCAACTGTCACATGACAAACTCCTACAGTTGGCTTTTATTGGATTGTTTATCCTTTACTGTGAAATAGTTCTTATAATTCAAATTTTCATTTGTCATCTCAATAATTTGAAGTAATTTTAAAAACATTACTTAAATATCTGAAAATACTCCAAAACCAGTGACAAATTCATATTCCCACTGTTGTGGGAATATGAATATCTTTTATTCACATTCAATAATATGAATAAATGTGCACAAGATAATAACATTTCTTCAGGTATGTAGTGTCCTGAAGAAGCTCATTTTACATAGGTAAGTTTTTCAGCTGTGGTGCAATGAATGGAGTCACAGGGATGCAGTTACCTAAAAAAATGTGATAAATTGTTCTTATTGTCACCTTTGTCATTGTCACAATAGTTCAATATCATGTTTACATTCAGAGTCCACATCGTCCACCCCGAGCTGAGATTTTGTTTCAGAGTTGGTCGACTCTAATTTGAGACTGAGTCTCTCTTATTTCACCTGGCAGTGTACTTCACTCTAATCACATGGCCGAAACTCAACGCTCTCTATTTCTTGAGACACTTTGGCTCCCTTCGTTTGAACTGACCATTGTTTAAACAACATGGCCTACCCGAGTGTTGTTACTTTTTCTCTTTATGACCGCAGTGTAGCCGTTGTCTGATTGTTGCTTCTAAGGTCAAATAATTCCCAACAGGTTTCTTGAACATAACAATGAACTCACTGTACTTCAGTCACCAGATCGCAGTGCAATGGAGCGACTTTGGGACGCTGAGGATCATGAATGAGCAGCCAACAAACTTTCAGCTGTTACATGATGCCATCATGTTAATATGAACCAAATTCAATGAGAAATGTTTTATAAAACGTTGTTGGACCTAAGCAACGAAGAGTAAGCAAGTGTAGGTGAAGATAATCATTTGCCAGCCAACACCATGAACTGATTTTCAGATATTTTAAACTATACGACTTAGAAATGAAACACTTGCTCTGATCACAATATAATTCCAATAATATTTTCCAGGAGTTTACAAAAGTTATAATGTTAAAGAAACTTTACTTCTCTCCTAGAAATAGTTAACTTTGAACAACTAAAGGTTAGTTCAGTGATCACTAAAACAGTAAAGCCCAACAAGATTACCATTCAAAGTGGGAAAACACTGATTCCTCAATTAATGCCAACGCAAGAACAAAGATGGAATATAGCATAGTAATTCAATTGCATGTTATGTAACGAGATAAGCAACAGAAAACATTTAGATAAGGAACATTAACAGAGGCTACAATGGCAGAAAGGAGACTGAACATTGAACACTTATCTTCTGATAACTAAATCTTATTCGTTGAAGGGAAGGAGTGACATGTTGCAGCACCTTTACACTCTCCAATGAGAGTGTATATTTCAGGGTTTCCTCCAGTGTTTTATAAGCCTGGCGGGCCACCAGGCTTTACTTATGCATTTTTTTAAGACTTTATTGTTCCAGTAACACATAATTATCAAGTGATATTTTCCAATTTTCTTTCAACTTTAAACATTTTTTTAACTCAGAAACATACTACTGAAGTTACTGAAAAGTAACTTTTAAAAGTTACTTTTACTACCTTAAAAGTAAATTTTCAGCAAGATACAGGAGCTTATGTGCAAGTCAAACAGTAAAATTGCTTACCAAGACCATTGAGTCCATTTTCAAGTAACATAATAATAATAGTGGAATAATAATGCAAGTTTGTCCTTATGAGTTAAAAAAATGTTGTTGCTGTGCAGCCCGACCACCAGGCTTAGCAAGTTATCTGAGGGAAACTTTATATTTATTATGAATATATAGACTCATGTGAGTGCAGAACAGACAAAAGAGGGTGAACAGTCTGATAAACTTCAAAGCTTTCTTCATGAAGTGCTTTGGTATTGTACAGTCTTTGAAAGCTGTGCAGAATAGAAACTTTCCAGACAGAATGAGTTGGCTGAAAAGCAGGAAGGCCCAGGGCCACCGTGACATTCAGCTATAATTAGCAAGAGTCAACAGAGGGAGGCATAAATGAAAGCAAACAAAACAAAAAAATGTGGAGTTCCTGGAGCCAAATATAAAGGTCACAACAAGCAAAGGTGCAGAACCAGAATTATTTAAATGTCCTTCAATGCAATTGGTTAAAAATAATCAGTCTCTAAATGGACACAAAGGAAAGATTCTCTGTCGTGAAACTTAAAAACCCAGTGAGCCGAAACATCTAATAGTGAATTCTTTACAAAGAAATAACATTTTTACAGAGTCGCTCAAAGCTATGATACAGAAAGTGTTTTTTCACCAGATTTGTATTAAAATCATTGGGAAAAACATACGAGCTGAATGACATCTTTTTGCAGATGACGTCATTCTTTTCTCAGACGCTTCAGTGGAGCTTAAAACTGCCTTCCACTGGCTATAACCATCACTGCTCTGAATGTGACTGATACTAAATTAATGTTATCGTCCAGGAGAGCAGCACAATTCGAAAAATTATCAAAATCTAATTTTTAGCATGAGTGAATATTAATGACTGCTTTGATACAGATGAACTGTGATTCTGTGTGGACAAAAAGGCGTCTCAGGTGAAAGAGACACTCACCTGTGTCAGCTGTAATGGGGACTTCTCTGAGCAAACACTGAATAGCGGTCGACCACTTCTCAGCTTCAGGCCGGCTTTCCGCCAGGTACGCCTTCACCTGCCTGAACTTTTCTCCCTTCTTCTGTTTCCCTGGTTTATACCAATACAGCACAAGCAGCGGCGGCGCAGGAGAGCGAGGACAGCTGCACCCCACCAGCTCAGACAAAGGCAGCAGGAGACGGGCTTCCTTCCCGGACCGTGATGAGAGTTGCTGAACGTGAATGTGGGTGGGGGTGAGGGTCAAGGCAAGGTTGGACGCCGGACTCTGAGGTGGTGAGGTGATGGAGGAAAGCCGTCTTGAGCTTCCAGGGGTTTTACTGCCACATACCCAGCTGGCAAACTGTCCATGAAGGAGGGCTTCTTCTGGAGAAGGTGAGGCGGAATCTGGGGAGCGCATACTCGCTTTTAGATGGGACGACGTCTGCCAGTCTGACGAAGCAAAGTGTTCGACCTTCCGGAACCAGAAGCTCAAAAAGCTGTCAGTTCTTCAAAATGTGCAAGAAAAATTAAAATGTGTCACAAAAGAACTTCATCCCTGAAATCACTTGAAAATTATTCTTCACGCAGGCAACAAAAACAAAAAAAAAAAACTTCAGATCGGGTCTTCATTTGAAATGCAAACGTTTTCCAGTATAAAGAGTCATTTTTCAAAAGGAATAATCCAGTGAAGATGAGAGGGAAAAAAGGCAATTAAATCTAAGCTGTCAACTCCAACGTTCAATTAAAAACTGAACAAGCAATACTTCAACACTTGAACGGGAAACTCAGTCAATCAGAAACAAAGAAATTGCATAAGTACAAAAAAGTTTACATTTCAGTTTCAAGCTGCCTTTGGTCTCAGAAAAACCATGCAGCAGAGCAGCTAATTACTCAGTAATCTTTAAATAATCACACAAAGGTACAAAACTGAACCTGTGAAAAGAAGTAGCTCATACATCAATAAAGTATCAATAAAACGAGAAGCAAAACACACCTTTTCTATGAAAGGAGGTCATTAAACTAATGTGCAGCGATTCTTTAAAGTATGTTGCATGTCGAATGCAGCCTGCAGAGTGATGAATGCCCCGAAGATATGATGAGTGCAGCGTTTCTGAGACCTTTGAAACTTCTATTGCTATCTGAAATCTCGAGATTACATACGACACAAGGAGGAGTGACAAAAATCACGCTTTCAGGACGGTAGTGTGATAAATTAAAGATTCGTCGTAGAAAACACTCTTCCGAAAGACACCTGATGAAAAACAAACACAGGGAATAAGCAAACGAAACAAAAAGAAAGAGGAACACAGCAAAGGAATCAGTTCCAGGTGAGGCCTTAGTTTATGTCATCTTAATGTCCTTAAGTGAAGCCCCAGGAGTCACGTTCCCTCCCAAACATCTCTGCTCCTGTAGAAAAAGAAAAGCAACGTTAAGTGTTGATGTCAATATTGAAAAGTCAGGCATCTACAAAGCGACCCTGTAAGGAGTTGAAAGTAAAATATTATTTATCACTGTATAAAAATGTTATTTATATCTCAGTTTTAGCAACAATCACTGCAATAAGAAGGAGAGATTATTTTCCGAGTGAAGCAATATCTAATCTGCTACGCCTCTTGACCTTAGGTGCGTCTGGCCTGTTACTGACTCACAGTCACACATCCTTAAACTGCCTTGCTGAGACGCCACATTACTGTGCATGAAAAGTTGCATCACAATGACCGCAAGCTTGTAAGCATTTACATACTCAGGAGTTTCAATCCTCAGGACTGTGGGACAAAAGTGCCCTCTGTCACAATGTGGATCTTGAACTGCTGAGCTGTTTTGCTTTTACATAATCACAATTCCCCAACATTTTCCTTCAATTAGCAAGCGGAGTACAAATGCATGATATGTGTGCTCTGAATTGATTCAGAACTACCAATTTAGACGCACAATTAGAATTTAGGCATTTTTTTTTATACCTTGTTTATCACAATGAACAACTTAAACACAAGTTTCATTCCTCCTGGTATCAAATCTTTCAGAGATTAGGAAGTTTGCTGATCAGCAATCCCTACAGAGTGACTGCAGAGTGACTGTGTTCACCGCAGCATGCTGCTACCACCACCATGTTTCATTGTGTTAATGGTGTACTTGGTACTGTGCTGCAGTTTTTAACCACAATTGCCCAGCATGCTCAGTTTTGGACTCAGCTGACCACTTCCCTTCATGTCAGAGACATTTACAGAACAGCTGAACTTGGGTGATTAAATTTAATGCACTGCAAAAAACATAAAATGTTACCAAGTATTTTTGGTCTAGTTTCTAAAGCAAATGTCTTTGTACACTTGGAAAAAGACAAAAATAACATACAACTAACTGTTCAGCAAGATACAGGAGCTAGTTTTGAGTAAATAATTCCTTAATATTGATGGAAATATAGCTGCGTTGGCAGATTATTTCACATAGAACAACGGAAAAATGTCTTGTTACAAGTGAAATAATCTGTCTTTTAATCAACATGAAGTAGTTATTGACTTTAAACAAGCCCCTATATTTTTCTGTAGCTTCACATGCAAGTTAGTTTTACATTATTTCACATATATTAGTACTAAAAACTAGACCAAAAATATTTTGGTAAGATTTTGTGTTTCTGTTGTGTAAAGATATATTCTATCTAGTTCTGAAGGGAATTATTTTGAACTGCCAGAGTAAATATTATTTCAAAAATATTTTCACACTTATGGATTTCTCTGATAGTCCACCACATAAAATTCAGATTAAATACATTTTAAATTCCAGTCACAGTGTTTAAGGTGTATTAAAACTTTTTCAAGGCCATGCATTCTAGGTCAAATGTCATATTTGATATGCAGTGAAACAGAATAACTGGCTTAGTAAATGTATAATCTCAGACAGACATGAACCTGGTCGCACCTCTTTGCAAATGCAAGAAAAGTGTGGAAACATTGTTCGAGCTGTAATGCAGACAAATCAACAGTTGGCCAACGTCCTGCTCTGATTAAACACGCAGAAATGCACCTCACTGATGCCCATTGTTGCATCTTACGTCCTTGAAGTGCAGGGCGGGGACACGGAATTAATAACAAGCAGGCTAAATTTGACGCCCCCCCCAAAAAAAGAGGTAGAAATAACGGCAAAGAAAAAAAAACCTGTTTGGGTCACTTTCTGAATACATGGAGGTTTTCATCAATTTAGGGTGCAATTGCACGGTTTAAAGACACATTTTGAAGCGTTGGCCGGCGGTCTGGTCATCCTTCGCTTCACATGGAAACTTTGATCGATGCTGACCACCTAACCAAGCTAGCAGGAGTCCGTCAGTTAGCCAGCAAACTTAATCTGAATAGTTATCATTAACATACTCTTCAAAAACAAACTCAAAACTGTGTTTGAAAAGTTTCAAACCGCTAACGTTAATTACCCCAGAGGCTAATGATAGATGCGCCCCCCAGTTTAATGTTAGCTAGTTTTAACTGTTGTCAGTTAGCAGAAGCTAACAGTTTTATACTTCATATCCAGCTTAAGTTTGACTTACACTTACATCTTGTTCCCTTTAAAAATGTATCGATATATATATATTATGTCCATCTTTAGTATTACTTAATCGTTCAAGTCAAATAGTTAAGATAAGATGTATACAAACTAGCGTGTTAGCTACAGACCGCTGTGATTTACTATTCAAAGTAGCGGTAAGGCAATGCAAGTTAAGATTCGAATTTGGACCTTATATGGTAATTCAAGCCCAGCAGAACACAAAGCAGCGCCGAAACAAAGTACAAATTACCTCATCCTGTCCCCCTCTTCAGGACTGCGAAAACTGAGTCGGAGCAGGAAGTGTCTGGAGCCGAGGCAGCGGCAGGTCTGAGCGGCGGAGAGGAAACCCAATGATGGCAAGGAAAACATTGGAACACCCACCGACATTCTCCAATCATCAGCAGACCACAACTTCCGGCTCCAGTCATTTGTTATCAGGCAACTGGTGAATGCTCATCAAAGGACTATCCCGATGCAATTAAAAGCCCGCACCGCGGTGTATTGTGGGAGGTTTAATAAAACACAGACAGGGTGATTTTGGACAGCCGATCATCTTTTTATTTGTCAGATTGCATGAAAAACAAAAACGAGACTAGTTCTTGTAAGCACGGCTGGATCTGCGACCACGGGCTCTCTCGAACTTCCTGCCCTTGGAGCGGACGTAGGGCCTGGAGAGGAGAATAGAAATTAGGAGAAATCAAAATCTCAAATTACCTTTGTTCCAGTAAACTAGGAACCACCTAATATTTATGTATTTTCCTCTGGAATTAGACTGAAATATTTGGAAAATTTGTCCATTAGTGGAGCATGGAGAGATGAAATACCAATCATTTTTCTTCGGGACAACTGGCTCTAACTTGCGACTAGCTTCTGCTGTAGTACCAAAACAGTTTCCATTAATAAACAAAGGTATATTTGTAATATGAAGTATTAAAATAAAACATTAAAATCACTTTTAGAGGGGGCGGTTTCAAGTATTTATGGATTTCAGCTACTGATTGTGGTCCCATTCCTCTAAAACACTGTATCTCAGTGTGGTGATATGGATTTGATTCTCTTCATATTAATCTGTTATGACATTCTTTACACCTTGTACCAGTCAGGAAAACATTTCAAATCATTACACTTTAGAAAATATCTCAGTTTAATTAAATTTCTACTTTCTATTGCTCCCATTCATATTTTGTGTTGGTCTGCTGACTAAAAAACATAAATTAGGACCCTTGGTGAAACCAAAATAACTACCCAACTGCTGTACTTCACTTAGATAGAGGCACGTTCACCAGCAAACTATGAATGAATTGCTGAAATGTAGAAACCTATTATACGTTTTCAAAGAAAACCTTCAATAAGACACATAGGGTTGTCACAATAAATCAAACAATCAAACAAAGTAAACTGTGTTGTTTCTGCTTTTAAGTGGAAACAATTTGTGAAAGTAAGAAACTAAGCACACCATGGTGTAATGCATTTAATTTTTATCAGATGGAAATAGCTCAAATCTAAGCTGTTTTGATGACCCAGTAGCTTTTGAATTTTGTAGTTTTACCAATTTGTAGTCAAAATATTTGACTTAAACAAAAGGAACCAATGTTGGTTCATAAACTAACAATCCTCCTGGGTTTAACCAGGTGATCCTGTATTGGTTTCATGTTGGGTGCAGACGTACTTGGTGTGGCTGTGAGGGGTTCCAGGAGCTTTTCCAAAGTGCCTGTACACCTCTCTGCCTTTACGTGGCCCTGAAAAGGAAAAGATGGACGAAACATCAGATACAAACAGTAAAATCTGACATCATCATCAGTTTTAGTTCTGTACATCAATACAGATAATTATCCACATTTATAGCATACATGTGGAAACTCTACAACAGTAGAGAAGAAATGTCAGGCAAAACAAAGAGCAGCTTTGATTCATTTTGACTGGGAAATAAAACTTTTGAAGGCTTGATTAAAAGAACCATTTGAAATCATTCATGTTGTCAGACTCCTAAAAGTGACTTGAGATTGTTTCAAAATGAAAAGAATTATATAAGATTTCTACACATTTTTAATTTAAACAGGCCAAACTTTCCATATTTTCTGCACTTTTAGAACATTCTGGATATTTAAATACTAAGTATTAGAACTGAACTTGTAACAGCAGACATGCATCATCTACTACTTGCACAAAACAAGTTTAACAACATTAAACAGTTTATAAAGATATAACTCCTTAAAATGTCAGACAAGGAATGGATTGTCTTGAACTAGATGATTTTGTAAGAAATGTAACTTTTTTACATTTATTTTGATAGGAAAAATCCCCCCAAATAGATTTATTGATTTTAACTATAGGATTTTAGACTCAGTTTGAGAAAAAAAACACACCAGTTCAAACTAAATTTGAAGCTTCCTAGAGACAACATGTAAAAGGATAAAATGTTAAAATTTAAATATGACTCAGCAAAGTTAAGTATGCAAGACCAATAGGAATAAAAGTAAAAACTAAACTTTATGGGGCATTAAGATTTGTCCAAATGAAAAAAGACAAAGAGAAAGACAGAAAAATTCAAAATTTGTCCATAATCTTTATTTCAAATGGATGAACAAATGAAATCCTCAATCAAACAGAAAGTCTGACATAAGTGATTTGTCAAAATATTTTAAAAATAACATAATGTGGTTAAATAGTGTCGAGATTTCAAACATGACCAAAACAATTTTTAATCCATTTTTGGATGGTGTCATTTCTTTATTGCTTGATGAAGATTGCCAATCCAGAGACTTTGTTCTAACTCAAAGTCCTTAAATAACAGTGTTCATTAATGATTCTACCTTCTCAGATTAAACTGGCAGACTGCAGGAGGAAACAAGAGAAGTCCAGTTACCTGACAGCAGCACTGTGCCATGTCCTTTGGGAGAACTCAAAGCCAGCTGGTCAAATGTCATCACCTGACCTCCGGCCTTCAGGATCCTGCGGCGGGCGCCGTCGGTAACCCTGAGAGCGCAGATCTACAGAACAAAACGGAGAACTTCAGAGGGTTGCAATGCTGAAGGGACATTATCTAAATCTTTATACGATCAAATACTATGAAGGAAAGTTTAGATTTTGTAAGATCACTTACCTTGAGCTTGGGGATCTCCTGAATCCTGATGTCATCAGTGACCGTTCCCACGACAACCGCGACTTTGTTATCACGGCCAGCCAACTTCATCTTACGGATCTAATTAAAGACAAATCAGGCGGACCGGAAAACTGATGAGGACATATTTCAAACCGAGGACGAGACAGATAAACATGTAGAAAATATACCTATAGATATGAATGGGAGAAAAGGATTTCAGCCTTATTATGGTTGATCATTTTTCTTCCGTAAATTATAAATTAAGATGTCAACATCTCTTTCAATTTCTTTTTTTAACCTCAGAGTATTAAGCACCAAAACCATACATTTTATGTTCAACACCTTTCAAATTTTGGCATGAAAAGCACCCAAAGCCTAACATTACAGCAAATCAGATTACATAGTTTTTGATATTTTATTGTTGTAAAAATGTTGATGACCCCATTAATAGGCTGAGTTTATTCCTCTTGTTAAATGGTAACCACTTGTTAAAAAAACAATTCTTTAACAAAAAGAAGGCAAGCTGGGACATGTGGGTGTTCTTCACAGCAATGATCACATACCAAAAGGCCTTTAAAAATATTCAGGTTTGAATATATGAGGTGATTAAATGTGCTCTACTGCAGTAAACCATCTCATAAAATAGGATTTCAAATTTCCTTCAGAAAAAAAAGCCATTTCTGAACATACCAGCGCCCACCCACCTGCAAAATTATGCCTTACAATACAGAAATGTTTTTGTATACTATCTTGAACTAACCAGGCGAGAGATGGAGATGGGAGGCCTGTTGGTCCGGCTCATGAACAGCCTCCTCAGGACCACCTTGTTGAAGGGAGCATTTGTGCGGCGGGCAAGGAACCTGTACAACTGTAAGAAACCAATAGGACAAGTTATGAGACCCTTACAAATCTAACAATGACAAGATACATACTCCAAGTTTCATGCAACAATAAGTAGCATCAGAGACATGGTTTTAAAGAGAGAAGAAAATGATTTACCTTCACCAAGAGCCTCAGATAGATATCCTCGCTCTTTGGCTCTTTCCTGTGCACCTTACGGTCCTTGTTGTGCCTGATGTCGACTCCCTGGAAAATTTGAACAAAATCACATTGAGATGCAGCACCTGAACTCTTTGTTTCAAACTAATGATAGCAAGGGTCCTCCGTTATCTTTAAACTATATAAAACTAAAGCCACATTAAAGCAAAACATACAAAGTTAAATCATAATACAGATTAGAGCCGTTTTGCTAGCTGAAGCTAGTTCACACGTTGACACTACAACGAAGAGCTATCACCTAGCATTCTCAGCAGCATTTTATTTAGCTCAGTTTGATACTTTGAATGGATAAAAACGTAACCAAAATACAATATGAGTTTGAAAATTATATCTGGCTTTCAGAAAACTTTGCAAGGTTAATTTCAATTCAGCAACATGACTGAAGCGGCTCCAATGTCGGCTTCAAACAAGCTATGCTAATACAAATAATATGGACAAATAATCTAAAATTACAGGAGCAGTGCCACACCAAGTACCTACGGGACATGTTTATGTACTAATCAGCAAGATACGATAGTTTGACAAAGAGGATGACAGTGGATAAAACAGCTATCATATTTTACAATATCTGGTAGTTGTACCTACCATCTTGGACTCAGCGAAAAAGGAAAAGGAAGGGACAACGTCTCGCGATAACGAAATGTTCTGAAATCTCGGCCTTCTGATTGGCTGCGGAGGTTGTATTTTCCGCTTGTCAATTTGAGGATGGAACCTCTAGTGGTGTGGAGTGGAATTAACTAGATCGGTTATTATTAACAACCCGCTTGTTTATATAATACCTTATTACAAGAGCTGATTCTATATGTGAAGAGGATGGAAGATAAAGGAAAAGAACATTTGAAAGTAATGGATTTTCTTTTTAAATATAGCATTGAGTTACAGACACCTTTTACATTCCACAAATACATTGGAACATATTTACCACCAAAATATAATTGTTTTATAATTGTTAATGATAAACAATGGCACATTTAGGTAATTATTTATTTACTATTAAATGTATCAATAATCTGGAATGGACTAGCGACCTGCCGTGGGTCAACCTTTTTGCCCAGTGTCTGGGCCTCATTGTTACTGCTGTTTGTACAGTTTTTCTCATTGCAAATAACATTCCTGTTGTTATTTGCACAGTTTTTTAATCACTTCTTGTACATAGTCAGCTGTAGTTTTTCTGCTGTGCAAATTTGACACATTTTAAAAAATTTATCCTCCTACTAACTTGTACATTTATTTGCATCCGAGTGTACTATTTTAATTATGTTTTGTTCTATTAACAAAAATAAAGAATTGAACACATCAGTCTGTGTGTATTCATCTTTATATTGTGTTTCACTTTGTGATGGAGTTACTAAAATGAATCGACTTTTCAGTAATATTGACATTTATTATATATTTTTCATGTCTTTGCTATGCTTCAAAAGTATATACATTTTATGTGTTATGAGCTGCTTAAGATGAATTAAACAAAAAAAAAGTCAAGTTTATAAGATAAATGAGAACAGATGGGACATAATAAAGATGGAGGAGATTTTTGGTTACAAAGATACAAAAATCCTACACACACAAGCACAGGAGGCCGCATGAAATCATGTTTACTAGATTTAAAAGCCACAAGAGCAGCAAAGATCAGGCATTTATGCATTCATTTATTTAATATTTGTAAACAGATCACAGTGAACAAATTGGAAAGAGACTATCATCTTATTCCCAGACGTGTGAATATTATTCTTCCACATATAACCTCCCCTTCAAATGAGCTTCAGTTAATGCCAGTATTTTACCATATGTCTCCTAAACATGAATGTCTGAGGTTTAGTCAGGTTTGTGTCCACGTTGCTGTCTGAGATGGCATAGAAAGATGGTGAAAGTCAGAGCAATTCCTCCCACAAACGCAGTACGAGCCACAGGAGGCACAAAGGCAAAGTTGACAGCCTGACAAGAAGCAAACAGATTGAAAATCAGAACCCAGGGCTCTATAAACGAATAAAGGAAATCCATGAAGGAAAACAAAGTATCTCACCTGCATCGTTGACCAATACACCACTCCGGCCTGCAGTGACAGACAGATATTTAAGAGCTACAGCACATGATAGTCCAGTAAAGTTAAACATTAAATTTAAGACCTTGTAAGACGTCCAGAATTTCTGTCGCCAGTCTTCAAGGAGGTCATCTCTGTTTTCTAAAAAACTTAAACCTGAAAGACAGATCTGACAATTAAGATACTCATGTAATCACTGTTTGTCCAGTCCTTCAAAATCAACAACTTAGCTATATAACAATATTCAAATATTTCATAACAAAGGGAATTAAGATTTCAGTTTTGTTATCACTGTGTTTGTAAAATGTAAAATATAATCATGAAGTAATTACAACACGTGTAAGATAGCAACACATATAAGCAAGTATATGTTTAGATTTATAGATTTAAATTATGAAAAATGATGCAGTGCTTTTTATTTTTGAATTAAAATGTGTTACTGAAACTTGACAAACCATAAATGTTTCACCTCATATAAATTACATGTTTTCTTATCTCATCTTCCCCATTTTGTAGAGTGGACATTTAAAAAAACAAAGCAGCAACTGTATAAGAAAAGCATTCTGTTACATTTAATTAACAGAAATTATTAGGTGTTCCAATAAGTGAGGCATCGTCGTCGAGTTGGTGAAAAACAAATTCATAATGTGGGATTTTCACTCTGAATAATTTACTGAAATGAAAGGTCGGATCCTGTAAGTTATTCAGTGTGAAACTGCTGCAACATTAAACGACTTAGTGATTTTACGGTTTTAAAATGTGTTGTTTCTGTATCTCAGTCAAGACATCCATGCCTGCATTTGGCCTTTCAATTTGCAGAGAAATTCAAAATTTCCAATTATTAGTGAGTCTGTAGCACCATTGTTCCACCAACACAAACATAGACCAACAAAATGTAGGAAAAAAGAATGTGAATACTCAGTCATTTGTAATATATATATTTTAAAAATTTGACAAAAATGTTTTTGTGGTATTTTATTTAAAGGACATTTAATTGGGTAGTTAGACTTATTAAATTAATTTCAGTTACTTTTTTGAAACAATTGTCCTTTTAGGAATATATTTACTTCGCTATACTTTTTACTTTTACTTAAAAAATGTTATTATTAAGTATTGCTACTTTTATTTTAGTAAAATTTCTGGATTCTTTATGAAGAACAAACAAGTTTTAACCCAAAATTCACCATAGAAAGACTCACACCTGCAGTTTTTGTTAAAGTTTTGTATTGAAAGAAACTGCTTTGGAAAAAAAACTGCCTGACTTTAGTTATTTTTATTACTGATGTGAAATGTTGTCATTTAGGTCCAAAATTTCCACTTAACCTAACATACTTAATATTTTGACCCTCTGATGATGCTATTTTTAAATGCTGAATGATCGACTCCTGAGTGATGTCCTGGATGGCTGCTGTTTACTTCACTTGAGTAAAAATATGTTGTTCTATTTTTACTATCCTGCAGTTTGTTTGTGGGTACTCAGCCCACCTCTCAGCCGCTTCAGATGAAGGTCAGAAATCGTTGGTTCCTAAAAGAAGCTGAATCGTTAACAACATGCTCACCGATATAAAAAGCGCTGATGGTAACCGGAGCAGCAACCAGCTGATCCAGCACCACCTTTCTGGTCACTGCCCTCCGCCCCCCGCCGGGCAGCATCCTCTCCAGCCCTCGCAGCCAGAGGTAGTTGAAGTTGGCGTGGAAACACAGGCCCACAGTCGCCACTCGAGCCGTCTGATGCCAGTCGATCTCGGCCGACAGCTCGGACGCCGGGGCGGGATTTCGACCCAGGACTCTCTGCTGGATGAGGTCCGCCGAGGCAAACAGCGCCGTGTATCCCAGAACGTTGCTGATGTACGGGCGAGCCTGAAACAAGGCCCAGGCCCGGTTCATGGTGAGGCGTCTGACCAGAAGGAACATGCTGGTCTTAAAAACATTTAAAGGACAGTAGCTTGGGGAAATATTAATTCATGTGGGTCATTTTAAACCCCTAAACCTCCGATGACACATGATTGTTGTAATAAATATAAAAAATTTGAAATGTGGGAAAACATTTTTTTACTTATCACCAGTACTTTTTTGCCCATATTAAGTTAATTCAATAATAATAGAATGAACAAAAGCTCATATTTCTTGCTGAAAAGTTACTTGAGCAAGTTAACGGAGAATATGAGCTGCATCACTGATATTATTCAGCCAATTAGAAATGCCGTCAGTTCACAAAGCTCCACCCCAAAGGTTCAGGGTAACATAATATCACTGTCTCACTTCCTGTTTCCAAAGAGAGGATTTCTAGCAGAGTGATCCATCTTTACCTTTGCAGAATTGGTGCAAAAGAAGAGAATTGAGGAGGGTCTGAAAACAACCCCAGTTTTATGAAAAAATCTAAATCACAATAATCAAACGTACCTTTGAGTTTTGGCTCTTCTTCAAACCCCCAAAGCCACTGAAACAAACACAGTTCCCACTGGCTCTGCTGAACGTGTAAGAGCCAAGAAAAGAGCATAAGTGAGGACTGTTTCTGCTGGGTCAAAGGTCAGCCGTGGTTGTCAGGAAAGTGTGATAACGCTTTTTATCATTTGGGAACGCAGCACATGTGTACAGCCTCACACTGTCGAGCTTTTGAGTTTAGACACGACTTACTGCAGATTTTATTTTCTAAAACGTCGAATTAGAGGCTCAGTAAACTCTGCAGCGTTCTGGTCAGAAGCACATGTGTTGTTTCTATAAAAAGACTCGGCTCTGCAGCAGCAGCTCCCTCCTCTGAGATGAAACACAAACAGTCTGTTTACTAAAGAAAGAAAGAAAAATTTAGTTTTTTTTTATTGTGAAGCTGGTGAAGACCCTTTGTTTGTAACATTTTAACCCCATCAGATCTTTTCTGTTTTTATGTTTTGTGCAAAGTTGTCAGAAAATCAGTTACATTATACAAATTAATGGTTGTTGTTTGCATAATGGTTTGTTGTGATTTTCTTTTTTAACATTACATCAATTTGATATCAGTGGCTTACTGTTGTTGTTTTCTCAAAAAAAAAAAAAGGTTTTCAAATAACTTCTGTCAAGACAAAAACCGTTGCAGAATTAAATTAATTGCATTGAATCAATCGAGTAGACAATGTTGAACAGGAAAGGGTAAAGCTCTTTTTCTTTTTAAATTTCATTTGTAATAGATACAGTAGCTGAAGGAAAGAGTTTGCAGTTTGAAATTTTTCTCAGATTTCATAGATTTTTTTTTCTAGTTCTGGTACAGATTAATAATGAAACTACAGCGCTGAACCAGCAGGGAGATAAAGAACTATTTCACAAACTTTGTTCATCTCATATCAGCAATAATAATAACTACTAGCAAAATTAGTAAAATCATTTCAATTACATCTTACTTTTAAAAATTCTGTTCCTAAAAAAATGCTTCTTTTAGATAAATAATTAATAAATATTCAATTTTGCTTGTACTTATTGAGACTTGGTATAAAGTAAATTCCAAACTTTTCCAGACTTTCAGACTAAGAAAGAAACTTAATTTCTTTTTTCCTGTTAATATTGACAAAAGTACAGCTTGTGAGAAAATATCTCCACCAAGAACTGTAAGACCTGAAAATTTAAACAAAAATGGATGAAACGTTTTTGCAGTAAAAAAAAGTAATAACAGAAAAAAACAACCCTTCATTAAAAACCCAGAATGATTTACAAAATTGTTTTTTAATGGAGCCTCACATTGTTAATTTAAAACATAAAACCGGAGAGAATTGACAGTAAATGAAGATAAAATGTTACGTTTTAGAGTTTTCTTTGTGATTAAACAGACACCCACCTGCTGCCATAGATATGTAAAAACCTGCTCTCGGAAGGCGCTTCGAAATCAAAAGGTCAATTAAAGCGAGTAGCAACCATCTGATCTCTTCCACCTGAGAATGTGATAACAAGGGGTCAGAGTTCAAATCAACCAATTAAAGCCTCGTTAGCAGCTCAGTCTTTAACGGGCCGCTTTTGATCGCAGCTCACAATGAAGGCGACGTTGAGCCCACACACTTCCTCCACAAGCAGCGGTTGACTTTTCACATAATTGGCCTCGTGGAAACCAGGCAGAGCAAAGGGAGTGTGTGCGTCTGCAATCAGCGCTGATGACTCTTGACTTAATCTGAAGCTACAATAACTGCTCACACACACACACACACACACACACACACACACACACACACACACACACACACACACACACACACACACACACACACACCACCTGTCTCTGGAGAGGTGCACCTCGTCTTCCTTCAGTGCAGCTTGCAGATCCTTACTAACACATGCAGCAGCATTCAGGCTGAACGGTAAGAGACATTTATTGTTATTATTATTAAGAAATTAGAAGACATAAGTTAGGACAGGAATCTGCAATTTCTACAATCCAAAGTTTCATGTTTGCCTTCAGTCCAGCAACATGAAGAGCAGTTTTATGTTACTGAGAAGCAGCAACATATTTTTGAAAAATATCTGCAAAAGGGAATTTTTAGATTTGGAAGTAAAATAATAATAATAAAAATTTTAAAAATCTGTAAATTTTGCAACAAAATGATGGATACAGTTTGGCATAATAATATTTGTGGAAAATAAAAAAAAATCATAAGAATATTTACAAACTAAAAAAAATCTAAAATATAGTATAAGACTGGTTATTCAGTTGTGGGCATTAAATGTAAATTCTACATAAAAACATAAATAAAAGCAGCTCAATATCTATCTATCTATCTATCTATCTATCTATCTATCTATCTATCTATCTATCTATCTATCTATCTATCTATCTATCTATCTATCTATCTATCTATCTATCTATCTATCTATCTATCTATCTATCTATCTATCTATCTATCTATCTATCTATCTATCTATCTATCTATCTATCTATCTATCTATCTGATATGTTTCTAATTTGATTATGATGAATTTTTAAAAGTACTATCAAGTGGTTTGTTATTGGAAAAAGTGTCAAAATATAAAATTGTATTTAAATGGACAGTTTATCTACTAATTAACATTAAATATTCTTATTTGTTACATAGGAATTAAGATAGCAATAAACACACCAGTGAATTATAAATGTCGGTGCTCATATCTATTTTAAATTTTTAATGTTATATAAAATAAAGAAATAATATCACAGGAACAGAGAAAGGCAGGGATGTTTTTGAGTAAAATTAAATTGTTTTTTTTCTGGTAATTTTGTGCATAAATGTTTGACACCAGGAAATTTCTGTCATTTGTACACAAAGTGACTGTGATGCAGTGCAATTAAAAAATAAGACACAAGAGAGCAGAAATAGGAAAACATTATCCACATTATTTAAGGTTCACATGTAGTTTTTTGGGCATTTTAAAGAATTTATGTTCATGAATATTTTAACGACAACATGTTTTATCTAAATATGTTTACGTTTCTGTATCTGTGTACAAGAAGCTTTTTGCTCCTTGGAAAGAGAGACGCTGCTTCTGAGAGTTATTTGGTTGTCAATGTTTAAATACATTTTTATGCATCATTAATAACACAAATACAGTAAAAATGTTATAATCAGAATGACGTTGGGAGGAAATGTTTGATGCTCTACAAGCTTTTAGTTAGTTGAGTTTTCTGAACCTTATTTTGCAGAGAAAACTGTTTTTGTTGATGTATATAAATAAAGTCACTTCACACATTTTAATGAAAAGGACAAAGTAGAAAGCAATTTTCTTTCCCCAGCCATGCGACCTTCCTTCTCTGTGAGTCTTGAGCCCGGTCTGGAGCGAGGCGTCCCGTGGGGTCGTGACCTCTTCACCTTTGTGACTTCAGCAGCAGGTCACATGATGCGGACTCTTCAAAAGCCCCGTAAGAGCCGCCCGTCCAAGCGGCAGGTCAACCACCGCCGCTTCCTGCACAACATGATCCAGAGGTAAATAAACAAACAAATTCAGTGTTAGCTGGTTTTGATTTTAGCATTGTTTCAATGAACAATTTCTTTAAATTTCCACAAAATAATGACACTAGAAGTACAAGAAGCATTTTTGGATTTGTATTTTTGTAATTAGGTTGGAAACTTTGTGCTTTTTTTTTTTTTTTAGACTGTTACCATCCTAGAGAGGAAAATGAGTCCATAGTCATTTTGCGAAAGTTTCGTCTTTCTGTTTTTAAATCCTCAAAATAGAAATTAAACAGCGGTTCTCTTTGGATTGTAAAAGTTGCAGATTCGTGTGACTAGCTAATATTATCAGAGGTTGCTGCAAAATTTGAACTCAAACATACATAAGCAACCAACGCAGAGGCTCTGATCTGCTTTTATTTTATAAATACTTCATTTTGGATTTTACAATTATTAACTGACGAGACAAAATCAGCTCAGGATCCAGAACAATCAGAAGTAATTAGACACATTAGATTAAAATGTTCAATTAGATAAAATAAAACAAGTTTACACTGATGTAGCACAACAAGAAACAAACAGACTGGGTGGAGGTGATGGAGGCTGATCTGCTTTTTTAAAGGGGCAGTATTATGTGTTTTCAATAGCAACTGTGTTACCTTCAGTTGTTAATAAAATCCTGTATATTTCTAGTAAAAGAAATCTGACTTTGTAATTTGGGCCTCTGACTCTTTAAAAGCTTCTGCTCTTTCTGAGACGTTGTCATAATAACAATGCTCTTTTATTAACCCTTTAACAACGTTTTTAGCAGCGTTGCGCTGAGAAGTAGCTGCAACAATGATCTTATCTGATGTGCAACTCCAAAAGGTGTTTCCTAATTGCTGGCGGCTAGTCTGAAGGAGCCGAGTGGGGGAATTGGAGGAGAAGGAAAGCTCTGAGAGGCTGTCGCTCAGAAATTTGGAAACTGATTCTGTTTTCTGATAGTTATTTGTCTCTCAACAGGAAATTTGCAGATATAGAAGCAGCGAACCATCGTCTGGCGTCGGCCCTTTATGTTAAGGACATACAGGAGCCTCTGGAGCCGCAGGGCTCCGCGTCCCAGAGCGAGTCTCTGCAGGATCCCGATCAGAACGGAGGTCAAACGGATGCAAAGGGCATCTCAAGGTCGAGGAGCGACGCTGCTGATGCCAGGGAACCGAAGGAGCTGAATGATAAAGAAAAAAAATCCACCAACAACCCAAACAAAACAAGACAAACCAATGAAAAAAGAAGAAACAAAGATGTTGAGATCTCAAAGGTTTTCCAGGAGCCAGAGCTCCTTCAGTCTGAATATCCCAGTGACCAGAACCAAATGAGTCCAATGAACAACCTCCCTGAAAACAACCAAACCCCAAATTCTGTTGTTCTCACCCAAAACGAGGACGATTCTCCTCCTTTCTCCCCGGAGCTTTCTCCGCTGTCCCTTGACTCTTGTGATTTCTCAGCTCAGTTGTTGACGGATCTCCCAACCGACACAGAACAAGAAACCATCCGTGACATAACCGAGCTCTTTACGGACTCTGTGGGTCACATGGATGTAGAGTCCTACTTTGAAACCATCTGCCCGGGCCGGG